CAGTAGAAATCCTTCTAGAATTTAGGAATGCAGAGAACAAAATTGTGTACCAGGAACTGTATGAAGGGAAAGGCTAAGGGGAAATCCCTCAAGGTATTCAACCAACAAGACTGATGAGTGAATATTTGGACAGGTGAGTTTCCTGAAGTCTCTGTCTTTGGCAATTGTAATGCGTGCAGACGTGAAGCTGTACAGGCAGATTTCTCTTTCTGTCTGCTTTAATCTATCTCTGAAATCCCTAATAGGCACATCCCTGTTTGTTTGTTTGTTTGTTTATTTCCACATTGTTATGGATCATTTTCCGTTCAGCAGTGGAACTCTCTGCCCCGGAGAGTGGTGGAGGCTCCTTCTTTGGAGGCTTTTAAGCAGAGGCTGGATGGCCATTTGTCAGGGGTGATTTGAATGCAATATTCCTGCTTCTTGGCAGGGGGTTGGACTGGATGGCCCATGAGGTCTCTTCCAACTCTTTGATTCTATGATTCTATGATTTTGTTTGTTTCTTTTATGGTTCTTTTCCAGTCAACCTGCACCAATTCACAAGACCACCATACATAGGGAAAGGTCCCTTTCTTAATTTTGCATCTCCAACAGGATCCTGATTGTGAGTTATCTATTTTGGCTAGGAGAGCTGGGGTTGTATAACATCTGTAGACCATTTTATATAAGTTGTCTTTAATTGAAGTCACCACTGTAAATTTGAAGCCTTTGTTCCACAGGTTTTCCCAAATATCGAAATCTATACTTCTCCTTAGATCTTTTGCCCATGAAATCATGGAGGTTTTTACACTATTATCTTCCGGGTTGTAACATAGGATTTATTTGTACAATCTGGCTATTAGACCTTTTTTCCCTTTATCTAGTATAATTTCCGGTTCTGATTTTTTGAGATAAATCCCCCTTTTTTGTCCTTTTTGAATATTTTGTATAATTGGTGATAGCGAAACCAATCTTTGACACACAGTTCATTTTTACCCCCCTGTGCCCATTGGCCATTGAGCCTGATAAGTAATTCCCAGTATGTTCTTACAGCATCCTTAGAGGTGGGTCGCACAATAGCATCTATTGGTCTCAGCCACAGGGGTGTTTTTGGTTCCATATCTAACTTGTACCTGTTCCAAACATCTATTAGACTTCCTCTAATTAAATGTTTATTAAAGGCCTTATTTAATCTCTCTCCTTCATGCCACCCATATCTAAGTCTGTGTCTTTCTAAATTAAATAAGTTTGTATTCTTGAATTTTATCCATTCTCTGATCCAGCTCATGCAAGGCAGCTTCATAGTATGTTTTTAGGTCTGGTAAATTTAGTTCCCCCCTTTCTTTGGTATCAATTAAATACTTGTAGGAAATCCTGGCTTTTTCCCCTGCCCAAACAAATTTCATGATGTCCCTTTTCCATACATTAAACATTTTAATCTCTTTCATGATAGGTATGTTTTGAAATAAGAAGAGCATTTTGGGGAGTATCATCACCTTAATTATTGCTATCCTAACCAGCCATGTTAATGGTAACTTCTGCCGATTATTCAGGTTTCCTTTGATCTCCAAACACGTCCTCCCATAATTATCTAGAAACAAATCAGTGTTTTGGCTCGATATCATAATTCCTAGATATTTTATCTTTGGGATGGAGCCCCCGGTGGCGCAGTGGGTTAAACCCCTGTGCCGGCAGGACTGAAGACCGACAGATCACAGGTTCAAATCCAGGGAGAGGCGGATGAGTTCCCTCTACCAGCTCCAGCTCCTCATGCGGGGACATGAGAGAAGCCTCCCACAAGCATCCCCTGGGCAACGTCCTTGCAGATGGCCAATTATCTCACACCAGAAGTGACTTGCAAATTCTCAAGTCTCTCCTGACAAGACAAAAAAAAATCTTTGGGATTACCTTACAATCAGCATCCACTTCTAGCTTCCTAATTGTTTTGGTGTGTATACTTTTGTAATAAATTTGGATTTGTCTTTATTTGTTTATTTATTTATTTCAAGTAACCCCAGCTAACCTGGTCAAATGCTTTTTCCGCATCCAGGAAAAATAGTGCTAAATCTTTATTGGGGTTACTCTCTGCTACCTCCAACACATTCAGAATTGTTCTAACATTCTGGCTCACATGTCTATCAGGTAGAAAACCGATTTGGTCATTACGAATAATCTTTGCTAATACCTGTCTAAGTCTATTTGCAAAAAAATGTGGTGAATAATTTATAGTCACAATTTATTAAAGAGATGGTTTTGTAATTTTTAATTTGGTCAAAATCCTTGCCTGATTTTGGGATTCTGCATGTTTTGTTCAGTGCTATGTTCATCTGCTTTGCATGGACAGTCTTGTGCCAAACAGCACAGGTATACTCAGCAGTTGAGTAAGACAAGGCCAGGGCTGACGTTCTTATTAATTTTTGGGTCTGCACTCCAAAATAATTATAATTATAATTATAATTATTAATAATTAATATTATAATATTAATTGATTATTATTATTATTATCCCATTATTTTCTCCTATTATTTTCCCTGATAGATACTGTTGGGGTTCTTTGATTCTATGTTCCTGTATGGCAGGGGATTGGACTCCTTGGACCCTTGTGGTCTCTTCCAACTCTATGATTCCATGTTTAATGAATGTTAAAACAATATTATGACATTGTATTATGCTAATGCAACTTAATGTCAGGCTTTTTTTTTACCTAGCAGTACAGTTCTCAGCTAAAGTAGATCTTTCTTTAGATTTTATATCTATATATAGAAAAAAAAAAGTAAAGCCAAAGATTGCAGGTGGCTCCCAGTACAAACTGTCCCTCTTGAATGTAACACAATTCAGTAGAAATCCATTTGAAGGGAAAGTCTAAGAGGAAATTCCTCAAGGCATTCAACCAAAAAAAAAAATGACGAGTTAATATTTAGACAGGTGAGCTTGCTGGAAACTCTGTTGGAGTATTTGTATCAATATTCCCATAGATAACAGATAAATACTATGAGAAAACTAATTGCCAATCATTCAATCTAAAGAGGTTAGGAATAAATAACCTTTAAAAGATTTATGAAAAAAGAAATTAAAGAATGATAGTGGAAAAACCCAAAAATGACTGTAGGAGCCTCTGATTCTTGAACAATAGACTATTGTAATAAAGAGTTATAAATGTACTAATGGAAACTATGTAGTGCCCAGCAGTACTGAACTGTTATCTTAGGAATGTACCAGATTTTCCCAGGGTTAATTCTCAGCCAAAAGTTTTAATTGTGTTTCAGGAATGCTTCTAGCAGCATGAAAATTGCTGCCTCTTCTGATTATGGTTCTGAAATAGGTGGTTCTGAAACAAACCCAGAGGGTGCTCACCATTGCTTCCTCTTCTTCCTGGAAGTGATGAGTGGAGTGCCGCAGGGTTCAGTCCTCAGCCTGGTCCTGTTCAGGATCTTTATTAATGACTTAGATGAAAGGTTAGACGGCATGATCATCAAGTTTGCAGACGACACCAAATTGGGAGGGAGAGCCAATAGTCCAGAAGACAGGATCAGAATTCAAAACAATCTGAACAGATTAGAGAGGGGCCAAAAGTAACAAAATGAAGTTCAACAGTGACAAATGTAAGATACTCCACTTAGGCAACAAAAAAAATGAAATGCAAAGATACAGAATGGGGGGCGCCTGGCTCGAGAGCAGTACGTGTGAAAAAGATCTTGGAGTCCTTGTGGACAACAAGTTAAACATGAGCCAACAATATCATACGGTGGCAAAAAAAAAAAAGCCAATGGGATTTTGGCCTGCATAAATCAGAGTATAGTGTCTAGATCCAGGGAAGTCATACTACCGCTCTATTCCGCCTTGGTTAGACCACACCTGGAATATTGTGTCCAATTCTGGGCACCACAATTGCAGGGAGATATTGACAAGATGGAATGTGTCCAGATTAGGGCGACTAAAATTATCAAGGGTCTGAAGACCAAAACCTATAAGGAGCAGCTTAAAGAGCTGGGCACGTTTACCCTGAAGAAAGCTGAGAGGAGACATGATAACCATGTATAAATATGTGAGGGGAAGTCATAGGGAGGCAGGTGCAAGCTTGTTTTCTGCTTCCCTGGAGACTAGGATGCAGGACAATGGCTTCAAACTACAGGAAAGGAGATTCCACCTGAACATTAGTGACGAGACTCCAGTGAATGGTTACCGTAGTAATTGTGTATTAATTGTATATTAGATTAGGTTGTTAACTGTTTTATATTGGTGTTGAATTCTGCTGTGTTCTGTGTCTTGTGAACCGCTGTGAGTCGCCTTCGGGCTGAGAACAGCAGTATAGAAGCAAAGTAAATAAATAAATAAATAAACATGAGGTCTCTTCCAAATCTATGATTCAATGATTCTGTGATTCTAATTTACATATTCAGTCTTCAGTTCAGAAGTAATTCATTCAGTGTAGCAGATCAAAGTGCAGAAACAAATGAGCAAAAGCAAATGTTTGCTGCGTGGTTTCCTTTCTATTTGGTTAATGTCACTGTTTTCAGATATTTTTGTCAATAGTACTGTTCAATCTACTGAGATGTCACTTCCAAGTTATTCAGTGCATTCTCAGCCAAGCAATGCACTGCAATTGTCTCAGGAACAAGGAAAGTTCAAAAATGTAATCAGGCTGTGTTTGTTAGGAGTTCTGAAAAGGACAATTTGTTTAATAGGTTTTTGTTTTCAATCAGTCTTTCATAAAACCCTATCAATTCTTCCGGAGCCATGGGGAGGCAGCAGCCACTCCAAATTAAGCTAGTCTGACAGGATTGTTCTGTGATTTTTTGCTTTGATTGTTCTTGTTATATCTGGTTTTCTTGCATCATGTTTAGACGTATGGTCCAACCTGTTCTTGCAACCTGGTAAAGATGTCAAGGCAGTCACAGCTAGTCATAATTGGGTGGTAGAGAGTGTTCTGATAGGCTCTGGAGGTGTCAGGGGATGGACATGGGGATGTAGAGATTATAAATCTGCCAGTCTCTAAAGGTAAAAAGACAGGGAAGGAAGAATAAAGCAGAGCTAGCTTATTCTCCATTTTGGTAGCTACTAGAAGGCATGTCTGAGGGCTGCTAAACCAGGCAATAACCAAAACTCCCTAACAAGAAAAGCCTTGCTCTGTTCCTTCTCCAATCCTTCAGAGGAACTATGTTTTGGCTAAAAGTCTTCCTTGGCATCTTTATCTTGCATTGTAGTGCGGCTGAAGGAAATGAGCTGTAAGATGCAACACATTTTTATATTTTTAATCATTGGTCTATATTTATATTATTATATCAGCTGCTTCTAAAATTTGGGGAAATAGGTCAGAATCAGATCAACATATCAAGTGAAAAGAACAGAAAGAGCCATTCTTATAACTTTTATTTATATTAATGTGTATTACACAAACAGATCATAGATAAAAGCAAGGAGCCCAGCTTTTCTCATTTATAGAGTGTGGCATGTCAGCATCCACTGCCAAAGCTCTATTTTTATCCAAATAGATGAGCCCATGTACTGAAGCATTGGAAAAAAAGGGATATAAATTGTTTGCACTGCTGCTATTTGTGTACGAACAGTGAAGTCTTCTAGCTAATAATAACTTTGTGTTTCTTCTGATTCAGTTAATCAAGGATGATTTTTTAGGGAGTAACTTTATCCATCCCAGAAGGCTCTGTTTTTCCACGTCATGATTTGTTTTTGTTGGTAGGCACTAATACTCTCTTCTGGGATTTCACAGGCAATATCTCCTAGTAGTACCTTCCGTCTTGCAGAGTGCCTCCTCAAATACAGCATGTGTGCAACTTGTCAGCCTCAATGAGTCTGTGAACCTGAATGTTCTTCTGGAGTACCAAGGACAGAACGTCACCATTTTGAAAGAGCAAGTGAGAAAGCAGAATTTTTTCAAGTGCAGTACCTTTCAGGTAAGACTCAGTTTTAGGATACTGAGAAAGAAGTGTAAATGGAGAAAAAGAAGGAAACAGAAAAAGTGCAGTGAAATTGTAGGATGTCATATGGAGTAGACAAATGTAATAATGTCTAAGGCTTTCACAGCAACCCAATGTAATAAGGTTTAGCATGCTTTGAATCCATCTAATCCATTATTATTATTATTATTATTATTAGTAGTAGTAGTAGTATCTTGGAGTCCTCGTGGACAACAAGTTAAACATGAGCCAACAATGTGATGTGGCGGCAAAAAAAGCCAATGGGATTTTGGCCTGCATCAATAGAGCATAGTGTCTAGATCTAGGGAAGTAATGCTACCCCTCTATTCTGCTTTGGTTAGACCACACCTGGAATATTGTGTCCAATTCTGGGCACCACAATTCAAGAGAGATTGACAAGCTGGAATGTGTCCAGAGGAGAGCGACTAAAATGATAAATGGTCTGGAGAACAAGCCCTATGAGGAGCGGCTTAAGGAGCTGGGCATGTTTAGCCTGAAGAAGAGAAGGCTGAGAGGAGATATGATAGCCATGTATAAATATGTGAGAGAAGCCACAGGGAGGAGGGAGCAAGCTTGTTTTCTGCTTCCTTGGAGACTAGGACGCGGAACAATGGCTTCAAACTACAAGAGAGGAGATTCCATCTGAACACGAGGAATAACTTCCTGACTGTGAGAGCTGTTCAGCAGTGGAACTCTCTGCCCCGGAGTGTGGTGGAGGCTCCTTCTTTGGAAGCTTTTAAACAGAGGCTGGATGGCCATCTGTCAGGGGTGATTTGAATGCAATATTCCAGCTTCTTGGCAGGGGGTTGGACTGGATGGCCCATGAGGTCTCTTCCAACTCTTTGATTCTATGATTCTATGATTCTAGTAGTAGTAGTAGTAGCACATTGCACTTGCCCAGAAATCCAACATACCACCTGTCACACCCAGCACTTTTTAATCTGTACCCATCACTGGCCCGGCCCTGGTTTTTACTGCGTAATGGTGTAATGTTTTGTTATTGCTTTATGTTTTTAATTTGCTTTGAATTGTATTGTTGTTGTTATGCTGTTGTTGTGTTGAGGCCTTGGCCTTTGTAAGCCGCATCGAGTCCTTCGGGAGATGCTAGCGGGGTACAAATAAAGTTTAATAATAATAATAATAATAATAATAATAATAATAATAATAATAGTAGTAGTATTTATTTATTTATTTATTTGTACTCTGCTTTTTCTTTCCACAAAGGAGACTCAAAGCCAGGCCCGTAGCCAGGAATTCGTTTGGGGGGGGGGGGCTGAATTTTTTTCAGGGCCAGGATTTTGATTCGGGGGGTGCTGAGTCTGAGTGAAAGAGGGTCTACCCTAGCAAACCTTTTGTATCATTACCCCAATACCCCCATGCATATGGGATATATTGAGCATGGTGATCAGATCATGATATGAATAAACATAACAGTTTAAATAATGTACCAGTAAGGCCTTCTCACAGACCACCATGAGAATTTTGGGGGGGACGGGCTGAAGCCCCTCAAGCCCCCCCCTCCCCCGGCTACATGCCTGCTCAAAGCAATTTACATTTAAAGTATTTCAATACAATTTAAAACTACAAATATTAAAACAGAATTAAATATCTATGTTATTTTCAAAATTCACAGTCAAAGGCCAGTATTGTCAACTTTGACTGAATGGAATGGTTTTCCAGGGTTTCAGGAAGAATTCTTTCTGACTGTTACCTGGAGATCACACTGGTGATCTCCTAACCAAGTTTTTACTATAATTGACACTACTTATCTTCTAAAAAAAAGCAGACAAGTTTAGGAAAGTTCAGGGTATTTTGGAAGTATCTAAAGTGTTTCATATATATAAAGTACTGTGTGCATGTGTGTATTAATCACCATGTATATGTTGAGGACAGGCTTGGGAGCCAAAATTATGGATTTTTATTACCTAAGGATAAGTTCAATCAATCAAATCATTTATTTCGGTCATTGACCAGCACAGGAAATAGAGACACATTTTCATACAAACTTGGTATGTTTGGTACATTAAAAATATAAATATAACTACTGAAGCACAATATGGGTGAGGGAGCAGAAGGGAAGGGTAAACAGGGTAAAAACATACAATGCCCAGATCCATCACCAAATTGTAGATTCACAGAAGAAGATTACTGGACACACAGTTAACTTTTGGGAGTAGTCATTCCCTGACGGATTTTGTATGCTGCTGCACAGAACTTTGCAACATTGTAGGTTGTAGCTGAATTAATATCTGCAAGTAGCATGGAGGTATAAAATTGTCCTGAATGGCTTGGGTGCTTGTATAACAGAGGTAAGATAAGCCTGGCATGGATATCCCTGTAGAACGGGCACTGGAGGAGCACATGTTCTATTGTTTCTACATGACCCGAGTCACAGGGGCAGAGTCTCTCTGGGAAAGGGATCTTCCGGTAGCGGCCTTCGAGTACAGCTGATGGGAGAAGTGAAGGGTCATTCTGTGGAGAGGGGAAAGCCCCTTGCCACCATAGGAGTTCAGATGCTCCTGGTATTACCAAAACCATTGCCTTGCCCTGCCCTTCAAAGGTGCCACAAGCAGCACCATGGTATAGAAAGTAGAGGAGGCCACTGCTTCCTTTAGCGCCCCCCCCCCCACCCAATGTACTAAGCTGTATCCTGATTTTTTTTTAATAATAGTGAATATACATACTTACATTGACCCATAGATAATCTGACCTGGGGGATTTGGGTCAATGTCTTGACTAAATTTTCTAGACTTATACATGCCTACATGCAGAATCTCTTTCATTGGTACAGTTTCTGAGAAATCCAACAAACCTGCCATATGTAGACTTTTGTTTTCTGTCAATGGGTGTTCAGGAAAGAAAGAAATGTAAGCATTCTCTTTGTTACAGCCTTATTTTGATTATTACTAGACTACATTCTGCAAAGATAAAGAATGGGCGATGCCTGGCTTGACAACAGTCCATGTGAAAAAGATCTTGGAGTCTTTGTGGACAACAAGTTGAACACGAGCAAACAATATAATACTGCAGCTAAAAAAGTCAATGTGATTTTGGGCGGCATCAAAAGGAATATAGTGTCTACTAGTTTGAGGAAAGTCATGGTGCCTCTCTATTGAAGCTTAGGTCAGACCTCACCTGAAATACTGTGTCCAGTTCTGTGCATCACAATTTAAAAGAGATATTGACAGCTGGAAGGTGTCCAGAGGAGGGCAACTAAAATGATCTAAGGTCTGGAGACCATAAATCCCTATGAGGAATGGTTTAAAGAGCTGGGTATGTTTAGCCTGCAGAAGAGCAGGTTGAGAGGAGACATTATCGCCATGTATACATATGTGAAAGAGTGCCATAAGGAGGAGGAAGCAAGCTTGTTTTCTGCTGCCCTGGAGACTATGACTCAATGGAGCAATGGGTTAAAATTACAGGAACAGATATTCCACCTAGAATCATAGAATCATAGAATCAAAGAGTTGGAAGAGACCTCATGGGCCATCCAGTCCAACCCCCTGCCAAGAAGCAGGAATATTGCATTCAAATCACCCCTCACAGATGGCCATCCAGCCTCTGTTTAAAAGCTTCCAAAGAAGGAGCCTCCACCACACTCCGGGGCAGAGAGTTCCACTGCTGAACGGCTCTCACAGTCAGGAAGTTCTTCCTCATGTTCAGATGGAATCTCCTTTCTTGTAGTTTGAAGCCATTGTTCCGTCCTAGTCTCCAGGGCAGCAGAAAACAAGCTTGCTCCCTCCTCCCTGTGACTTCCTCTCACATATTTATACATGGCTATCATATCTCCTCTCAATCCCTGAACATTAGGAAGAACTTCCTGATCGTATGAGCTGTTTAACACTGGAACTCTCTGCCTCAGAGTGTGGTGGAAGCTCCTTCTTTTGAGGCTTTTAAACAGAGGCTGCATGGCCATCTTTTGGGGGGTGCTTTTCCTGCATAGCAGGGACTTGGACTAGATGGTCCACATGGTCTCTTCCAACTCTATGATTCTACATTTTGCTAGATTATTACTAGACCATACAGGCACTCCCCAACTTTAAAATATCTGACTTACAAATGGCACATAGTTAAGAGCGGGGTGAGACAACAGGAAGTGAGAGAAATCTACCCAAGGAAGGGAAATTCACTCCTGGATGTGTTATCATAGGGAAAAAATGTCTCCAGTGAATTTTTCTCACCAATCCTTGTATCCACAACAAGCCATTTTTTTTTTCAAAATCCAGTTATCATAGGGACAGAATAATGAGGTGAAATCTTTTGAAAAGAACAGCAAAAGAAACACTGCAGGATTTTGCTAGGTTATCCATAGCAGCTAATATATTATATATTTTTGGCTGGAGTTACACTTAAAAATGTACCTGTTGTGATGTACATATAAATTCAATTTAAGAATAAACCTACAGAACCTATCTTGTTTGTAATTTGGGGACTGTCTGTACTGTACATATGCAATGTACTGCCTTGTCACATGCATTGTCTCATGTCCAACTCTGTCATGGCTCCCCCCCCCCCCCCATCACACAGGGAGAAGCCTTTTTATGGCATCTCAACCCATCTTTCTTTTTTCAGTAGCAGCAGGCCCGTAGCCAGGATTTCGTTTGGGGGGGGGCTGAGTTTTTTTTCAGGGGGGGGTTCGGGGCTGAGTTTGGGGGGGCCTGAGTCTGAGTGAAAGAGGGTCTAGCCTGGGATATATTGAGTATGGTGATCAGATCATGATATGAATAAACATAACAGTTTAAATAATGCACCAGTAAGGCCTTTTCGCGAACCACCATGAGAATTTCGGGGGGGGGGGGCTAAGCCCCTCAAGGCCCCCCCCCCCCAGGCTACATGCCTGATGGAACTGTTGATTTGTTCCAGTTCAGCCACGGAGCCTCTGAAGTAGTTCTCCGAGGTGTGATGGGAACCATTGGGCTCCGTGACTGAACTAGGAAAGCCCCCATCTCTGCTACCGAAGAAAGGTAAGTGTGAACTGAGCCATAGCATGGGGGGGGGGGTTTAAGGGTTCAACCCCCCCCCAAAATGTGTCAGGTTTTTAAAAAAGGGGTTTACTCGTAAATTTTAACTTGTTAACCAATTCATGAGAAAAATCGGGTTTTTTAACCTGACACATTTGGAGGGGTTGAAGCCTTAACCCCCCCCTCCCCCCGGCTACAGGCCTGGTGAAGCGATCCATAATCTAAATGTGAAAACTGGAATCCTTTGAGCAAAGTACAAAGAAAGTGCAAATAAGGGAGTGCAAGAGTCCCTTATGTAATGTAATGATTTGGTCTTTTCCAAGGTCCCTTATGCCAGAATCAGTCCTTTGGCTTTCATCACTATCTCCTTCAAAGGCAGCACTCTTAATGAAACAGAGCGAAGGTCTGTGGCCATTCAAAACACAGGCAATGTGGTTTTCATCCAGACTGATAAACCTATCTATAAACCAGGAGAGAAAGGTAAGTAAAGGTCATGTCTCTATCATGTCCACAGCAGTTTTTGGGCACATGGAGGCTTATGATGAATATCCTTGAAGTAAACAGTGATAACTCTATTATTCTAGTGCAGAAAACTGGGTCCATAATTGTATGATCAGTCCAAGATTATTGTCTGGACAACTTTTTTGTGTCAGAAGCGACTTGAGAAACTGCAAGTTGCTTCTGGGGTGAGATAATTGGTCATCTGCAATGACCTTGCCCAGGGGACGCCCGGATGTTTTACCATCCTGTGGGAGGCTTCTCTCATATCCTCAAATGGGAAGCTGGAGCTGACAGATGAGAGCTCACCCTGCCTTGCGTATTCAAACCTCCAACCCGCAGGTCAGCAGTTCAGCCAGCACAAGGATTTAAGCCATTGCACCACCATGGCATTGTTTTCTGGACAACTGGGCCATTACTTTTCCATGGTAAATTTTGGGATGGAAAATTTCCTCCTGGGGGAAAAGAGACTGCTGAGGAACTCTCTGCCCCGGAGTGTGGTGGAGGCTCCTTCTTTGGAAGCTTTTAAACAGAGGCTGGATGGCTATCTGTCAGGGGTGATTTGAATGCAATATTCCTGCTTCTTGGCAGGGGGTTGGACTGGATGGCCCATGAGGTCTCTTCCAACTCTTTGATTCTATGATTCTATGATTTTATGATTCTATGACTAATGGGTTGATTTACCACCAGTCCCACTCCCCTCAAGTGAACATGAAAAGAAAAGCAGACAAGTTAAGAGAGGCTGTAGTACAGGGGTCCTCAAACTTTTTAAACTTCATAAATACCTGGAGCGAAATATGTAATTGGCTCAATTAAATATCCACGTAGACAGCATAGATAAGACCTGGAAGCTATGATATCAAATGAAAGAAAGGAAGAAACACTCAAATCAGAGGTGTAAAGAGTGTTTGCTGCAGTCTGAGGTTGCTCCCTATAGTTTTTCTGTCCCCCAGATTTCTCAGAGTCACACAACCACACAAAAATCCCAATGAGAGTTAATACTGTTCCCCAAATAACTCAAAATCATCCAAGTCACCACTGAATTGCTGCAGTTTGAGTAATTTGTCCCATGTAACCCATTCACCCTCACCCCATCCCAAAAGTGTTTAATCTTGGTTGAAGAAAGGAACTAGAAATTACATTCCTGCCCTTCCAGGTCTTATCTATGCTGTCTACATGGATATTTAATTGAGCCAATTACATATTTCGCTCCAGGTATTTATGAAGTCTGACAACAATTTTTCAATATAAATCTTCCTTCAAGGACACGTTGAAGCAGAAACCATTTGAGTTCTCTTCAACCCTGTTGCAAAAAGGAATGGTTGACATGCTTGTGGCATGTTCCCAATATTATTGTTCCCAGAGAGCTGGACGACAATCATACTCAGCCACAAATGAAAGCGTATGATGGGGAAAATTATGTTGTCCTATAAATGGAATCTGGTGACATGCCTAGGTCATCCTCATCACTTATTATCTGCCTGTAACCTATGTGACAGTCATCCATGAAGCCTGGGGGCTTAGTTTACCCTTGAATGTTCAGGGTAAACTAAGGTAAACTAAGCCCCCAGGCTTCATGGGTGACTATCACATAAGTGATGAGGATGACCTAGGCATGTCACCAGATTCCATTTATAGGACAACATACTTTTTTCCCATCATACACTTTCATTCATGGCTGAGTACGATTGTCGTCCAGGGGTAGAGTCTTGGCGGTGAGTCTGCACATGACTGTTCTGGATCTGCATGGTCTTTCGAAGAGATGAAAGGCGGTCATGACAAGGGTTAGCTTAACACACCTTCCTCTTTACAAGTTTCTCCTTTTTGTCCTCTATTTGTGCCTCTTCAAAATCCACAGCACTGTTGTTAGAGCACTCGAGGACCATTTCGGTGTTTATTCCACATTTTTAAGGTTAGCTTTCGGCCCATCTTTAAATCTCTTTTGCTGTCGACTCACATTTCCATTCTTGTAGGACAACATAATGGAGTATTAGGCAGGTGACTCAAGAGGTCAGATACCTACAGGGGTTGGGTGAAAGTGGGCATTTAAAAACTCAAATTAACTTCGCAAATTTGTTGTGTATAAAAATGGTAATGTGAGACAACTCTAAATGTATGCCAGAACCAATATTTGAACAAAAATATCTCAACTAATGAGCATCTACTATGTCTTGTTATTTCCTCCTGGAGTGTTGTTTTCTAGGGCTGGGCAACCACGGAAAAATTTGTTTCTAAACTCGATTCGTTTTTTGGGGTTTTTTGCGTTTCGATATTTAAAAGAATTCCGAAATTTTTCTTTAAAAAAGTTCGATATTTACGAAATTTCATAAAATTACGAAACAATACGAAACGAATACGAAACGAATACGAATCGATTCGTTAATGGCGGACGCGACCATGCAATACGCTAAAAAACCTCCATATGGGACAGGGGGAACTTCTGAAGCTTCCCTCTCCCTCTGTTGTTGACTGTTGGTGTGATATTTATATTTTTTCACTGATTAAACAAACAACAGCTATAAAACTTGCCCCAGACATGCGGAAATAATAACGAAACGATTTTGAAACGATTTCGAAACGAATACGAAACGAATACGAAGCAATTACGAAACGAATTGAAAAATTCGTTTCGTTTTTAAGATGCTCCTGAATGGTTCAATATCGCTTCGTTATAAAAAATAACGAATTTTTAACGAATTACGAAATTACGAAACGAAACCGCCCAGCCCTATTGTTTTCCTTAATTATAAACATGACAGGCACTTGCTTTGTTTTGTGATAAATAAGTAAATTTCCCTCATAATCTTATCTTCTTCCTCCAGTGCTCTACCGAGTTGTTGCTTTGGATACAAACTTCAGACCAGTTCCTGAAATTGTAAGTATATGAAAGGGAGGAAGAATTTTCTCAAATCACTTTGTTGGTTATTATTATTCATTTAGAAATCTAGAAAGGGGTAAAGTCCATTTACATTGCCTAGATGGTGGTTACAACATCACAGAAATATAACTGATACGTATATGCTAATATTTAAAAAATCTTAAACAAAGCTAGTATGAAACATGACTTCTCATGTAAATTTAATTCTTGCGTATATTTATATTTCCATATTTTTTTAATCATCTGATCAATTTTCCCCAGTTACAACTACAGACCAATGGATCAATAGATGGAATTGGAACTTGATCTATTTATTTGTACAAAATAGTGTCCGAAAGCAAGCAATCCAGGAAACAAATCAAATCCCAAAACTGTACATGAAGGTACAATGGCAGTCCCGAATTAGACAAAATTGCCCTACCCTCTGATTTTTATGAAAATACTACCACCCTCCACCTCAAAATCTGTTGAAGAAAATTCTTTCAGGAATAAAAGATGGATGGTCTATGCAGTGTTTCCCAATTGCTATAATCTGCATTTCCTTCATCTGCAAATATCCATAGAAAATATAATTATGTAGCACTGATTGCTGACATGAAGTATATTTTTACATTATTTTCCTCCTTCCTATTTTGCCCATACAGCAGTATTCAAGCTGAAAATGCAAGTGTTTCTTGCTTTTAATTGTTATTATTATCAGCAGAAGGCGCCCTCCTCACCTTTTCGTTCTCCACCATTGAGACTTATGTCCAGACAGTGCAGTTTTCATCAAGTATTAGAGATCAACCCCATTCAAAGATTAGTCCATTAGATATTTGAAGGTGTAGCTCTTTAAAGTTGTCAAAGCATTCCCCGAGTTGTAACAGTTCTTTCTCATTCATCTCTTCTAGTATCCGTTGATCGTCATCCAGGTAAGAGACTCTCTGTTTTTGTTTCATATATGCATTTTGTTATACATCTGATGGTGAAGAAACTCAAGTTGTTAAAATAGAGCAATTTAAGGCAGTCATGGATAGTGAAATCCAGACTGCGGATAGTGAAACTCACGTTGCAGATACCAAGATCTTTGGGCACTGCTCTCTGTGGCTTCCTCTGCCATAACTCCATCTAAAGTTTATTAATAATTTGACCTGGGAGGGGAGGGTCACGCTCAACATCACTGACTAGAAGTGCTTTCACCCTGCGCAATTGTGACACAGTGATCCCACTTTAACTCCCACTTTTGGGTGACAACTGTGATTGATCAGTTGTCACCCCAAAGTGCTTTAAGCTGGTCATACCACTGAATTTTTGGCCTGAAATCACTCTAGAGATAGATTTACCAAGTCAGGTCAGGACATTTCAAGATCAGAATCAGAGACCTAGGGATGACCATTTGTGATGTCATAATAATAGTAATAATAATAATTTTATTTCTTACCCACCTCTCCTCATGCGTCGAGGTGGGTTACAACATTGCTCAAACACATGATCAAAACACACAATCATTTAATGCAAATTCGTAAAATTTTATTTATTTATTTATTTATTTAAAACATTTATATTCCACCCTTCTCGCCCCGAAGACAAACATTCAGTGTCGGGACAAGAATTCATATACGCATACATAAAACAATAAAAACATTTATCTCAGTATTAAAATACACCATTTAAAACCATCTTGGTCATCTGCATCTAATCTAATGGGTCTGGAGAACAAGCCCTATGAGGAGCGGCTTAAGGAGCTGGGCATGTTTAGCCTGAAGAAGAGAAGGCTGAGAGGAGATATGATAGCCATGTATAAATATGTGAGAGGAAGCCACAGGGGGGAGAGGGAGCAAGCTTGTTTTTTGCTTTCCTGGAGGCTAGGACGCAATGGAACAATGGCTTCAAACTACAAGAGAGGAGATTCCATCTGAACATGAGGAAGAACTTCCTGACTGTGAGAGCCGTTCAGCAGTTGAACTCTCTGCCCCGGAGTGTGGTGGAGGCTCCTTCTTTGGAAGCTTTTAAACAGAGGCTGGATGGCATCTGTCAGGGGTGATTTGAATGCAATATTCCTGCTTCTTGGCAGGGGGTTGGACTGGATGGCCCATGAGGTCTCTTCCAGCTCTTTGATTCTATGATTCTAATGGAGCCCCTGGTGGCGCAGTGGGTTAAACCCCTGTGCCGGCAGGACTGAAGACCGACAGGTTGCAGGTTCTAATCCGGGGAGAGGCGAATGAGCTCCCACTATCACCTCCAGCTCCTCATGCGGGGACATGAGAGAAGCCTCCCACAAGGATGATAAAAAGATCAAAATCATCCGGGCGTCCCCTGGGCAACGTCCTTGCAGACGGCCAATTCTCTCACACCAGAAGCGACTTCTGACATGACAAAAAAAAAAAAAAATCTAATCTAATTGGCCTGGTAATCTTTCCTATTGCTGTTTTATTGCCCTGTCCCGCAAGCTTGGCCCCACAACCACGTGTTCACCATCTTTCTGAAGGACAGGAGGGAGGGGGCCGATCTGATCTCGCCAGGAAAGGAGTTCCATAGCCGGGGGGGCAATCACCGAGAAGGCCCTGTCTCTTGTCCCCACCAATCACGCCTGTGACAATGGTGGGACAGAGCGCAGGGCCTCCCCGGAGGATCTTAATCTCTGCAATGGTTCATAGGGGGAGATGCGTTCAGACAGGTAAATTGGGCCGGGGCCGTTTAGGGCTAAAATACACATATTAAAATATATTTCCATGCAATACATATTAAAATACACAAAACAAAAATTAGATGTAGAATTGAAGCTTAAAATTTGTCATCAAAACTGTCTGGGTAACCCAGAAGAGACAAGGCTTCACTTGCGTCTTAAATTCCATCGGAGCTCTACCAGCAGGTCGTTCCATAGTCTTGGGTTGGTCCCAGTGGTGTTAAAAAACTAATGATACAAGGAAAGGCCTCTGGTGATGTCATTCAGCATGATACATTATGTATCATGATCACATAGAGTGCACCATTGAAATAAAAACCACCAAGCCCAAGTAATGTTGAAAATGCATATACACACACTGAGTGTCTGGCTGAGAATCTTTTCCTTTACCTGGACAAGTCAGACCTGTAGTCTCTGGGGCAAAACAAATCCTACCCAGAAGCAAATGGAAGACGTCTTCCAATTTGTACTTTCAGAGCCTGAATCTTACACTGCCATATAACCATCCTGAGATGGTTTTAAGCAACTGATTTTAAAGTGGATATAAGTGATTTTAATGTTTCTGTATATTTATGGTTTTATGTCCCAACACTGAATAATTGCCGTAAATATGTTGTGCTCTGCCCTGAGTCCCTTGCAGGGTGAGAAGGGCGGAATATAAATATTTCAAATAAATATAATCAAGTTCAAGGCAGATAATCTGGATTTCATATGGCTGTGAAAATCCAGCCTGGGTTTGAGAGCCAGCTTTCTGCTATTTTGAATATATGGAAAGTGAACCATTGCTTCATGAGAAACAATTCTAGACTATTTTGAACCCTAACATTTTGAGGGTTGCATACAGGACAGGCCCCATTTTCCCTCTCTTTGGTTTCCATGTCCAGTTGCTGGAGTGTAGCTGAATTTATAATTAGTAGTTTTGCTATTATATCAGTTTCATTTTAACAACCTCATCTGTAACAATAGAATGCAAGCAAAGTTTATTGAATAGTCTATTGAATAGTCAACATTAAAAACAAAAACAGAAACGTGCACAAACAGACAACAATCACCATCCCAAGACCCCCACAACAGCGAACCAACACACATTCAAACCTGAATAGGTTAAAAGATAACTAAAAATATCATCATTAAAATGTAGAGATAAAATTTCATCTGTAACAATAGAGTGCAACAGATTTTAAAAAAAAAACAAAACAAAACAAAAAGGAAGAATCAGATTGATTGTAGGTGGAGGCTCTTTCTTTGGAGGCTTTTAAATAGAGGTTGGATGGCCATCTGTCGGGGTGCTTTGAATGCGATTTTCCTGCTTCTTGGCGGGTGTTGGACTTGATGGCCCACAAGGTCTCTTCTAATTCGATGATTCTATGATTTCATTGTTTCTGTTCTTGATAACTAAGGCTGAATCTACATTGCCATATAATCCAGTTTCTGAATCTAGATTATCTGCTTTGAACTGGATTAAAATGAGTACACTACCATATAATCCAGTCCAAAGCAGATAATCTAGACTCAGAAACTAGATTATATGGCAACGTAAATGTTGTCTGAGAAACAAATAGAAATAACCTGGAACCACCAGCTGGTAATCACTAATCTATGTTCTTCTGCATCTCTTTGCTCCTTGTCTGAATTCATCTTTATTTGTCCTTTACAGGATCCCCGGGGCAACCAAATATTTCAGTGGATAAATGTAACATCGGAAACTTCAATTGTCCAGTTATCATGTAAATTAATTTCGGAACCAATCCTGGGGGACTACCAAATCATTGTGGAGAAGAAGTCAGGAACCAGAACCTTTCATTCTTTTACTGTAGAGGAATATGGTAAATACCTGCACCTTCTGTTTTTAAAGGATTTGAAGAGTTCTGGAATTTATCTGTTTTAGATTTAATTGAATTTTCTCAGAATGTGTAGAGAAGGGACATCTTTTTCTTCAAAAAATAGTTATCTGTTCTTGGACTTCCACAACTCACTGGAGAAAAACCGAATACAATACAACTGCAGAACTGTATACAAAATATTGTTCCCTTGCCATTAGTATTTTATGTGCTTGCACTCTAAATCCGGAGTTTTGGGGTACGATGTCATCTGTACGCAGATGATGTCCAACTCTATCACTCTTTTCCACCTGCCACTAAGGAGGCTGTTCAGGTCATGAACCGGTGCTTGGCCGCTGTCTCGGACTGGATGAGGGACAACAGATTGAAACTAAATCCAGACAAGACAGAGGTACTCCTGGTCAGTCATAAGACCGAACAGGGTACGGGGTTACAGCCTGTGCTGGACGGGGTCACACTCCCCCTGAAAGCTCAGGTATGCAGTCTGGGAGTTCTCCTGGATTCATCGCTGAACCTGGAACCCCAGGTTTCAGCGGTGGTCAGGGGAGCATTCGCACAATTAAAACTTGTGCGCCAGCTGCGTCCGTACCTTGGGAGGGCTGACTTGGCCACGGTAGTACACGCTTTGGTTACATCCCGCTTAGACTACTGCAACGCTCTCTACGTGGGGTTGCCTTTGAAGACTGCCCGGAAGCTGCAGCAAGTCCAACGCGCGGCAGCCAGATTACTAACGGGGCTGGGTACAGGGAGCACACCACTCCGCTGTTACGCCAGCTCCACTGGCTGCCAATTAGCTTCCGAGCACAATTCAAAGTGCTGGTGTTGACCTATAAAGCCCTAAACGACTCCGGCCCTGTTTACCTCTCCGAACGTATTCTCCCCTACGAACCATCAAGATTATTAAGATCGTCTGGAGAGGCCCTGCTCTCGGTCCCACCGGCCTCGCAAGCGCGGCTGGTGGGGACGAGGGACAGGGCCTTCTCGGTGGTGGCCCCGCGACTCTGGAACTCTCTCCCTCTGGAGGCCAGAACCGCCCCATCCATCCTAACATTTAGGAAACGGGTGAAGACGTGGCTGTGGAGTCAGGCCTTCGATGAATGAGACAACACCATAGGACCCTGGATGGAAGTTGAGGTAGATCCATCTTAATAGGACGACTGACCACTGTAGTTTTATATATAGTGTTTTTAAAGTTGTTTTTGTAATTGTGATATATGATATTTTAATGAGTGTATATGTTTTTTATGGCTGGAAACCGGCTGAGTCCCTCAATGAGGTTGAGAAGCTCGGTATAGAAAACTGTGAAATAAATATAAATAAATAAATAAACTAATAAAAATATTCCAATTAGTCTGGTGAAGCTGGACAAAAGCGATATTATATATAACATATGTCCCACTTTCTGCTTTCCTGCAACAAAACAGTGCTTTACCCCGATCCCCTAAAGCATTTTAGAAAAATAGAAATAAAATCCTTTGAAACTAAAAACAAAAAAGGGTGAAATAGCACTAGGAAACACATGACTTTCCACTTTTTAGTGGTCTTAATTAGCCCTATTAATTTATTATTTATTTATTTAAAGCATTTCTATTCCGTCCTTCTCACCCCAGAGGTGACTCAGGGCGGAGAACAACATACAAATGGCAAACATTCAATGCCGGGACATAAATAAATTATATGTATACATAAACATTTAAAACATTTGTCTCAACATTAAAATCCACTGCTTAAACCATCTCGATTAACCACATTGAATCTAGTTGGCATGGTAAGGTTTCCTATTGCTGCTTTATTGCACTGTCCCCAAAGCCTGATCCCACAGCCAAGTTTTGGACAGGAGGGAGGGGGGGTCGATCTAATTTCACCAGGAAAGAAGTTCCATAGCCAAGGGGCAATCACTGAGAAGGCCCTGTCTCTTGTCCCCGCCAATCGTGCCTGTGACAGTGGAGGGGCGGAGAGCAGGGCCTCCCCAGAGGATCTTAATCTCTGTGATGGTTCATAGAGGAAGATGCGTTCGGACAGGTAAATTGGGCCGGGGCCGTTTAGGGCTTTATAGGCCAAAGCCAGCACTTTGAAACAACCCCGACCAAATAAGGATGTGGGAAGTAGTGGTAACTCATTAATATCTGGTAAAGCAAAGATGACCACATCTCCATATACGAACCCACATGATCCCTTCGATCATCTGGAGAGGCCCTGCTCTCGATCCCACCAGCCTCACAAGCGCGATTGGTGGGGACGAGAGAGAGGGCCTTTTCGGTGGTGGCCCCTCGACTCTGGAACTCACTCTCTAAAGACATCAGACAGGCCCCAACTCTGGCAGTCTTCAGGAGGAGCTTGAAGACGTGACTGTTCTAGTGTGCCTTCCCGGAATAATGATCCCATAGCACTTTACATTTCTTTAGGTCTGCTCGTATGCCCTTCCACAAACACCACTATCTCCTTTTCGTCCATGTCCCAGCATCACTTCCAATTTTAATTCTACATTTGGCCTTCCCACTGTTTTTAATTGTGTGCTGTCTTATTGATAATGTTGTATATTTTATTGTCTATGTTTTTATTTCATTTATTTGTATTGTTGTTTTATTGCTTGTATTGTTGTATTTGGGCTCGGCCTCATGTAAGCCGCATCGAGTCCCTTGGGGAGATGGTAGCAGGGTACAAATAAAGTGTTATTGTTGTTATTATTAGAAAACTGAAAGCTAAAATTTACGGGGGGGCGGGTGGCGGCTCAGGAAAGTATTTTGAATGAGAAAAGATTTTATCATTTTGTTAAAAGCCATCAGGGAAAGGCCAGGGCAAGCTTCTCTTCAGGAAATTACACAGGAAATATCATCCTATAGCCTTCAGACAGATAAAGATGGGGAATGAAAGTGGATGAGTTGACCCATCTTGGAATAGTTCCTTTTTTTTTTTTTGCATCAGTTCCCAGAATGCCTGAGCCAGCCAGCTAGAACATTCTTGGTATTGCACCCCCCCCCCCCCCCCCCCCCCAAGAAGCACTATCCGGGGCATTCCAAGCCTTGCAGTACAAAAAAGAGTGAGTCAGCTGCAAGCGAGCTATGAGAAGCATGTGGATTATATGTATGCCACCATATATTCTCCTTGTGGCAGAAAGGAAGAATAAACAAACATCTTAAGAAATAAAGATTCAAGAACTCTATTGTAAAGCAAGTATATCTTTGAGTATGCCATATGATTGCCCTCCACACTTTCTTTGAGTCAAGGCATAGAGGATCCCTCTGAAACTGAGGAACTAATCATTTTTAAAAGTACCGTATATACCTCAACATAAGTCGGGGTTTTCAGCCCTTTTTTTGGGCTGAAAAGGCCTCCCTCAGCTTATAATGGGGTCAAGGCTCCAATGCCGCCCTCACTGTTATGCTGTTTTCAGCCATTGCTTGCAATATATGATATATTTCTCTCTCCTCTTTTCCTACCTTAACAGTGTGTTCTCTTTTTTGAAAATGTTTTGAAAAGGGAAAGGAGGGGGAGCTTGTAAATGATATACAGATTTTTCCCCTAGAAATCTTTGCAAGCCCTGAGTTATCTGTATATATCTGTATGCTTAGACTACTGCAACGCTCTCTACGTGGGGTTGCCTTTGAAGACTGCCCGGAAGCTGCAAATAGTCCAACGAGCAGCAGCCAGATTACTAACGGGCGGCTGGTACAGGGAGCACACCACTCCGCTGTTCCGCCAGCTCCACTGGCTGCCAATTAGCTTCCGAGCACAATTCAAAGTGCTGGTGTTGACCTATAAAGCCCTAAACGACTCCGGCCCTGTTTACCTCTCCGAACGTATTCTCCCCTATGAACCATCAAGATTATTAAGATCATCTGGAGAGGCCCTGCTCTCGGTCCCACCGGCCTCGCAAGCGCGCCTGGTGGGGACGAGGGACAGGGCCTTCTCGGTGGTGGCCCCGCGACTCTGGAACTCTCTCCCTCTGGAGGCCAGAACCACCCCATCCATCCTAACATTTAGGAAACGGGTGAAGACGTGGCTGTGGAGTCAGGCCTTCGATGAATGAGACAACACCATAGGACCCTGGATGGAAGTTGATGTAGATCCATCTTAATAGGACGACTGACCACTGTAGTTTTATATATAGTGTTTTTAAAGTTGTTTTTGTAATTGTGATATATGATATTTTAATGAGTGTATATGTTTTTTATGGCTGGAAACCGGGCTGAGTCCCTCAATGAGGTTGAGAAGCTCGGTATAGAAAACTGTGAAATAAATAAATAAATATGCATATTCATCTTCATATATGCATTTTCCCTGAAATCTTTTGCAAGCCTGATTTCTGTGTATCTAATTGTATTAACTTTATATGTTAATTTTTGTTCCCTTGGAAGTGCTCATTGGCCTTTGCAAGCCAGATATATATATGTATGTGTGTATACACACACACACACATATACATCTTATAAAAGCATTTCCCCCTGAAATATTTGTTAATCTCTCCTACAGTTATATAAGTATTTCCCTCTGCAAGCCTTTGCAATCCCTGTGCACCTAAATATCTCTCTCTCTCTCTCTCTCTCTATCTATCTATCTATTAATTTTATATATGAATTTTTGCAACATATGTTTGCAGGTCTTTGCAAATCCTATATACATATAAATACCTAGAGACTTCCATGTACCTGTATATCTATATCTATATGTAGACATTATTTTTATATATGAATTTTCCCCTCACATGTTTGCAAATCTCCACAAATCCTATATAGATATAGATATTGAGGTACCTATATATTGAGGTACCTATATATCTGTATATATGTGTGTGTATGTGTGTGTGTATAAACCCCCCTAACAGATGGCCATCCAGCATCTGTTTAAAAGCCTCCATAGAAGAAGTCTCCACTACACTTCAGGGTAGAGAGTTCCACTGCTGAACAGCCCTTCTCACAGTCAGAAAGTTCTTGTTCAGGTGGAATCTCCTTTCTTTCCTGTAATTTGAAGCCATTGATTCATTGCGTCCTAGTCTCCAGGGAAGCAGAAAACAAGCTTGCTCCCTCCTCCCTGTGACTTCCTCTCACATATTTATACATGGTTATCATGTCTCTTCTCTGTCTTCTCTTCTGAAGGCTAAACATGGCCAGCTCTTTTAGCCGCTCCTCATAGGGCTTGTTCTCCTGACCCTGGATCATTTGAGTCGCCCAGATCCCAGTAAGGTGGCCTTCTGCAGCTGGCAGATGGTAATCTTGTCAGCGTCGATTGTGTTTAAGTGCAGGCCAAGGTCTTTAGGCACTGCACCCAGTGTGCCCATCACCACTGGGACCACCTTGACTGGCTTGTGCCAGAGTCTTTGCTGTTCGATCTTTAAATCCTCATATCGTGTCAGCTTTTTCAATTGTTTCTCTTCAACCTGCTGTCACCTGGGATTGCAACACTGACAATCCATACTTTGTTTTTTAACACAATTGTGAGGTCAGGAGTATAAAGATCCAAAACTCTGTCTGTCTGAATTCGGAAGTCCCAAAGTAGCAGGAATATTGCATTCAAAGCACCCCTGACAGATGGCCATCTAGCCTCTGTTTAAAAACCTCTAAAGAAGGAGCCTCCACCACACTCCAGGGCAGAGAGTTCCACTGCTGAACGGCTCTCACAGTTAGGAAGTTCTTCCTCATGTTCAGATGGAATCTCCTCTCTTGTAGTTTGAAGCCATTGTTCTGCATCCTAGTCTCCAGGGAAGCAGAAAACAAGCTTGCTCCCTCCTCCCTGTGACTTCCTCTCACATTCTTTGACTTGCTACATCTTGGTCTTATCTCACAGCTTCAGAAAAAAAAATACCTAAAATTTATAAAAACACATATTCAGATCACAGAGCAATAATGAATGTCCTAAAAATGCGTCAAAATTCTAGTCTGGAAGCAAAGATTGCAACATTTCATGGAGTATCTGCTCCCGCCTTTACTTTTTCTGTCCTGCAAAATCACCAAAATGTTCAAAATTGCAGACTTGAAACCGTGACAAAGCATACAAATGATTTTTCCTTTTCCTTCTCCAGTACTACCAAAGTTTGATGGTACGATCAGTGCACCAAAAACAGTCTCTGTGGAGAATCAAGATTTTGCAGTGAAGGTGTGCAGTGTGTAAGTATTGTCTTTATTTGTTAGGAACAGTCCCTATTATTCAGTCCCTGTGTCATCCTATTTTTGCAGCTGTTTTTAATTGTTCCTCTTTCTCTCTGCTCATTCCATTTTCTCCTTTAGTCTACATCTTACATTAATTGCTGCAAACTGAGTTCAAAAGTAATTTGCTTTCATTTTGTTCAGTTGAGTGTTTGGAAAGGAAAATAGCGGGCAGGATCTTCCCAGGTGGCTCAGACAAAAGTAAACTGCTGCAGATGATCTGGTTTTCACCAAGTTTATTTATTTATTTATTTATTTATTTATTTATTTACTGTACTTGTATACCGCTGTTTCTCAGCCTAGCTGGCGACTCAACGCGGTTTACAACAAAATACCAAATACAATAGTCAACAGTATACAATTTAAAACCATAAAAACATAATACACAATATTGGTACATCAATAACAATCCAATGCATCTCCTGACTAAAATCGTGATCCAGTTTTGTCGTCCATATTACCAATCCTTTAATCATCACATTCATTGCACCGAATTAACCAAATGCCTGTTCGAACATCCAGGTTTTTAATCTTCTTCGGAACACCATCAGCGAGGGGGCTGATCTTACCTCCATGGGAAGGGCGTTCCATAGCCGAGGGGCCACCACAGAAAAGGCCCTGTCTCTCGTCCCCGCCAGCCGCACCTGTGAAGCAGGCGGGATAGAGAGCAGGGCCTCCCCAGAAGATCTTAGGTTCCTGGCGGGCTGATAGGCCGAGATATGTTTGGATAGGTAGGTTGGGCCAGAACCGTTTAGGGCTTTATAGGCCAACGCCAGCACTTTGAATTGAGCCCGGTAGCAAATCGGCAGCCAGTGGAGCTGGTGCAGCAGAGGAGTTGTATGCTCCCTGCGCTCCGCTCCTGTTAGTAACATGGCTGCCGACCGTTGGACTAATTGGAGCTTCCGAGCCATCTTCAAAGGCAACCCCACGTAGAGAGCGTTGCAGTAGTCTAAACGGGATGTAACCAGAGCGTGGACTACCGTGGCCAAGTCAGACTTCCCAAGGTACGGGCGCAGTTGGCGCACTAGTTTTAACTGTGCGAATGCTCCCCTGGTCACCGCCGAAACCTGGGGTTCCAGGCTCAGCGATGAGTCCAGGATCACACCCAAACTGCGAACCTGCGTCTTCAGGCGGAGTGCGACCCCGTCTAACACAGGCTGTAACCCTATACCCTGTTCGGCCTTGCGACTAACCAGGAGTACCTCTGTCTTGTCTGGATTCAATTTCAATTTGTTCGCCCCCATCCAGACCGTCACAGCGGCCAGGCACCGGTTCAGGACCTCGACAGCCTCCTTAGTAGCAGGTGGAAAGGAGTGACAGAGTTGGACATCATCTGCGTACAGATGACATCGCACTCCGAAACTCCGGATGATCTCACCCAGCGGCTTCATGTAGATGTTAAACAACATGGGAGACAGTATTGAACCCTGAGGAACCCCACAAGACAAAGGTTGTGGGGTTGAACAGGAGTCTCCCAGTAACACCTTCTGAGACCGACCCTCAAGGAATGAGCGGAGCCACTGCAAAACAGTCCCTCCAAGACCCATTCCTGCGAGGCGTCCCAGAAGGATACCGTGGTCGACGGTATCGAAGGCCGCTGAGAGGTCCAGCAGCACCAACAGGGACACACTCCCCCTGTCGAGCTCCTGGCGCAGATCATCCACTAAGGCGACCAAGGCTGTCTCGGTACCATGTCCCGGCCTAAAGCCAGACTGTGCCGGATCCAGATAATCCGTGTCTACCAAGAATGCCTGGAGTTGTGAGGCCACCACACGTTCCATGACTTTGCCCAAAAAGGGGAGATTGGAAACAGGCCGATAGTTGACGAATTGAGTGGGGTCCAGTGATGGTTTCTTCAACAGCGGTTTTATCACAGCTTGCTTTAAGCTGGCTGGAATTTTGCCTTCCCGAAGGGAGGCATTAACCACCACCTTCACCCACTCGGCCAATCCCCCTCTGGCCTCCTTCAGAAGCCAGGATGGGCAGGGGTCTAGGATGCATGTGGTAGCTCTCATTCCTCCAAGCACCTTGTCCACATCCTCGATGATTGAACCAATTGAAATGAATCCATTAAAACCGGACAAGCAGATGCTCGTGTTACATCCTCAGAGAATGCTGTTAACGTGGTGTCAAAGTCGGAACGGATCAGTGCAAAGAACCAAGCAAAAGCTTCACAGCGAGCTGCCGAGTCATCAGGGCACCCATCCTGCATGGTGGGTTTTAAAAGGCCTCTGACAACTCGGAACAGTTCAGCCGGACGGTTCTTTGCAGACGCAATAGTGGCCGCAAAGAAAGTCTTCTTTGCGGTTTTTATTGCCGCGGCATATGCCCTTAAAAAGGACACAAACCGTGTTCGATTTGGCTCGCTCGGATCCGAACGCCACACGCTCTCTAGTTCCCTCTTCTTTCGCTTCAACGCTGCCAGCTCCTCAGTAAACCAGGAGCTGGTTTAGCTCGGCTACTTGAGAGGGGACGTTCTGGAGCGATCGTGTCTATTGCCCTAGTCATCTCCCCATTCCAGAGAGCGACCAGGGCATCAACAGGATCACCAACCGAGGAGGCGGGAAATTCCCCAAGAGCCGTCAGGAATCCATCCGGATCCATAAGCCTCCTGGGGCGGACCAACTTAATGGGTCCTCCACCTCTGCGGAGGTTAGGGGGTGCAGTGAGTCTAAAGCTAAAGTTGACCACACTCTAATGTTGCTTGGCCACCCATGTCCTGGTTTTCATCCATAAATAGTACTAGACATAAGAGCTCAAGCAAAACTTTGTAAGGACGTAAGGGAGTGACATGAAAAGAAAGGGAAAATAAAATAAATGGTGATGGAAACATTTCATGCAATTTCAGGGTCAAGACCTGATAACCAAAGGTGGAGGCTTGTATCATCAATGGGCAGATCCTAGCAAAATAATATGTGTACATAAGTGCGAGTTAAACAATTTAAATTGTATGGACTACTTTCTGAATAACTACTACATTCAAAATATAAAGGGCCAGGGGGCCTAGTTTGGAATAGGCTGTGTTGCTGTGTGCCTTCAAGTCATTTCTACCTTACAACAACCACAAGGTACACCTACCACAGGGTTTTGTGACAATATTTGTAGAGTGAATTGGGTTGCCTTTGCTTTCCACCGAGGCTGAAAGAGTATGACTTGCTGGGTTTCCACAGCTGAGTAAGCATTCAACCCCTGGTCTACAGTGTTATTGTCTGACATGCAAATCACTATGCTTTGTTGGCTCTCAATATAGGCTAGCACTGCTAATTTTATTATGAGATATACCCTCATAGCTATGTATGAGAGGAATGGCATGACAGAGACCTCCATACGTTTGTGCATTAGCAGCTAGAGCAGTTACTCCCACTCCAAACAGAATGAACATGCTGTATACAACACATAGAGATTTCCACACACACACACAGAATCCAGTTTAGGAGAGGGCTGAATTTATAGTCTACAGACTCAAGCATAATGATTTCCTGAGATTTCACCTGTAAAGATACAGAATGGGGGACGCCTGGCTCAACAGCAATACGTGTGAAAAAGATCTTGGAGTCCTTATGGACAACAAGTTAAACATGAGCCAACAATGTGACGCGGCAGCTTTAAAAACCAATGGGATTTTGGCTTGCATAAATAGGAGTATGGTGTCTAGATCCAGGGAAATCATGCTACCCCTCTATTCTGCCTTGGTTAGACCACACTTGGAATACTGTGTCCAATTCTGGGCACCACAATTGAAGGGAGATGAATGATGACGTTTAAGTGTCAATAACTAGAGATGGGAGAATTATGAGGAAGGTAGTGGGGTATACATACAGCTGTGAATTGCCAGTTTGCTTGCCCTTTGTGACTCTTCACTGAGAAAACATACATATATTTCTTACAGAGGATAGAGAAGACACACAGAAAATAATATTATCAGAATTGAATTCACATCATTGTGGCTGAATACAAAAGAAAATGTAACTTTTCTGGAAAAAAATCCATATATCAAACACATCTGTAGATCTGAATGGTCTACTTATCATTTCCAGTTATAGTCTGCATTTGAGTCTCTCTTTCCCCAAATATGTTTTTTTCTCCACCAGTTACACCTATGGGCAGCCTGTGGAGGGAAGAGTTCAGCTCAGCGTGTGCAGAAATCTCAATTTTTATGGAAGTTGTAGAAGGGATCCTCTCTGTGTGTCTGTTAATAAGGAGGTAAGATAACATCCTTCCTTATCCTTCGTTATGTTTTATTTTCTTCCAAAGATTTCTTCTTTCTTCTCCTCAGCCCTTTCCTCCATGACCCGCTGAACTTTTCCATGGCCATATTATGAGTGTACTCAATCCTACCTACAGTGAACTTACTCTGCATTTGTCAAGTGCAATGTTATTATGACCTCATCACATTTCCAAAAATGAGCGTCCTGGGATGCTTAGAGCCTTATTTGGGGTTGGAACACCATGGTCCCCAAAACACGATGTCATGTGACTTCCAACTGTCTCTCCCCCCCCCCCCTAAAAAAAACTAGGGTGAAAGCATCATCAAGCACTTTCCCTGCAACATGGGAGACTTCCTGTGTTGTGTTAGCTTCAATGGAGCCAGCAAGCTTCTGCATTATTTGGGCAATGCTGCCCCAAAGCACGGTAAAACAGCACTGGGGGAGGGAGTCTCCCCCATGTGTTATGAATAACTTTAAAGCATAGGTTCTTTTAATTGTAATTTTCCAGAATGAGAAAGGGTATCAAAACTTTTACAGAACAACATTTAGATAAAGAACTACATTGGATTCACAAACCTACAGTTACATTGGCTAACAATGGCATTTTTACTCAACATTCATCTTCACAAAAACATTCATCCATCACCATACATACATCACCATTTCCCCATTCTTCCTCCGTGAAGAACACCTCTTAGGCCAGACTGCCTCTTTGCAAATCTGCCAACGCCATAGTTCAATAACTTTCAAAATGCTTCTAAAATTCCAAAATGCCAAAATACATAATCTCCCTAAGAACATGACTCCAAATTCACACTCCTTTTTCTTCCCTTGAGAAAAGGAGGCAAAGTGACCAAACTATATTCTATTACAGATATTACTCCCAAAGTACATACAACACCTCTCCATAGAGCATGGAGGGTAAACCAGACTCCTCCAGTCTGCCACAATTTTTGATGTTGATTCCATCTCAGTTTTTCCCACAGATGTTGACTCTTCTTAACTGGTGTTGATAAATGCAAGCAGCTCTGTGTTGACTTCCTTAACATAAGGAATCTTGTAAACATTTCCTTAAAAGAGCCATTGTCCTTGACTAATGTAAACAAGTTGTTTTTCCCCAAACGTTCAACAGTTAATAATTTGACACAGTTCTTATCAATGTCAGCAGTTCTGGAACTTTGAATTACAATTCAGCAAGCAGGCAGTTAGTCATTGCAGGCTTTAATATTTTTGAATGGTGTCTTCAAAATTATTAGCTTTCATTAATTCATTCCTTTCATTCTGTTTCATTCATATTTCATATTTTATCATGACACATGTGATAAGGTCATAACTCAGTTCAGAAAACGATGCTCTCAAACTTTATTTTAGACAGCAGAATTACAATAGATGTAGTCAGATCTGACGAATAGTAACCGAACAGTATATTTATAGGTAACGTAATTCAAATAACACATGAGTTTTCACCACATTTATGCAGGCTTTTATCCCATTAGAATAATGTTTCATTAGCCTATTTTTCAGCCTGTTTTCTGTTTTCATCAGAAATCATCCAGGCGTCCCCTGGGCAACGTCCTTGCAGATGGCCAATTCTCTCACAACAGGAGCAGTTGCTCCTGACACGACAAAAAAAAAAGCCTGTTTTCTTATTACAGTGATATTGAGACTATACTAGCAATGCACCAGCTACATAATAAATCTCCCAGACCTAATTAATCATTCTTAGCTATTCAAACAAGGAATATCAGCATGTTCAAAGCATGGCAACATCCATTATCCAGTATACGTATGCCTATCTGTACAGGCAAATATATGGGAAAGTATATAAAGGAATAATTGGCAGGCATGCATATATGATATGCCTCAAGTAAATATGACAGGCCTTTTTCCTGTCATTTCCTCCATGCTGCCACTGAGCATAGTCCAGCAATATACTTGTTCTCATTTAAGAGATTAAAATGGAGGTATAGAACACAGCTTCTCAAACTTTTTCCTCTCGTGGACCATTTTCTCCCAATACATTTTTATGCAGCCCTAGGTATATAAGTATCTAAAATTGGTATACAAATCAAACATTCACTGATAATAAATTATAAAGAAATTATTTGGTATACATATACATTTACTTTGCATACGAATGAGATGGATATGCTTGTTTATTTTTCAATAAAGAATTAAATCTTGGCTGAATATTTGATATTTATTTTCCTTCCCATTTTAGCAGTCATCTTATTGTTTTAGGTCTTTGCTTTCAACTTGATTTTTACTATGTGCTCTTTTTATTTTACTGGTGATTTTATCTTGTTTTCCTTATATGCTATTTATTTCTGTGCCATTGTTGGGCAATTGAAAATAAAGTGCTGCGTATATGCATGTATAAGTCACCAGCAGGTTTTAGAGCCAAAATTATGGATTTTGATATGACTCATAGGTTGAGAGTCATTTCACAGAGAGCACAGAGGACTAGATGCCTCGAGCCACCTCGGTCACCCAGGCATTTTAAAAAGCCAGAAACAGAGCCATGGCAAAGACAGTAGAGAGGGTATGTAAGCATTTGCAGTATAGTTGATTTTGCCCAGGGGCGCTCTTGAGGTGCTCTTGGGGGGAAATAGAGCTTGACATATGCGAGTTGTAGTTACTGGGATGTATAGTTCACCTACAATCAAAGAGCATTCTGAACTTCACCAGTGATGGAATTGAACCAAATATGGCACACAGAACTCCCATGACGAACAGAAAATATATATCAGTGATTGGTTGGGGGGGAGGGGGGCAAAATACTGTTTGCTTACCGTTGAAAATTACCTAGGGCCACCTCTGCATGAACAGAAGGAAAACTGAAGGAATTGTCTTATTCCATTCCCTCTCACTGAGATGCATCTTCTGGGATGGCCAGCCATCCCATGTTCTTTCCCTGACATGGTCTGTCTTTCCCGCACTTTCCCCCATTCGGAGTTGGATAGCACCTATGTGCTGCAGATACGGAGCCCCGCCAGACGTGTCCTTACATGATACGATGGCCTCTATGGGACTTCTGTCGGGTTCCATTTCTGAAGCGCATGCAAATGGAGCCCAGAATCTGTGGAATGAGGTCCTAGGTACAACACTTACTCATGGATTCTTTAGTCCAGAATTTTGGGCTTGATTTTTTGACTAGAATTTCTAGATTTATACTTGAGTATCTCGGGGAAGTAAGTATGTAAACAAACAAACAAGCTATCCTATTCCAACCAGAACTCTCCTTTGGAGAAGACAATTGAGTTTAAAATAATTGGGATTGGATCCAAGCAGTAGGCATACAACATTTTATTTCTGCTCACATTGGATTTGTTCACTATTTTTCTATCAGCTGGGTAAAGATGGCTGCTTTTCCCACATCTTCAACTCAAAGACCTTTGAGCTTAATCGTTCGGGATACTGGATGAACCTTGATGTCAAAGCCACAATCACCGAGAAAGGGACAGGTAAACCCTTAGGCTTAATCAAGAAGGAGGGGACTGGGAAGATGTGAACCTGGGAGACATCTACAATCTATTGGGAAGGGCCTTCTCTCCGTCCTACCACCTGCTCAGGCGTGGTTGGTAGGAACACTGGAGATGGTTTTTCAGTGGCTGCTCCCAGATAGAAGACTTTCTAGCAGCAGGCATCTGGGGAAGGATAATGAGTTGGCTTTGGGGAGGTTGGGTGGGGTTGAGGAGCAGGACTGTGAGTTTTAAAGCCTATTTAAGTGTATTTATTGTATTTTAATCTAGTTTTTTTATCACATGGTTACTATTTAATTGCTTTTTTAACTTTGGTATTGTGTTTTTAAAACTTGACTAAGTGTGGGATTGTTAGCTGCCTTGAGTCCCCACAGGAGAAAGGCAGGTAGTAAATAATAATAATAAAATAATAAGGGACAACATTTATTTATTTATTTATTTATTTATTTATTTATTTATTTATTTATTATTTACCTTACTTATATACCGCTGTTCTCAGCCCGAAGGCAACTCACAGCGGTTCACAACAAATAAGAACAGCAAAAATTCAGTGCTACAGTATAAAAACAATTAACAGCCTAACACATTACACAATTAATAAACAATTACTACAATAACCATTCACTGTCATCTCATCATCAAAAACATAATCCAGATTCGTCATCCATTGTTCCATTCCAGTGTTCATTAACCAATCATTGCACTAATTATTCGAACACCTGCTCAAACAGCCAGGTCTTCACTTTTTGCGGAATACCATTAGAGATGGTGCTAGTCTGATGTCCGTAGGAAGGGCGTTCCACCACCGAGAAGGCCCTATCTCTCGTCCCCGCCAGCCGTGCTTGAGAAGCAGGCGGGATCGAGAGCAGGGCCTCCCCGGAAGATCTCAAAGTCCTGGTGGGTTCATAGGCAGAGATGCGGTTGGATAGGTAGCTTGGGCCGGAACTGTTTAGGGCTTTAAAGGCCTCGTGAAGTGACTGATTTTGAGATTCAGTGTGGCTTTTCCTCTTTGATTGCAGATTTTTATCCCTTTTCTCGTCCTACTATTATCATTATCTGAACGCTATAACACAAGGGGTTATAACTAACTAACTAATTAAAGGTGGTCTCTAATTTCATATGTTTAATGGATTTAAAATTATATTAAATTCAAGACTAATTCCTATTTATGTTGGTGGATTCTGCCACAGGAATACAGATTGATAGGTCAGCCACCATTTCAATTTCTCGAACACTGGCAACTGTGAGTTTTGAAAATATGGACCAATACTATAGAAGGGGACTTCCATATTGTGGACAGGTAAAATAAGAAGCCAAGTATATTTTGCTTGAAATGCTTGTATTGAAATGCATGCCAATACATTTCACTTTTTTTTTTTTTTGGACTGCTAAGAGGAAGCTTGAAACAAAATAGAGATGGAGGCAGTACTTCACACGAGAACCAAACTTGTTTCTAGAAGACTGGCACATTTTCCCGATCTCTTTTATATGCCCCATCAAATCTGAAGTAAATTTGATAAAGTCTGGGCCCTTCCAGATAGAACTTTAAAAGCATGACTTCTCGTGATAAAGGACTTTGGGTTTTGTTAGTTGTTGCCACCTTCACTTCTTTCTATAGCCTGTGTCTAGCAATTCCTTCAGTCTGCACTTGACCTCTTTCAAATGGTGGTCTTTTTAAAACCAAGGTTTAGTTTTGATGAAGCAGCCTCCTGCTTTTAGGGTTACAGTGCTATAGTGCAACAATGTCATTTTACCAATCCCTGATGCAATTAAACTCTCAAAAGTATGCAATAGTAGGTCCTACATGTTTGCTATGGTTAGGGTTACAGGTTCCCCACAAACGTGGGAAAAACATAAATTAAAAAGCCTGTTTTATTTTTTTTATTTTTTTTTATTTCGGGCTTTTATACCCCTTCCTATCTCAACCTCCGAAGAGGGACTCAGGAAGAGGGACTTTTAACTGAAGGAATACCTCTATAGGCAACTCTAGATCCTTCAGTGTGATTTTGTGGGCAGCTTCTGCTGGATATTGACTATTGTATCTCACTGGAAGATTTACAAATGTCTAGAAAACTGTTTTCTCCAGGAATTTCTAAGTTCTCCAGAGTGGTGTTGACCACAGAGTCCTGCTGGAGGACCTATAGATTCTTAGAGATAACATATCAATAAAATCTGTGAATAATAAAATCCCAAACATTTGGACTTGCAGGGCTGGCTGTATTTAAAAACAAGGAAGAAAGGCATTTTAATGTGCTGCTTTGTCTTGAAATTAAAAAGAGATACACTCAAAGATGGGAATTGTGTGGTATGTGGTGCCAGGTAGTGTTTGTAAATACGGTGTTGTTGTTCATTCGTTCAGTCGTCTCCGACTCTTCGTGACCTCATGGACCAGCCCACGCCAGAGCTCCCTGTCGGCCGTCACCACCCCCAGCTCCTTCAAAGTCAGTCCAGTCACTTCAAGGATGCCATCCATCCATCTTGCCCTTGGTCGGCCCCTCTTCCTTTTGCCTTCCACTTTCCCCAGCATAATTGTCTTCTCTAGGCTTTGCTGTCTCCTCATGATGTGGCCAAAGTACTTCAATTTGGTCTCTAGTCTCCTTCCCTCCAGTGAGCAGTCGGGCTTTATTTCCTGGAGGTATGGACTGGTTGGATCTTCTCGTGGTCCAAGGCACTCTCAGAACTTTTCCCCAACACCACAGTTCAAAAGCATCTATCTTCCTTCGCTCAGCCTTCCCTAAGGTCCAGCTCTCACATCCGTAGGTTACTACAGGGAATACCATGGCTTTGACTAGGTGGATCTTTGTTGCCAGTCTGATGTCTCTACTCTTTACTATTTTATCGAGATTGGACATTGCTCTCCTCCCAAGAAGTAAGCGTCTTCTGATTTCCTGGCCACAGTCTGCATCTGCAATCTTTGCACCTAGAAATACAAAGTCTGTCACGGCCTCCACATTTTCTCCCTCTATTTTCCAGTTGTCAATCATCCTTGTTGCCATAATCTTAGTTTTTTTGATGTTTAGCTGCAACCCAGCTTTTGCGCTTTCTTCTTTCACCTTGATTAGAAGGCTCCTCAGCTCCTCCTCGCTTTCGGCCATCAGGGTGGTGTCATCTGCATATCTGAGTTGTTAATGTTTCTTCCAGCAATTTTCACCCCAGCTTTGCATTCATCAAGCCCCGCACATCGCATGATGTGTTCTGCATACAAGTTAAAAAGGTTGGGTGAGAGTATGCAGTATGTAAATACGGTAATTCAGGACAATATAAATAGCATTTGGAGATTTAAAAAAGAGAGATCCACAGAAAGAAATACATATTTGTTCCATCTGAAGGAGCTCATTGTAACACAGTGGCTAGCAATAAAAGCTAAATCAAATCCCATCATGGCTACATTCTAATTTAGTGCTTTGGAAAACCATGTATATTTTTCTACCTAATTTTCCTCTTGCAATATGTGGATAATAATATGAATCTTTATTGTAAGGATAGCTAACATGAAGCACGTAGACTACTTTGAGCATTTGAGATGTACTGCATAAATATTTAAATTAATTTGGAGTTTCCATTATGTGTTAAACATCTGAGGAACTTCTGGGAAGACAAAAGTGTTGCTAGCAAGCAAAGGAAATATCATGGGATATCTAATGATAAAGTTCTGTTCAATAAAAAAAACGGCTTCTGAAAGTGTCCAGGATTTTCTTTTCATTTCAGATCAAACTGCTTGATGTCAATGACTCACCTATTGAAAATGAGAGTGTCCAACTACTCCTCAGTGACAAGAATGTGGGCAATTACAGCACCAGTGCAAGTGGCACGGCTCAGTTTTGCATTGATACCTCGGACATCTTGAGCCCTGATTTCTCTCTCAGAGTAAGTTGTCAACAGAGTCAAGGTAGAAAGAAAACCTGGCTGCTCCAATGCTGAGGGTCAGCGGAGCAGGTCCTTTCCCATGATTTCAAAACTGCACTTTTAAGACTGTAATAGCATTCCAGTGATGGTGTGTGTTTGCAATTGAGTCCAACCTGACCCTTCTTGCAAAACTTTGCATTATTGAAAACTATAACAAATAAAAAAGGAAGAATTTCAAATTACATATTTTATTTTAAATTAATGCAAAACAGAAAAACAAATTAAATTAATGCGAAGAATGGTTAATTTCATGAAAACTGAGGAAAGGTTTGATTTGCTCCACTGTGTAATATAAGAGATTGGATAATTGTATCTCAAAAATGCTTTATTTCTGTATTCCTACAAGGCAGAAGTTGTACTAGATGCCCCTTTAAAAAATTTAACATCTCTTCTTCCCTGAATATTTTTATATTCCAGATATCTCTCTCCCAAGACTCCTTTTTTTCCTTAGGAAGATATTGGGGCTTTAAAAATATAGTCAAATAAGAGTGTTCCCAAAATGTATATACTCTTAACATCTTATAATTCTTGACTTATTTTTTGTAGTAAAGGTAAAAGTTTCCCCTTGACATTGAGTCTAGTTGAGTCAGACTCTGGAGGGTGGTGCTCATCTCCATTTCTAAGACGAAGAGCTGGTGCTGTCCATAGACGTCTCCTAGGTCATGTGGTTAGCATGAATGCATAGAGTGCTGTTACCTTCCCGCCAAAATGGTACCTATTGATCTACTCACATTTGCATGTTTTCGAACTGCTAGGTTGGCAGAAGCTGGGGCTAAGAGCAGGAACTCATCCTGCTCCCTGGATTTGAACCGCCAACATTCCGGTCAGCAAGTCCTGCAGCTCAGTGGTTTGACCTGCTATGCTACCGCAGCCCCTATTTTTATTTTTGGATATTTTTCAAAACATAACAGAGAACAATAGCAGAGAAGTGGCATGAAATTATAAGAGAAATATTAAGTGAGGCTTGCAACTTTGTGCTTCAACAGGTTAAGCAGAACATTGCTTCATAGGGTTCACAATCTGAACATCTTACATAAAACTGTAATTTAAGATGGAATGTGTAACTGATTAAATTATTATTACAACATTTATTATTCAATATAAATGTATTTTCCAACTTTCAAATAATTAACGTTATCTACTATGAGTTATTAAAGGGTGTATACCTTTTTTTTATACCCTGTATAATATGTAAGCTAGACTGATAGCAGGAACTAGAACTATATTCCAGAGATAATTTACAGCACATTTCTGTGCATTTATGCTAAACTGCATTGATTTTAGTGCAGGATTGTGAAGGTCCCTCTATTTTATCAGATTTCTCCAATTACCATTAACATTTATGTAAGTAAAAGACATGCACACAATTCAATTAGCAGTGTCAAGAAAAACAAACTGAAGATATTCATTTTTTAAAAAATAAAAAATAAAGTGGTCAAGATTTACTTTTTTGTCCTTGCCTCAGTGGGATTTACTCTCAGAGATATTATGTACAGATTGAGCATCTCTTATCCAAAATCCATGTGGGAGAAGTGTTCCATATTTTGGATTTTTTGGAATTTGTAATTCCAAATATGCATAATGAAATATCTTGGAGATGGGACCCAAGCCCATCTCCAAGATGGGCTTGGGTCTGCCCTGAACTCCCTTCGGGGTGAACTGCCCTAAGTCCCTTTCAGGGTTGAGAAGGGTGATATGCAAATACCACAAATAATAATAATAATAATAATAATAATAATAATAATAATAATAATCTTTATTTATACCCTGCCACCATCTCCCCAGAGGGGACTCGGGGCGGCCAACATGAGGCCAAGCCCAAAAATCCAATATAGCAAAATAAAATACAAAGCAACAAAAATTACATCAAAATAAGATACATGAAGTAACAAAATAAAATAAACAGTTACAAAATGACATAATGAAAAGATAGATCACTATGGGCAGACCAAATGCACAGAATAAAAATGATAAAATCCTGGATGAGACAGTAGTGGGAAACTGTATTTTTAGGGAGGAGCTCATAAGGGACGAACAGTGGGGTTAGGCAAATAAATTAGCCTAAATGCAAAATTTCATACAGACCTTCTACATGTAGGCTGAAAGTAATTGTATGTACAATACTTGAATAAGTTTGTGCATAAAATAAAGTTTGTGTACATGAAATATCAGAGAAAGCAAAAGTGTCCCTATCTCAGCAGTCCATGTGGATACTTTTTAAATTTTTAATTATTTCAGATTCAGAATTCAAAATTCTATATAGGGGGTGCTCAATCTGTATACGATTCCAGTCAGAATTAAACTATTTAAGAACAATTCTGTTTACAGATCGCAATGCAAAGGTTGTGACATTCTATTGCCTATTGGTTCAGATTTGTCTGATTTCTTTCATAGAAATAATGTGAGTTTGCACTGATTCGTACAGGGCATTGCAAAATGCATGCATACATCTTCTCTTCTGTGTCTACAGCTAATATATAAACCAAATGAAAATTGCAACAGTGATGGCTGGATATTGCCGTACTATCCAGAAGCCTACTATTCAGTCCAGCGCTTCTATTCAAGGACAGGCAGTTTTGTGAAAATACATCAGGCATCAAAAGACCTTTCTTGTGGCCAGACCAGAGAAATCAAAGTGTCCTATGTCTTCAACAACATAAAGAGCAACCCTAAAAACCTAAAGCCACGCACCACAGCAACCTTCTTCTATTTGGTAAGTAGCAAATCCCCAACATGGAACACTTGGCAGAAAGCTCAAGGGAGAACCATCTAGCTGCCAAAAGCAAAATTGAAATAAAAAATACACTGGGGGACAACACCTCAGGGCGATTCACTGTGAACCGCCCTGAGTCCCCTTTGGGGTTGAGAAGGGCAGTATACAAATATCGCAAATAAATAAATAAATAAATACCAAAACATCAAAGAACAAAACAAGAGAGTAACTCAGATAGCATATGCTTGTTTATTCTATCCTTTCCTAAGAGTAGCAGTCCTTATTGGATAAAATTGGATATAAGAATGATGCCTGTTGCTGATCAGTGCTTTTAAAGGGACAATGTAAAAATATAGGAAGGCTACAAATTGAATACGTCATTGTCTAGGGACCTCCTGAGATGTGCAAAATTGCCCATCCTAGGATGCTTGTATTTCAGTTGAGACACAGAGCCCATGCCTCAGTTGAAGTCCAAGCATCGCAAGAGATGGCAGCGTCAACACGGGAAGCTTCCTGTATTGCATAAGAAACAACGGGGGGAAGCTGGGTGGTGATGCTTCCCCCCATGGGATGGGGTGAGTGACAAGGTTGGGAATGCGGGGCAACAGGTTCCCCACACACTCCACCAGGCCCCCTCTGTATTTGCCACAAGCCAGGAAAGCAAAAGACATTTACTTCTTGGGAGGAGAGCAATGAGCAATCTCGATAAAATAGTGAAGAGTAGAGACATCACACTGGCAACGAAGATCTGCATAGTTAAAGCAATGGTATTCCCCGTAGTCACCTATGGATGTGAGAGCTGGACAAATGGGAAGGCTGAGCGAAGGAAGATAGATGCTTTTGAACTGTGGTGTTGGAGGAAAGTTCTGAGAGTGCCTGGACTGTGAGAAGATCCAGCCAGTCCATACTTCGGGAAATAAAGCCCAACTGCTCACTGGAGGGAAGGATAGTAGAGGCAAAGATGAAGTACATTGGCCACATCATGAGAAGAAAGGAAAGTTTAGAGAAGACAATGATACTGGGGGAAATGGAAGAAGAACGAGGGGCCGACCAAGGGCAAGGTGGATGGATGGTATCCTTGAAGTGACTGGCTTGACTCTGAAGGAGCTGGGGGTGGTGATGGCCAACAGGGAGCTCTGGTGTGAGCTGGTCCATGAAGTCATGAAGAGACGGAAGCGACTGAATCAATAAACAACAACATGGTCTGTTGTCTAAAAGAAGACCCAAGGAACCTAGAAAAACTACTAGAATTCATTCTTGGGTAGAAAAATGTGGGGTTTTCCACAATGTGCAATTCCTTCGATGAATTTGACACACAGCCTTCCACCAAGATTATAATTGACACATGCCCGTTAATAGTTTAAAGCAATGGAATGAGCTTGTTCAATAACGTAATACATTTCAAGATCGTCAAAGACAGCAGTACTTGAATTTTGTAACAATATGAGAACAGACTGCAGCTACTTTGAGTTAAATACTTCAGGATTCTGTATGTGTGCAAACACATAGTCATTATTTTATTTTATTTTTTATAAACAGAACCAGAGCACACACAAAAAAACCCCCCTTAGATGCTGGCTACCTTAAAAGCTTCCAGTACTGAGCATTCATTATATGACATTCTCCCATGAAATAATTTGATGAATAGAAACTCTTAGTGAACTACTGATGGCTTTCCTCACTGCTCTTGTTTTCTCTCATGGTGTTCATAGGTACTTGTGAAGAATAAGATTGTCCATTATGGGGAACACACTGTCTCCTTCCGTAGTGGTGAGTAAATAATGCTGCACTGGAATTTGGATAGTGATCCTATACTCACAAAGCTGGATTTAAGCTCCTAGGAAATCAGTGGGATTTCTATAGGACATTGCTTAGTGTGTGGTCTTAAGATATAGATTTTTCGTGAGCATGATCTCTCAAAAACTCAACTTCTTTCCTCCATAGCCTTGCATAGTGGTCTCTGTTGACAGGTTGCTTATAAGACTACAGCCACTGTGAACTAACCTTCTTTCCCCTGTAGCAGTAGTTCTCAACCTGGGGTCCCCAGATGTTTTTGGCCTTCAACTCCCAGAAATCCTAACAGCTGATAAACTGGCTGGGATTGCTGGGAGTTGTAGGCCAAAAACATCTGAGGACCCCAGGTTGAGAACCATTGCCCTATAGGATATCTTTATTTGACAGTGGAGTCTCCTTCTCTACAGGTTTTATAACAGAGGCTGGATGGCCATCTGTCAGGATGGCAAAAAGTGGGACTAGATGGCTCTCGTGGTCTCTGCAAATGCTTATGGTATATGAATTATATGAATATATCTTGCTTAATGACCACACAGAAATGTAGTTCAAGATGTGAATGGGATGTGGGAAACCCTGCTATCGGTCTTGCCTTTTGGAAGGCTCCTGCCTGCTTTTCTCTCAATGTTTTCTGTAACTTCAGCTTCCGTGGGATCCTTCAACATCCGGCTTGCTGTTGATCCAAACTTGGCCCCAGTTGCCACACTGGTAGTCTACAGCCTGCACCCTGAAAAGGAAGTTGTGGCTGACATTGCCAGATTCCAGATAGAGAAGTGCTTTAAAAATAAGGTAAGATAACAAGAATAACAGCACATAAGGGGAGTTAAATGTGAAATTAATTGCACAGGTTTTTACTATGGAAATAGCAGTTGTAGGAATGGAACGAGGTATTAGGTAGAAAGATGTTGGACTGAAAGTGCATCTACACTGGAGAATTAATGAGGTTTGACATCACCATGGCTCAAGGCCATTGAGTCATGAAAATTGTGGTTTGGTGGAGCACCTGCCCTCTTTGGTCATGCGGGCTAAAGATGCTGTAAAACTACAACTCCCATAATTCCACAATATTGGGTCATGACAGTTAAAGTGGTGTTGAAATACATTAACTACATTAAATACATTGAAATACATCAATAGTGTAGTGTAGATTCAAGCCCCCACTCCGTGATGTAACTCACTAGATGATTTTGGATAGTTTCTCTCTCTGAGCTCCACTTATATTACAAACTTATTGTAAGCATATAAATGGAGTGTAGGGCCACATCTGATGGAAGCCAACCATAAAATTGGACTGGAAGGTCTAGAGATTTCTAGAGAGAGCATTTTAATCAAATCAGTGAATAATCAAATCCGCAAAATTTAATCTCACAAATGTGAAGGGTTAACTATATTAAAAAAATCCAAAGTGTAAAAGGAAACAGGAACTTTGTGGCCCATTAGCCTGGAGGGCTTTGAACATCGGACATTAGTGTAGAATCTGGGATCAAAAATAGGTGGACACTTTGCTATGCTGTCATTTGGAAAGTCTGAAATAGAGAGAAATGTGTGTGTTTGCGTCATCTAGAAATCTGTTGGAATTCTAAAGCAAAACAAGATTTGTCCTTTTAATGTTTCCTGCTCACTTCCAGGTCAAGCTTGAATTCTCTAAGAAACAAGCCCTCCCAGCTTCAAACGTCAGCCTCCATATTGAAGCTGCCGCCAACTCCTACTGTGCCCTGCGTGCCGTGGACCAGAGTGTCCTCCTCTTGAGACCAGAGCGAGAATTATCAGCAGAAAGTGTAAGTGGGTAACCTTTTGATCCATATTAATCTTTGTTCTGTACTCAGGGTGATTAACAAAACAATGGAGCTGCTTTTCCAGGAGTGATCTCCCTATTCATCTTCCACCCCATGAAGGAGTCAAACCTCATCCACCAGACCAAGCATGTCATTGGCTCTAGAAAAGGAACTTCTGTATAGTACTCAGCTCAGTCTGGTTATTTACTTGCTTTGTATTCTCATAAGCACCTGATACACTCATTTATAAGTTAGAGATATTTGAGTCAAAACATCAACTCCCCAAATTGAGGCGATTTACCTAAGTATATACGATAGTAATATGGCAAAGGGTTGACCAAGAAGCTATAGTAAAGAGGATGGTTTTCAAAAGTCATATGTAACTCTAGGGTAGTAATATTGCATAAAATAAGAATTAAAATTCAGTTCTATGCTGATCTGTTTCAGTGAACCTAGTAAACTCCATAGGCTGTATTATTTGTTGAGCTCTATCATTTGGACTCGAAAAAATAGTAAAAAGTAGAGACATCACACTGGCAACAAAGATCCGCCTAGTCAAAGCCATGGTATTCCCTGTAGTAACCTACGGATGTGAGAGCTGGACCTTAGGGAAGGCCGAGCGAAGGAAGATAGATGCTTTTGAACTGTGGTGCTGGAGGAAAGTTCTGAGAGTGCCTTGGACTGCGAGAAGATCCAACCAGTCCATCCTCCAGGAAATAAAGCCCGGCTGCTCATTGGAGGGAAGGATACTAGAGACAAAGTTGAAGTACTTTGGCCACATCATGAGGAGACAGGAAAGCTTAGAGAAGACAATGATGCTGGGGAAAATGGAAGGAAAAAGGAAGAGGGGCCGACCAAGGGCAAGATGGATGGATGGCATCCTTGAAGTGACTGGACTGACCTTGAAGGAGCTGGGTGGTGACGGCCGACAGGGAGCTCTGGCGTGGGCTGGTCCGTGAGGTCACGAAGAGTCGGAGACGACTGAACGAATGAACAACAACAACATCATTTGTGTTGTGTTAGAAATACTGTAACTCTTCTCTCACACCCGCCTCCATCACAGGCGGTGGTTGGTGGGGACGGGGGAGGGGGCCTTCTCAGTGGTGCCCCCCCCCCCGGCTCTGGAGTTCTCTCTCCAGGGAGATTGGAATAGCCCCCACCCTGTCCACCTTCTGGAAAGACCTGAAGACTTGGATGTTCCAATGGGCTTTCGAATAATGGGTTAGCTACTAATTAATATTACAATATAATGGTATAATACAATATAGTAATATTTAATACTGATATCATACTATGCTAATAATATAATATAATGTATGTATATATATCTTGTAAGCCACTCTGAGTCCCCTTCAGGGTGAAAAGGGCAGCATATAAATGTCGTAAATAAATAAATAAACTGCAATATTATTTGCCCAGAGCCACCAACTAGAATTTATGTTTACATACAGTGCCCTGAAAACATCGATTAAACAACAAACAAGTTCTGGATCCATGCTATGCTAATCACATTGACTCCAGATAAGAATTACCACACATGCATTAGATATTGCTTATGCACATTTTTTTATTGTCAGAGTAACTCTGAATTTCAATAAAATACTGATGCTTGAAATAAATTCCATCTCTCTTGACCAGTGCTATAAGTAGGTTAGAATGAAAACATTGCTGGGACTTAGTAGACCATTTAGCCAAAGACATGGTTTTTTATCTGTATGCTTAGTTTCAGGGCTCATTCCAGCTCGATGGCTCATTTTGGAGATGCAGTCAGGCTGAAAATTCAGTCCTACCCAAAAATAGTGTGTTTTTTGGACATGCCAGGCTCTTTCTTTTAAACTAAAAGCCCAAACAAACTTTGGCATTTGTATAGGTTTCTGCTCATTGATTTCTGCTCATTGATTGTCTATGTTTAGTTTTTAATTTAGCAACCATAATGACCTAATAGCTGAAGTGTTGGATTAAAACTCAGAGAGACAAAATTGCCACACAGCATTACAAACATCAGCAAACCTCTCAATGAATCTTGCCAGAAAAACCAACATGTTCAGACTATATTTGACCTCCGTATTTTTTCTCTCTTTAGGTCTACAGTCTACTCCCTTCTGATATGTTTAGTTACTACTTCAATGGGCTCAATCTAGAGGATGACCCTGAAGAGCCCTGCATCACAGCTGACAACATCTTTTATAACGGATTGTTTTATGTTCCGTCAGACACCAACTATGGCCAAGATATCCATGATCTCATTAGAGTAAGATTTGCATATTCTTATTCTGTTGTGGTTCTGGATCAAAAGTCTCTAATACTTTCAGTTCCAGAGGTTTACTGGCAGAAAGGTGGATGGGACATCTTGAATGATCCTTCAGCAATTTTGTGTATGACTAACACATAAGTGTGCAATTTGAATATTCTTACATTATTTTTAATTTAATTGAAAACTAGGGGCATAAATGGTTGTACATTCCAAAGTTGCATGTCTTCAGTCAGTAAAGTTAGTCCTCTCAAAATAATTTCAGGTGATATAGTAGCTCATCAACAGAGTTACAATAGTCATGCAATTGTCAACAGACTTTGAGACCCCCATCTACACTTCCATATAATCCAGTTTATGAATGCTGATTAACTGCACTGAGCTGGATAATATTGTAGTGTAGGCTCATATAATTCAGCTCAAAGCAGTTAATCTACATTCTGAAACTGGATTATATGGCAGTGTAGAACCTCAAAGGCATCCAAGTGGTTTTTTGGATATGAACACGAGTGGAGACTAGAAAATGGAAATAATAAGTGGAAATTATTGTATGAAAATTATCTTGGGCTAGAAAAAGTTCCAGCACTACTGGACCTATGATTCCATCTGTACCAAGGGAGATGCCACTCTGTCTGCTGAATGTCAGCCTAGACAGTGGAGGTTTACAATTCAAGGTTATCTCTGAGCTAGAGCTTGGAACCATTATTTGTGAGCTAGATTTCTCAGAATCACTCATCTAATATTCTAACTATGGATCCTGGGATCATAGAATCATAGAATCAAAGAGTTGGAAGAGACCTCCTGGGCCATCCAGTCTAACCCCCTGCCAAGAAGCAGGAATATTGCATTCAAATCACCCCTGACAGCTGGCCATCCAGCCTCTGCTTAAAAGCCTCCAAAGAAGGAGCCTCCACCACACTCCGGGGCAGAGAGTTCCACTGCTGAACGGCTCTCACAGTCAGGAAGTTCTTCCTCATGTTCAGATGGAATCTCCTCTCTTGTAGTTTGAAGCCATTGTTCCGCGTCCTAGTCTCCAAGGAAGTGGAAAACAAGCTTGTTCCCTCCTCTCTGTGGAAGTTGTTGTCTAAGAAGTCAATTTTCCTAGGTTTGCACAAGGAACAAATATTACATAGTGTAAGTCAGTCAGACGAATCACAATATTTGGAGATGATTGTGATCATTATAGAGAGTTAAAATTTGGCTCAGAAAAATGGACAAAAGTTAGGCTACAAAGGCAGGATCTAAATTATAAAAAGTGGTGCGATGTAAGCATACTACAAGTAGAAAAAGAAGAAAGTGAAGATCCAGAACAGAAAGCAGAAAGGGTTAGTGGGGCAGGGGGATATTGAGAACATGAGAGCAGAAATTGTAGGTTTGGACTGATAACTGCTACTACAATCCAAATTATCTTACTCAGATACAAGTTTTGTGCTGTCTATCTATAGACCTCATCATACTGATGAGCGGCAGCATGGAGGATTTGCCATGCAACATGGCAAATCAATGAGGCAGCGGGGCGGGGAGTGGGGAGGGGACCGCTGCCCCACATCGCCCGCTGCACCCCTTGCCTCATCCCACACGGGGAAGCATGTTTTACATTGAGTGTAAGTTTTTATACAGAGTTGAGTGTGTTCTGCTGTCATAATGTTGTGAGTTTTCAAGCCTTCCTTTTGAGTTTTAGTAAATTTCTAATGCATGGTGATACCTGTAAATAAATAAGTCATGTTGGTAAAAAGTATTAACAGATGTGATATCTATTTGTTCTCATTGCATTAATTAGCTATTCTGTATTTTGAAGAACACAGGTGTTAAATTTATAACTGATTCCAAGCTACGAAAACCAGTTTTATGTTCAAGGGGCTGGAATTTTCCTCTCGCCAGACCTTCAGTGGAGATGGCAGGTCGTATCCCCTCAACCACATCTGTTAATATGTTTGAAGGTAAATTCAACCTATGTTGAAGGTAAATTAAGGCTGGTGTAATGCAGTCTTTTCAAATGAGACTGAGGCTAGAACTACATTGCCCAGGATCTGATCCCAAATTATCTGCTTTGAACTGGATTATATGAGTCTACACTACCAGATAATTTGGGATAAATAGATAATCTGAGATCGGATAATGGGATATAGAGCAGTGCAGATCCAGCCAGAGAATGAACAAATGGAGGGGAAGATCAGGGGATGGCAATGCTTCTGCTATATAGTTGTGGTTATAATAGGATTTCTAGTTGAAAAAAAGGCTGAGAACCACTGCTCTAGGAAAACTTCTTCTGAAAGAAGAAACTTATTAGTCTATTTGTTTCAATAGCATTAGCATTAAATTCACCTTTGCTAGGCAGCATTTAGCATTAAATTCACCTTTGCTAGGCAGAATAAAGCCTGACTGCTCATTGGAGGGAAGGATAGTAGAGGCCAAGATGAAGTACTTTGGCCACATCATGAGAAGAAAGGAAAGCTTAAAGAAGACAATTATGCTGGGGAAAATGGAAGGAAAAAGGAAGAGGGGCCGACCAAGGGCAAGATGGATGGATGGGATCCTTGAAGTGACTGGATTGATCTTGAAGGAGCTGGGGGCGGTGACAACCGACAGGGAGCTCTGGCATGGACTGGTCCATGAAGTCACGAAGAGTCGGAAACGACTGAACGAATGAACAACAACAGGCAGAATATTGGAGTGTGTCATGGCAAACCATAATTAGCCTTTCTATGATCAGCTAGATCTTTTCCAGCCTGATTTATTTTTATTTTTAATTTTTTTTAAAAAATTAAAAATAAATTTTATTTACATACATTAACAGCTTACAGTATAAACAGAACACGAAACAATGAACATTTTACAAAGACATAACCCCAGCACCAAGGCCTGAACAAGTATCCTTTCCTTTGCCATGAATTTATAAGTCAACCAGTAAACAAATGTCATTTCCAAAATTCCTGACCAACAAAGTTGTATTGTTTTCCTTTTTCACTCTCTAATATATATTTAATAAAAATGGATGAGTATGAATCAAAATCTGATCTATTAGTTTCCCCCGTGAACACCCTCATTTCCATTGATAGTTTATCCTTTAAGGCTAGTTCCATACCTCCCCATACAATTCTTCCATTGTGAGATTGGTTACTATCTTCCAATTCCTTGCAATTATAAGTCTCGCCACTGTGATTAAAATAATCACCAATTCTTTCTTTTCCATTTCTAGATTCAACTTTGTGGCATCCATTAGTAATGGTAACCTAGCATCTGGGGCAATGTTTAATCCTATAATGTTACCTATTTCCATAAATATGTTGTTCCGAAAACTCTTCAACTGGAGGGCATTCCCACCATAAGTGAAAATATGTCCCTTTTGTGCATGCCACTTCTCTTTGCTTCCTATATATCTGGTGTAGTTTAATCAGTGTAGTATACCATCTCCATATAACCTTATACACATTTTCTTTAAATCTTATTAACAGGTTCTTAACCACTGTCCACTTTAGAACCCATTTCCAATCAAGATCCATCGGAGGCCCTACCTTGTATAACTTGTATAACTCTTAGGTAACCACATCCAACTCTTAGCCATCCAACCGAGGGGGGCTTTTTCAGCCTAAAAAATGGCTGAAAACTAGGCTTATGCTTGAGTATATACAGTAATTGGAAACAGGATTGGTTCGGTAAAAATCTCAGATGTAGAGAGTTGAATAAATATGAAGAATGGCCAAGTAAACTTAAAAAGCAAGAAATATCTGGGAAAGGTTTAATTGGGAAAATATACAATGTATTAATAAATGAAGAAATAGAGCTTACCAGTTCCAACTTGTTCATCAGCTTTCAATTAGTCCAACGTGTGTATGCAAGAATTCTGACATGAGACAACTATATATTTACATCCTTTGTTATATCCTCTGTCACCTTGACTGTTAGTTTCCTGCCTCAATTCAAGGTAGAATGACCTGAAAACTGCATCCTTCAATAAGGGGGACTTTTGTTCCATATCAATGACTCTCCTTTGGCTCTCTTTTTGGCTCTAAGAATCAGATCGGTCATTTGACTTGCACCCGGAAATGAGGTTGGAACTGATACTTATTTTTTTGTCATGATTTTTTTTGTTCTAAATTTTAATTAAAGTTTTAAATTCTAAATTTTAATTAAAATTAAAGTTTTCTTTGTTACATAGAGTCAAACTAAAAAAAGATGTGAAGGGTTAAGGAAATGGATGCGGAAAGGGGAATCAAGGAAAAAGGAAGAAAGGGAATAGAAAAAAAAGGAAAATGCACACACAAAATACTACTAAACAATCACACACACACACGTATATATATATACACACACATACATACAAATTGACTTCCACCAACTTTGTTGTGTTTGTGTTATTATTAATATTTCATTTTCGTTATCTCCTCCCTTCTCCCCCTTCTTTAACCGTACTTCATGTAAGTTATTCTTGCTTTCTAATTCATATTAATAAGGTCATCATTTCCCTTGTAACGTAGTGTTTTACTAGTTGCCAGTCTGTTTGAAATCTCATTCTTCCTTGGTTTGTTGTCATCAAGTAAGTCAACCTGTCCATTTTTATTATATCCATTACTTCCAATGTCCATTAGTCCATCGTCGATATTTCTTTACATTTCCACTTAGAATATCCTAGCCACAGAAATCAAATAATTAAACAGAACCTCTTTGGGGTTTTTTCCCCCTTCTCTATATTCAAAATTCCTAAGAGATAACATTTTGGCTCCATTTTTATTTTTAATTGTAAAATTCTCTGAATTCTGCCATGGATTTCTCTCCAAATCTCCCTTGCTTAATCACATGCCCACTGGCATGATAAAAAGTTCCCCCTTGTTCCCTGCACTTCCAACACTTATTTGACATGTTTTTGTAACATTTTGCCAGTCTTTGTGGGGCGATATACCACCTGTGCATCATTTTAAGCCAATTTTCCTTAAGATCAGATGCATATGTATATTTTTTTCAAATTGATTCCCATTTCTCTAATTTTATAAATGAATCTATATATGCAGCCCATTTCACCATACAATCTTTAATTTCTTCAGTTTCTGTCAGCCATACTAATAAGGTTTTATATATATTAGTCATAATTTTCTTTTCAGATTGCATAATTCCGATTCTGGTTGGCCATATCTCTCCTCCTAATACTCTCTTTTGACACACCTCTATTGGGGAAATTCACATTGGAGTTTTTGGATAGAGTCTATCCTTATATCAGGGCCGTAGCCAGAAAAATTTTTTGGGAGGGGTTGAAATTTCGGGGGGGGGGGGTTGAAACCTGCCTCCTAGCTCACGCTGAAGCAAAGAGCACAGCAGGGGGCAGAGCAGCCTTCAATAGCCTGCAGCTCCGCCCCTGTCAACCACCTCCACCAAGTCTGGCCTCCTTAATGAGAGCATTCAACAACCCCCCCCCCCCCCAACTTGGTTGCTTCACTACTGTTCTGTCGAGCGCTGGGCCTGTAAATAATTGTCTTTAGAACAGGATGTGCAACCTTTGCCCAGCGGGAAGCCAGGGGGCCTAAAGAGAAGTTCTCAGAGGTTTCCACCACAAACAGTCTTTAGATGGCTTGAGAAGTACAACAGTCTTTTATTAATGAACAATCAAACAGAAACTTCTCTTGTCTTCAGTAAAGTTAAGCAAATGATTCCAAGCTTTTAGGCAACTGGTGAATTCCTAATCTTGCCCACGAAGGACAGGCAACTGTCTTCAATAACTTCTTCTTTAAAGGAAAATCCCCTTTTTAACTTCTCCCAGGCTGACTGTAATCTAACCCTTACTGATGTGGGCTCCGCTACCAGGTCGAACTGCGTCTCAAACGCTGAGTGGACCTACCAGCAAGGCAGTATATGTTCTCCAGCTGGAGTTCTTTGGTCTTTAGGGCTGTTTTCCTGGAAATTCTTTGGAGACTCTTAAGACCTTTCTCCCTCGGAAGGTCTTAAGGGTTGAAGCTTTTGTACAGGAGAAGCTTGCACACATTCTATACATAAGCTTACCTTGCTGAGACTAACTAAAAATGGCTCCCTTCCCTTCCCAATTGCCCTGAGCAAGGGGTGGGACCAAAACTTAACAATGATGGACAGGTGACTTGCCCTATTACTGCAACCAAAGAAGCCACCTATCTTCAGAGTCCCTGAAACCTAGGACTGCAAGCAAACATTTAATACAAAGCAAATAAAGTTGGAGCTCCTGGTACAGCTGTACCAGAACAACTACATCGGCTATTGCTGCAAGTAATGACAGTGTGAATAAATTGCTAATATTTGCTTGAGATAGTGCTTGCAGTTCTGGAGGGACTCTTGATTTTTTGCATCTCATAGACTTAGCGTGGGGATTTGGTTAACCAGTTAAAATTCATGAGTAAACCAGGTTTTTTAAAAAAAATCTGAAACATTTCGGGGGGGGGTTGAACCCCTAAACCCCCCCCCCCTCGCTACGGGCCTGGCTTATATATATATATTTGTATTCTTTCAGCATCTGCTCCAGTGCCACCACCGCCCTCATCAGGAGATGCACTTGGGGGTAATGTTCTTGTTGAGACTGTTCGGAAGTTCTTTCCTGAAACCTGGATGTGGGACCAGGTTCCCATCAAGTGAGTATTAGTTCCTGGTTAAGACTCTTAAGAGCTGCAGGAAAGAACAAGGGCCATTTTGTTCAGGGGTGGGGAAAGTAGCACCAAAGCTTGCCAAAGGCTCCATGCCTTCTTGAGATCCTTTCACAGGGTTGCTTGGCAAGTCTGTGAAAAGATCTCAATGACTTGACTCCCTTTTGCTTTTTCTTCCTGTAAGGAGCACTTTGTTGCAAGCCACTTCTGTGCTCTGTTTCTTGCAAGTTGCTGTTGTTTCCCAACTCCTACTAGAAAATGGAGCATCTATCTTGCAAGTTTATTTACCAGGAGCGACCAGACAGTTGTATTGCATTTTTAACAAAACAAACAAACAAACAGACAGACAAAACACAAAGTTTGCAAGCTTGGTAGTTGATTAAATGTCCTTTGACCAGTAGCTGGCCACTTGGAGTGCCTCTGGTGTTGCCGCAAGAAGGTCCTCCATTGTGCATGTAGTAGGGCTCAGGTTGCATTGCAGCAGGTGGTCAGTAGTTTGCTCTTCTCCACATTCACATGTCGTGGATTCCACTTTGTAGCCCCATTTCTTACGATTGGCTCTGCATCTCATGGTGCCAGAACGCAGCCTGTTCAGCACCTTCCAAGTCGCCCAGTTTTCTGTGTGCCCAGGGGGGAGTCTCTCATTTGGTATCAGCCATTGATTGAGGTTCTGGGTTTGAGCCTGCCACTTTTGGACTCTCACTTGCTGAGGTGTTCCAGCGAGTGTCTCTGTAGATCTTAGAAAACTATTTCTTGATTTAAGTCGTTGACGTGCTGGCTGATACCCAAACAGGGGATGAGCTGGAGATGTCTCTGCCTTGGTCCTTTCACTATTGGTCGCCACTTCCCGGCGGATGTCAGGTGGTGCAATACCGGCTAGACAGTGTAATTTCTCCAGTGGTGTAGGGAGCAGACACCCCGTGATAATGCGGCATGTCTCATTAAGAACCACATCCACTGTTTTAGCGTGGTGAGATGTGTTCCACACTGGGCATGCATACTCAGCAGCAGAGTAGCATAGCACAAGGGCAGATGTCTTCACTGTATCTGGTTGTGATCCCCAGGTTGTGCCAGTCAGCATTCTTGCAAGTGGTGAAACAGGATGAGAAGGAAGCCAGGACTAGAAACATGTCTCCCAACTACAATGGGAAAGGTTAAAGATTGGGTTGGGTTAAGGTGGGTCTCAGCTTTACTTAGGCTGAATCTACCCTGCCCTATATCCTAGAATCTGATCCCAGATTATCTGCTTTGAACTGGATTATATGAGTCTACACTGAAAGATAATCTGGAATAAACAGATAATCTGGGATCAGATTCTGGGATATAGGGTAATGTAGATCTAGACTTACACACTTACCCATGACATCATGAGTGATGGTATTAATGCTCTTCATCTTAATCACATAGCCTTAAATACACAGTCTTATTATTCCACATTGTCTTCTTTCTTTTCTCTTCCTTTCAGTTCAACTGGACAGGCTGAACTCTCTTACGTTGTGCCTGACACCATCACAGAGTGGAAAGCTGATGCCTTCTGTGTAGCGCGGGAGGCTGGGTTTGGCATCGCGGTACCTGCCACCTTGATTGCCTTCCAGCCATTCTTTGCAGATATGACATTCCCTTACTCCATTATCAGAGGAGAGGAATTCCTTCTCAGAGCTAATGCCTTCAATTATCAGGAAAGATGTGTTCAGGTACATCCACTCATTCTTTCATTGCACCAGTTATTTATTTATTCATTTGTTGGTTTTGGGCTAGCGCAAGTGATGGGACAGACTCTTTGTCATAATTTCCATTATAGTTTTGGAATGCACACTGTCCATGGCAGGGAGATAAATGCAGAATGTTAAAGCATTATAGTGCAAGAAAAACATAATGGGTTTATGCCAAATTATTTGCTAGGGCTTTCCCAAAAATTGTTTTTGATAGCTCATCCTCAATCATACATCCTGCCTTCTACAATCTCTGATTGACCATTAAACCAATTAAACTACTTGTCTTTATTATCTGTTTAAATTGATTACTGAATAATCTCCCCTGCTAATTTTGAGAAAGTTTGATCTTGTACATGTCTAAAATTCATGCTTTCAAAGAGTAGCCACATAATTTTATGCTAGTGCTCCTCCAATGTTCTTGTCCCAGGAGTCCCCCCCCCCCCCGCCCCACACACGAAGGTTGGCTTAATTTCTTATCTCTCTATGAGTTCGCCCTTACATTTAGTTCTCCCCCCCCCCTTATCTCCAACCAGAGTTTTTAAATCATTTTATGTACATGCAGCCCGCCCTTTATCTTTCTGTCATTATGCTTAGTTCCTGTGTTTTGTGTATATTGTTTTATATGCTTTGATGTTTTATATTTTACTGTTATGTTGTTTATTTGATTTTAATTTGTATTGTTATATTGTTGTTGTTTTTTTGGGCTTGGCCCCATGCAAGCCGCTCCGAGTCCCCTTTGGGGAGATGGTGGCGGGGTACAAATAAAGTTGTTTATTATTATTATTATTATTATTATTAATAATAATAATAATAATAATTTACTGAGTTCAGGGAGGGCTTTCTCAGAAGTAAACATGCACAGAATTTCGGCCTGAAGTAGATTAATAATTTGGTTCTTGTTGCATGTTAAACAAAAAAATATATATGCATATTTGAAGCAATTAGATGCAGTTAGATGTAAAGTATAGGCTGTCATGACTTTAGTGCCTCCTGGTGGTTTATAAGTCAATAAAAACAATCTTTGAGCTGTTTTCCCCTTGATTTGGCAATGGATAGCTTTCCTGTACCATAAACTCCACATTTTCTTTATGAATATATAATATTTTGTAATAATGTCAAAACTATGTATAGCTACAATGAATCCTATATATTAATGAAACACAGAAACTATATAATATTTTAGCACATGGCTGTCAAATCATGATTTATATAATCAAAACACAATGTGATATTCAGATCTCTATAACTGTAAAAACACAACCTCATATGAAATAAGAAAAATATTCTGAATTGAACAGTGTTATTTACTACTTTAGCATTTTCAATTGATAGACATAACAGCTGTTGGTCTGTGTTTGTGAGAGAAAATGCTAGAATATGATTGTATTTTCTGTTACTATGTCAGTACAACTGAAAAATACTCAGTGAAAAGGAGAATCTACCTTCACTAGAGGAGTCTGAATGAAATTCTATGTTCTCTGATGTTATAGTTGGACCTTCCTTCTCTGTAATATGAATCATAGAATCAAAGAGTTGGAAGAGACCTCATGGGCCATCCAGTCCAACCCCCTGCCAAGAAGCAGGAATATTGCATTCAAATCACCCCTGACAGATGGCCATCCAGATGGCCATGAGACTGAGGTTTATAGCTAAAACAGTATTTTTTTTCTCCTGCTCCCAGGTCCATCTTTCACTGGCAGAGTCCCCAGATTTTGAAGCCTATCCTCTCTTACCGGAGGGAGCTGATAAAGGGTGTGTGTGCAGCAATGAGAGAAAAACTTCCATTTGGAAGATCATCTCCAAAAAACTTGGTGAGTTGCTTTGCAAATGGAAAGAATCTACTCATGAATCACATAATTGGGCCAGCTAATTTTCAAGTTTTAAGCACAGGAGATCAGAAATAACTGGTGGCCCATTTAATACTTGACCATTGTTCCATTGCTATAATATTTATTTGTTTATTTATTTATTTATTTATTGGCCACCCTATCTCTTTGGGCAGCTTCCAGGCAAAAGGGTAAACATTCAGTGCCTTGGTGATAAACAAACACATATATCAAAAACAAGGTACTAACCTTCAAAGGGTTGGAGTGGCCACCAAGAAGGCTCTGTCTCTCGTCACCACCAACCACATTTGAGATAGTGGCGGCCATGAGAGAAGGGCCTCTCTGGAAGATCGTAACATTTAGGCAGGTTGGTATGAGGAGATATAGTCAGATAGGTAAGTAGGACCCGAACCTTTTTGGGCTTTAACGTCAAAAGCAGCACCTTGAATTGGGCCCGGAAACATATTGGCAGCCAGTGCAGGTGCCTTAGCAGGGGGTAGTGCGCTCTCTGTCAATAACCTGGCTGAAGATCTCTGAAGTAATGGAAGTTTCTGGACACTCTTCAGGAGCAGTCCTACATAGAACCCGTTATAGTAGTCTAAATGAGATGTAACCAAGGTGTGAAGAACCTTGAAAATTCTTCATAGCAAGCCCCCGGCCAGCCAGAAGAGTCTGCTTGAGAACTGGGCTGAAGGAGTCCCCTGACCACCCAGAACAGCTCCCGTGGGCTGTTCCGTGGGCTCCCTTGAAGATGCAATGTTGGTGGCCATAAAAGATTTTTCGGTCACTTTCATTACTGTGGAGTAGGACTTCCAACATGCTATACTCTGAGTTAGGTCAGATTCACTACAGGATTGGCACCACCGTCGCTCTAGCTTCCTACGCATCCACTTCATCACCACCAGCTCTGCATTATACCATGGAGCTGATTTGGTTCTGCTATTTGTAAGGGAGCATTCAGGAGTGATTGTGTCAACTGCCCTGGCCAGTTCCGTACTCCGTATTCGCCAAAGCTTCAACATGGTGGCAGGAAAATTCCCAAGAGTCATCAGGAATACTTCTGGATCCATCAGCCGCCTGGGGTGGACCATTTTAATTTGTCCCCCACTCCAGCAGAGGTTCAGAGCCACAGTTAGCCTAAACCTGATCAGATAATTACACCGGAACTTTAGATAATTCCTCCACTCCACCACCATCTTCATCCCCTCCCGTACAAAAGACCAAGTCCAATATGTGCCCAACAACATGGGTGGGGCCAGATAGGACTTGGGACAGCCTCATGGTTGTCATGGCGGCCATGAAGTCCTGAGCCACTCCCAACAGACTGGTCTCTGCATGAACACTGAAGTCCCCAAGCACTATCAGCTGGGGGGACTCCAATGCCAAAGCAGAGACCAAACTGACTAGCTCAGGTAGGGAGACTGTTAAGTAGTACACCAACAGAATCCTTATTCTGTCCCAGCTGCCCACCCTGAAGTAGACACACTCAGCTGATTGTGGGATGGGGCATCTGATCAGGGAGGTGGAATAGCAACAGACCACTGCGACTCCTCCTCCCCACCCTCAGGGCCTAGCCTGCTGCTGCACCAAGAATCCTGGTGGACAGAGCCAGAAGAGATTAACCCACCACCCCCCGGCCTCGTCCAACCAGGTCTTGGTTATACACACCAGGTCAGCTTGTTCCTCCAGGATTAGATCCTGGATGATGGGTGTTTTGTCATTAACTGACCTGGCATTTAACAGTTTAATTCCGGGGGCATTGCCAACATGGTCACCCCAGTTACCTACCAGAGGAGACAATCTGGAGGCAGAAGGAAATCTCTTGTGCTCCCTATAGTATAATATTGCCTCCTCCTCCCACATCTCTTGCCCTGAATCACTTTGATGCCCCTGATAATACATCTCTCCCTGTTAGGATGCATCCCCCCCGCCCCCGAGATAGAATTGTGTAGATTGCACTTCACTTTAAGACTCCCAGGAAATATTAAGGTCTGTCCCAACATCCCTCCCTAATCCACTCCAAATCTAAGTTTAGCGTCTTCCTCCTGCCCCTTATAACCCATCACATTACTCCCAAACATAACTTAACATAACCCTGACCAGAAAGCTAGACCAATGTACAATGGTAAGAGACAGTAATTGTGACCCTGAGTAAAACCGTAGTATTGTTATTCTTATCTGCCTTAGAATCATAGAATCAAAGAGTTGGAAGAGACCTCATGGGCCATCCAGTCCAACCCCCTGCCAAGAAGCAGGAATATTGCATTCAAATCACCCCTGACAGATGGCCATCCAGCCTCTGTTTAAAAGCTTCCAAAGAAGGAGCCTCCACCACACTCCGGGGCAGAGAGTTCCACTGCTGAACAGCTCTCACAGTCAGGAAGTTCTTCCTCATGTTCAGATGGAATCTCCTTTCTTGTAGTTTGAAGCCATTGTTCCACATCCTAGTCTCCAGGGCAGCAGAAAACAAGCTTGCTCCCTCCTCCCTATGCTTCCTCTCACATATTTATACATGGCTATCATGTCTCCTGTCAGCCTTCTCTTCTTCAGGCTAAACATGCCAGCTCTTAAGCCACTCCTCATAGGGCTGTTCTCCAGATCCTTTATCATTTTAGTTGCCCTCCTCTGAACACAGTCTGTTGTCACAATCTGTTGGACTTGGGAGCCCACGAGGGCTAATGTGTCATTCTCTCCTCTCAACCCTGGCCTTTTGTATTCTTTTGGTTGTGATGTTACAGTTTTGTGACTTTGTGCCTGTAAACCATCACAAGGACATCTCCCAATTTAATGGTGTACACACTTAAGAAATAAAAAGGCAGAGCAAACAGCATCAATGAAGACCTTCCTTTTCTGGTTTGGGTAAAAGGCCAAGATATCTTATCTAAGGCAGCCTGATATTTAATTTAGGCCTTCCAGTTGTTGTTGGACTGCAGCTCCTAGCAGCCTTAGCCAGTCTAACTAATGATGAGCAATGCTGAGGTTGCAACTCTTGAAGTACAATGCAATGCCCATCCCTGGCCCTAGACTGCCATTGGATTTAGACCTGTCTTTTTACTGCACTATCCATCTTGCATGGCTTAACAAAGCCATGCTGATCCAGACAGCAGGTTTTGTTTGTTTGTTTGTTTGTTTGTTTTGTCGTGTCAGGAGCAACTTGAGAAAATGCAAGTCGCTTCTGGTGTGAGTTAACAGGAATATATATAGGCCTTTTTGAAGCTTTGCGCACATCCCAGTAACACTCTGGAACAAGGGCTAAGGTCTGCCTTTTGTACCTGACATGAAGTTTAAGGGAAAGTAGCAAAGTTCTCATTGCAGCAGACAAGTTATTTTCTTTCTTGATGTTATTTTCTTCCAGGTAATGTGGTCTTCACCGCTACTGCCGAAGCACCACAAAACAGCGGCATCTGTGAGAATGGAACATCAGGGGGCCCGAATGTGGGTTGGAAGGACACCCTGATCAAAACCTTGCTAGTAGAGGTACATTAGAAAAAGATCGTTGTGCGTAGAGTACATTACTTTTTTACAAACAGAATTAAATAAATCAGTCATAATCTTAATTTGTGCCCACCATGAGTTGGAGAGAAGAGGAGACAACAGCACTCTCTGCAAAACATTTTTTTTCCTTTAAAAACAAAATGTGTGTGAGAGAGACTTCTGAAGATGTAATTCTGCTGCAAAAGTGTCCATACCATATTTTCAAGGAAAAGACTGTAGTTTTTTTTTTTAATTCAGGGGTGGAGAAGATTTTGGCTCAAAGTTCTATATGAATTAACAGTAATTAACATGTCATTGAAATGCATTTGCTTTCAGTCTAAAAAATCTATCTTGAAGACTTTCATCGCTATTGACTACAAAACTCAGGAAAATGGGTAGACATGAGGGAGATTACTATAGACAAGAAAATGCAAGTGTTGTTTATATGAAATGAAATGTAAGAAAGGAGATGCCAAAAACCATCCTTAATCTAGTTCCAGTGCAGTACTGTGTACCTTGTAGCATTTTTAACCATATGGCCTGCAGTTGGAGAGTAGATGGTAATAATAATAATAATAATAATAATAATAATAATAATAATAATAATAATATCTGCCTCTACCTGTGGCTTGAGGCGGGATACAACATAATTAAAACAAGAGATAAAACACTATTAAAAGACATACAATGAGATACACAGAGTTACAATACAAGTTAAAATCTACTGATGAAATCAGATAAAATTCACAACGTAAAATTGACCAGGTAGACCTGCCAGAAGAAATGAGTCTTCAATTGTGTCTTAAATTCCAACAGCTGATCCAGGGATTGTATTACTTGTTTATAAAGATTGAGGCATTTCCCCGCTTGGTACGTTCATTCATTCCTGTGTCTGCTATTTTGTTCCCTTAGCCTGAAGGTGTTGAAAGAGAAGTGTCCCAGAGCTCCTACATCTGTACCAAGGAAGGTAATGTACCAAGTTGCTGTGTACCATTGGACTACCAAGAACATCTGAACTGGAGAAACTGTAAAAAAATGTTAATGATTCCAGGAGTAGAATGGGACCAACTCCTGATATATCATATTTCTATTTCACAGCTACCTCTGTAGCCCCTGCAAAATACCAGTATGAAAAAAGCCTTGTCCTCTATTTCATATTCACTAACTATCCTTTTCTCAGTTTATAGGTAAATAAATTCAATCATGGTCATACAGTATGTTACTGCTGTTAGGAGCCCCTGGGGGCTCAATGGGTTAAACCAGTGGTTCTCACTTGGGAGTCGGGGCATGTCAGAGGGGTCACCAAAGACTATCAGAAAACACAGTATTTTATGGGTTGTTGTAGGTTTTTCCGGGCTATATGGCCATGTTCTGGAGGCAATTTTTCTCCTGACGTTTCACCTGCGTCTATGGCAAGCATCCTCAGAGGTAGTGAGGTCTGTTGGAAGTAGGAAAAATGGGTTTATATATCTGTGGAATGACCAAGGTGGGACAAAGGACCCCTGTCTGCTGGGGCTAGCTGTGAATGTTTCAGCTGATCACCTTGATTTGCATTCAATGGCCTGGAAGCGCCTGGGGGGAATCTCTTGTTGAGAGTGATTTTATGTGCCTGTTTGTTTTCCCTCTGTTGTTTTGCTGTTGTAATTTTTGAGTTTTTTTAATATTGGTAGCCAGATTTTGTTCATTTTCATGGTTTCTTCCTTTCTGTTGAAATTGTCCACATGCTTGTGGATCTCAATGGCTTCTCTGTGTAGTCTGACATGGTGGTTGTGAGAGTGGTCCAGCACTTCTGTGTTCTCAAATAATATGCTGTGTCCAGGTTGGTCCATCAGGTGCTCTGCTATGGCTGATTTCTCTGGTTGGAGTAGTTTGCAGTGCCTTTCATGTTCCTTGATGCGTGACTGGGCGCTGCATTTGGTGGTCCCTATGTAGACTTGTCCACAGCTGCATGGTACACGGTAGACTCCTGTACCGCTGCCACCTATTAAAGGTATTCTTAGGAGTTTGTATTATTGAATCAGGATTCCACCAAAGGCAAAAAGGGGTTTTAGTTATTATTTGACCAGTGTATTGGAAGTAAGCTGGATTGGGCTGAATTTGAACTCAGGGCGCAGAACACTGAGGTGGATATTATTGAGATTCTTCTAAGTAGTTGCTGCCACCATTCTGGAAACTCTGTTTCCCTGACTTGTTATGGATACTTCTTCACACAGAGGCACAACGAGGCAAATGTTTGTTAGCAAAGAACAAAGATGTTTATTTGTGTAGTTTTAAAAAAAAACAGGCACTTTAGCGTAACCGTTGCAAGAATGAGATGAAGCTTATTTGGTTTCTTTAAATCAGTTCAGTACTTGGTTTCCAATAAAACTCTTAAATCCCTCAGGAAACTAGCAGACTTTCTCCTGACTCTTTTACTTCAAAACAGTCCTTTTCCTGGGATATGTTTGTAAACACTATACTAGCTATTCTTCACTAATAGCTCTCTGAACTCTCTAACTAACTTCTTTGGCTTCCCTAACTTCCACTCTCCTTTTTCCTAATTCTCTCCTTCAGACCCCGACTAACTTCTTCAACACCCAGAACCTGACTGACTGTCAGAATTCAAAACCCTCTCCTCTAAGCTCTTTTTTTTACCCTTCAACCAAGCTCTGCCTACTTTCTTCCAGCCAATCACAAAGGTTCTCCACATTTTCCCCCAGGCTGCTTTTAAGCTCTGCCTCCACTAGGAAATGACTAACCTAAGATAGCTGCCTCCAGGCTCCATACAAAATGGATGCCAAAAAAACTGGGCCTAATTCCTGAGTTTATTATGGTCTAAAGCAGTGGTTCTCAACCTGGGGTCCCCACGTGTTTTTGGCCTTCAACTCCCAGAAATCCTAACAGCTGGTAAACTGGCTGGGATTTCTGGGAGTTGTAGGCCAAAAATATCTGGGGACCCCAGGTTGAGAACCACTGGTCTAAAGGTAGGCGATTCATCACAGGATGCCTGACATAGATGCAGGTGAAATGTCAGGAGAGAATGCTTCTGGAACATGGCCATACGGCCCGAAAAACTTACAGCAACATATCCTAGATCCAATCAAAAACTGCCATAGAGGCACAGTACTTCCAGCAAGCTTTTAACAAAGCAAAATACATAGTAGAGGAAATTCATTCTGTATAATTAGAATGAAGGCTGAGCTACATACTATCAGTAGCAAGATCTCTTGGGGTTGACCATTGTATCCACTGTTTCTACACAACTGTTTTCATTTAAAGAATTAATTCCAGTGTTTTCATTGCAGGTACTCCAACCTCTGAGCTGGTATCTCTGAAGCTCCCTGAGAATTTAGTGGAAGAATCTGCAAGAGCATCATTCTCTTGTATCGGTCAGTTTGTAGTACCTGTCATTTGGCTATTGAAGTTGGTTTCACTGGAATTATCCTTGTTTATTATCATTTTTGTATCCCAGATTTGTATCCTACTTGTTTGGACATTTTTTATTAGTTTTTTGTCATGTCTTTTTAGTTGTAGGGCAGGGGTAGTACTCCAAGGAAACCTTTGCAGACCGTGAGCCCTACTCTTGCCACTTTTTCTCCAGTAAAATATCTGCCCTTTGGGAATTGTAGTTTTGTTATTAAATCCTCGAACCCTCATGTCCCTGATCCAGATCTGAACATTAAAGTTCCCTCATGTCCCTGATCCGGATCCGAACATTAATGTTCCATTTGAACATTAGGAAGAACTTCCTGACTGTGAGAGCCGTTGAGCAGTGGAACTCTCTGCCCCAGAGTGTGGTGGAGGCTCCTTCTTTGGAAGCTTTTAACAGAGGCTGGATGGCCATCTGTCAGGGGTGCTTTGAATGCAATATTCCTGCTTCTTGGCAGGGGGTTGGACTGGATGGCCCATGAGGTCTCTTCCAACTCTATGATTCTATGATTCTATGATCTCTACAAAACAAAACAAAAATGGGTTTTCCAGCTACTTCCTGTTTTGAATGTATAAAAATGTTTTCACATTTCCAGGGGTCATGCAGTCCATCTTGGTTCTTAGGATGCAAGCTTGCTTCCGATTCTTCCAAAATTATCCACTTCTGTTCTAAGAGGATTCAATTTTCCTGCTTCTTGGCAGGGGGTTGGACTTGATGGCACATGAGGTCTCTTCCAACTCTATGATTCTATTATTCATTCCCACTTCTTCTTTTACAGCAGTGGTTCTCAACCTGTGGGTCCCCAGATGTTTTGGCCTCCAACTCCCAGAAATCCTAACAGCTGGTAAACTGGGAGTTGTGGGCCAAAACACAGTTGTGGGACCCACAGGTTGAGAACCACTGTTTTACAGTGATATGCAGATTTCTGATAATCTGTTTCATATTCAGGCCAGCAACCTATTGGTGGCATGAGGTAGCATAATCTCTGGATGTGCTTCGGGGAAGTTTTTTGGGGAAGGGGGTATTCAGTACCTCTTTCCATACTCTGACTGTACAGGAAGATGGTTCTTTCTTTCCCAAATGTTTAAGAGCATTCAAAATACATACCATTGTTAAGATTTTTTACTCATGAAACTTTGTTGTCTTTTTTTGGTAGGAGACCTCATGGGCACAGCAATGCGGAACCTACACCAGCTCCTGCAGATGCCTTATGGCTGTGGGGAACAGAACATGGCCCTCTTTGCACCCAACATCTATGTCCTGGACTATCTGAATGCCACTGGGCAACTGACTGCAGAGATCGAATCCAGGGCCACAGGATACTTAGTCAGTGGTAAGATACTGGACACTTGCCTTGCCTCTTCCATTGTGTGACATGGAGGTGGGGTTACTTCTTTTCCACAGTCACATACATCACATCATTCCAGTTCTACTGGAGAGTAGGGGTTTTTCTTAAGTTGCTAAACTTGTTTTTGTCTGACATGTTTCCTTAATTGGTTTTGTAGATCGTGACTTGTTTTTTTTTTCCATTTTGCTGACCAAAGACATTCTAATAGCATTTTCCTTGTTAAAATTTATCCACTTCCATTCAACCAAAAGGGATTCCAAAGATATGTACATAATATAGTAAAAAAATGCAGTCTGCAATCTGATATCCCCTTAACATACAGTAAATATCCACACCCAGAGATTTGTTGCACCAGCACCATGCAGCCCTCCTACAGAATAGCAACCTTGTACAATGTATGTTGATGACAGTGTGTTATTATGTACTGAGTCCATCTTGGCAGAGCAGTGTTAAATACACAAGCATAAACACAATGCACATCATTACTAAATGCACAACTCCACTTCTGCTTATGTCAATAAAATATGCCTGTTGAGCTATGGTAAATAATTTGCCCAGCATTCATGTGTATGTCACTAACAGAATGCCAGCCACGGTATAGCACCAATGACATTTCATAATAAGGGATATATAATTTTTGTAGCCAGTAAGCATGAAAATAAATAACTCATTCAAATTAATATTTGAAAGGAGGTCACATTGAAGAGGGAGCAAGCTTATTTACTGCTACCCTGGAGACTAGGACATAGAGCAGTGTTTTCAAATTCTAGGAAAAAAGATTACACCTAGGAAGAACTTCCTGATAGTAAGAACTGTTCAGCAATGGAATAGGCTGCCTTGGGATGTGGTGGAGTCTCCTTCTCTGGAGGTTTTCAAGTAGTAACTGGATTGGGAATTCTGTAATTGTGTGTCCCTGTATGGCAGGGGGTTGGAGTGGATGGTCCTGTGGTCCCTTCCAACGCTGTGGTTCTATAAAATGCCTCAACAAAAAGGAACATTATTATTTGTACCCGAAAGGAAGAAATATCAGTGCTAGTTGTGCCTTGGGTTGTGGAGCGTGCCAGTAATTTTTCAGCCAGACACCTGCATAAGTTATTTGTTTATTTGCTTATTTATTTGCAAATTTTGAGTATTTATATTCTGCTCTCCAGCCGGCCACACAGGCTCTAAGATCATTAATGTGACAGAGCCTTTGACTTGCTTACAGACTAGGCATGATGAAGCCATGCCTGCCTCTTCTTCTCCCCCTCCGAGGCCAGGGAAGTCATGCTACCCCTCTATTCTGCTTTGGTTAGACCACACCTGGAATATTGTGTCCAATTCTGGGCACCACAATTCAAGAGAGATATTGACAAGCTGGAATGTGTCCAGAGGAGAGCGACTAAAATGATAAAGGGTCTGGAGAACAAGCCCTATGAGGAGCGGCTTGAAGAGCTGGGCATGTTTAGCCTGAAGAAGAGAAGGCTGAGAGGGATATGATAGCCATGTATAAATATGTGAGAGAGGAAGCCACAGGGAGGAGGGAGCAAGCTTGTTTTCTGCTTCCCTGGAGACTAGGACAAGAACAATGGCTTCAAACTACAAGAAGGAGATTCCATCTGAACATGAGGAAGAACTTCCTGACTGTGAGAGCCTGTTCAGCAGTGGAACTCTCTGCCCCAGAGTGTGGTGGAGGCTCCTTCTTTGGAGCTTTTAAACAGAGGCTGGATGGCCATCTGTCAGGGGTGATTTGAATGCAATATGGCGGGAGCCCTGACAATTCGGTCACGCGCTGTGAAGCATTTGCTCGGTTCTTTGCAGACAAAGTCGCCTTGATCCGCTCTGGGCTGGACGCCGCGTTAAATGCAGTCTCTGAGGATGTGACAAGAGCACCTGCTTGTCCTATTTTGATGGATTCTTTTCAGTTTGTGAAACCCGAGGATGTGGACAAGATACTTGGAGGAATGAGGCCCACCACGTCCATCCTAGACCCCTGCCCATCCTGGCTTCTGAAGGAGGCCAGAGGGGGATTGGCTGAGTGGGTAACGGTGGTGGTTAATGCCTCCCTTCGGGAAGGCAAGATTCCAGCGTGCTTAAAACAAGCAATTATAAAACCGCTGTTGAAGAAACCATCATTGGACCCCACCAAATTTGACAACTTTCGGCCTGTTTCCAATCTCCCCTTTTTGGGCAAAGTCATGGAAAGCGTGGTGGCCTCACAACTCCAGGTATTCTTGAGAGACACGGATATTCTGGATCCGGCACAGTCTGGTTTCAGACCGGGACATGGAACCGAGACGGTCTTGGTCGCCTTAGTGGATGATCTGCGCCGGGAGCTAGACAGGGGGAGTGTGTCCCTGTTGGTGCTCCTGGACCTCTCAGCGGCCTTCGATACCGTCGACCACGGTATCCTTCTGGGGCGCCTTGCAGGGAATGGGTCTTGGGGGCACTGCTCTGCAGTGGCTCCAGTCATTCCTGGAGGGTCGCACCCAGAAGGTGTTATTGGGGGACTCCTGTTCAACACCACAGCCTTTGACCTGTGGGGTTCCACAGGGCTCTATACTGTCCCCCATGCTGTTTAATATCTACATGAAGCCGCTGGGTGAGATCATCCGGAGTTTCGGGGTGCGGTGTCATCTGTACGCAGATGATTTCCAACTCTGTCACTCCTTTCCACCTGCTACTAAGGAGGCTGTCGAGGTCCTGAACCGGTGCCTGGCCGCTGTAACGGTCTGGATGAGGGCGAACAAATTGAAATTAAATCCAGACAAGACAGAGGTACTCCTGGGCAAGGCCGAACAGGGTATAGGGTTACAGCCTGTGTTGGACGGGGTCGCACTCCCCTTGAAGGCGCAGGTTCGCAGCTTGGGTGTGATCCTGGATTCATCGTTGAGCCTGGAACCCCAGGTTTCAGCGGTGACCAGGGGAGCATTTGCACAGCTTAGGCTCGTGCGCCAGCTGCGCCCGTACCTCAGGAGGTCTGACTTGGCCACGGTGGTACACGCTCTGGTCACATCCCGCCTTGACTACTGCAACGCTCTCTACGTGGGGCTGCCCCTGAAGACGGCCCGGAAGCTTCAGCTAGTCCAGCGCGCGGCAGCCATGTTACTAACTGGAGCGGGTCGCAGGGAGCACACAACGCCCTTGCTGTACCAGCTCCATTGGCTGCCGACCTGCTACCGGGCCCAATTCAAGGTGCTGGTGTTAGCCTACAAAGCCCTAAACGGTTCCGGCCCAAAATACCTGTCAGACCGCATCTTGGCCTACGAGCCCACGAGGGCCTTAAGATCGTCCGGGGAGACCCTTCTCTCGATCCCGCCTGCCTCACAGGCACGCCTGGTGGGGACGAGAGAGAGGGCCTTCTCGGTGGTGGCCCCCCGGCTGTGGAACACTCTCCCTGTAGACATCAGACAGGCGCCCTCCCTTATGTCTTTTCGTAAAAGCTTAAAGACATGGCTATTCGAGCAGGCATTTAATTAAATGCTACAATTAGTTTTGGCAAGACAACTGGAACGGAATTCGGATTATGAGCTTGGCTATGATTTTATTATGAGACGGAGCGGATCATTTAGTGTAATTATATAACTGTTATATTGTGGATATGTTGTTTTGTATTGCCTTTTGTAATTTGCCTTTTACATGTTGTACACCGCCGCGAGTCGCCCTAGGGCTGAGAGCGGCGGTCAACAAATGCACCAAATAAATAAATAATAAATAAATATTCCTGCTTCTTGGCAGGGGGTTGGACTGGATGGCCCATGAGGTCGCTTCCAACTCTTTGATTCTATGATTCTATGATTCTAGGGCAGTAGCAGTTGGGATGACCTAGGCTTGGTGGAGTCACGCCTGCCTTTTATTTCTCTCTCCCTCCCCTCTGCCCCAAGGCCATCTCGAACATTTAAGAAATGTGTTCCCTACGAATCACATGTGGACCTCATGTCATTTTTGTGGCCTTCAGATACTCATGGAGCATTCTAACTATTTCCCTTGTAGAGTCACCAAAAAAAAAATCATACAAAGAGGGTTCCCTCTTTTTCAGGCTTTTAGGAGCAGCATGTTTTGCAGTGGGAGGGTCACCCACCCCCTCCCAACCTTCCCAGCCTTTCAAGAAAAACTGGAAAAGATTGTCCAAATACTTCTGAATTTAATTCCCCCATCCCACATTTATATGTTTGAATTCCTGAGTCTGCTTCAGCCTACAATGGATGTTAGTGAAAATCTAGCCCAATAATAATAATAATAATAATAATTATTATTATTATTATTATTATTATTATTATTATTATTATTTATACCCCACCACCATCTCCCCAATGGGGAATCGGAGCAGCTTTCATGAGGCCAAGCCCAAACAACAAATTATAGCAAAATAAAACCGAAAATGAAAACAACAAACAACATCATAATTACATAAAACATATGAATGCATAACAATATAAAATTACAGTAAACACAATCACAGTGACAATGGGCAAGCTACATGTAATGATTAAAAGAAAAACTAATTAAAAACTGATTAAAAACTCAGGTGAGATAAAGGGGAAGCAGGTTATTTGCGGAGGGAGGCTCATTATAGCAGGGTTGTGGAATCAAACTTTCCCACAAGAGGGGGGGGACACATGTACTCCAATTACAGAACGTTGAGGCTAAGCAATAGTGTGGGTTTGTATACCTACTCACCAAAGGCGCAGCGGAAGAGCCAGTTTTTAAGGTTCTTTTTAAAGGTTTCTAGAGTAGGGGCTTTCCTAATCTCTCCAGGTAATGAGTTCCAGAGTCGGGGGGCCACAGAGGAAAAAGCTGTCTCCCTTGTGCTTACAAGGCGAGCTTGTGAGAGAGGCAGGGGCGAGAGAAGGGCCTCCCCAGAAGATCGGAGGGCCCAAGCTGGTTCATGGAGGGAGATATGGTCACGCAGGTAGGTGGGTCCCAAACCGTTTAGGGCTTTATAGGTAATAGCCTGCACCTTGAATTGGGACTGGAAAATAAATGGCAGCCAGCGGAGCTCCTTAAACAGGGGGATTGACCGTTCCCCAAGGCATGACCAAAATTACCTGTCCAAGTCTGAAAGAAAATTGTTTCAAGGAAATATTTTAAAGAAGTAGTTACTCTCTCATGTGAGCCCACAAGGAAGCCTAGTACTTCCAGACGTTGAGGCAGAGGTTGCAACTTGCTCGGCGCTATCTCAGTTTGCTCCACTGGGGCACATCTATAATTGGCTCTCTGCAGCATTCCCATTAATGCCGGAAGATAAACTAATCCAAACACTTAAGGGTGGGTTCTTGTAACTGATCACAGTGGGGTTTTAAGCATAGAGAGAATTGTGTTGCAATTCAATATATACATTGCAATGAGGGGCACAAACTAGTGTAGTAGTTTGAAAGTTGGGCTAAAACTCTGGAAACCAGGGTTCAAAGCCCCATCTGACCATGGAAACTAATGAGTGACCTTAGGCAAGTCACACTCCCAGCTTCAGAATAAGGAAGATGTAAAAACCCCTCTGAACAATTCTTGCCAAGAAAACCTGATGATAATAACAACTGCGAGGCACAAAACGCTTCATTTTATGTTAAATTGACATTTTGCTATTAACCTATTATCTGGGAAATGTTTCCCACTCTTGTTTCCAGGATATCAGCAGCAGCTGTTATACAAGCATTATGATGGGTCTTATAGTGCCTTTGGCAGCAGGGACCGGGAAGGCAACACTTGGTAAGAGCCTAGCAAACTGGGAAGTGTCTTCTTGCACCATTAACCAGCTGCCATAAGCAAAAGAGTTACCAAGTGATGTTGGCTATATTCAGAGGAAGACAATGGCTTACTTTACTTACTTAGGCGATCCCTCGTTTTCCGAGGAGGATTGTCTTCCAATATTCTTGTGGGTCCGTATGTGGCTGTGGAGCCCTATTCTTGCTCTGCATCTTCTTTCGCAGTGAGGGCATTAGTTTCCAGGTGGAAGGCGGTCTCGGTCGGGGTTGGCTTGATGCGCCTTCCTCTTAGCACGCTTCTCCCTTTCGCCCTCCATTCTTGCCTCTTCAAATTCTGCAGCACTGCTGATCACAGCTGACCTCCAGCTGGAGCTCTCCATTGCCAGGACTTCCCAGTTCTCAGTGTCTATGCCAGAGTTGAGGCTAAGACAATGGCAAATCCCCTCTGAATAAATATTGCCAAGTAAACCTTAACATAGGGTCACCATAAGTTGGAATTGACTCAAGTTCAACAATCAAAACAATACCAATGCTCGAGCTAGAGAAAATAGTCTTATATTGACAAAATATTACTCTAAGGACCTCATCATACAAATTACCCCCCCCCCCCCTCCGTTTCGCAGGCAATCACATGGAGAGAACTGAGCAAGGCACGTTCCCATCAGACAGGGGAAAGGGCAACAAAGCATGTTGATGCATTGCTCTTTTCCCCCATCAGATGAGGAAAAGGGGGTGGGGGATGCAGGTAGTTCTGTTAGCCACCCAAAGGCCACTTACCTTCCCATTGTTGGTGAGGAAGTGTCTTCCTCACTATTTCAGGCATGAATGGTGTGGGGCCAAGCAAGCATCATGGGATGGCACTCGGCAGGCCCCATCCCCGAAAAGTAGCAAGGGGTCAAAAGCCCCAAGTATGATATGGTAGTCAAGCTTCTCAAGGGTCATTAATACATATTGCTAGGTGTGAGCAAGGATTTGTATGGAATTGTTCCTAACTGTGTTGCTGTCATCTTGGATGAAGTAGACATTCTTCAATAAGAAATTATATGTGAGACAGGCATCTGAGCTTCGATGCTAAGTAGCATTAGCCCTAGATAGTACTTGGATGGGAGACCACCCACAAATATCAAGTGCTGTAGGCTGTATTTTGAGGAAAACCATCTCTGAGTATTCCTTGCATAAGAAAACCCTATAAAAGTCACAGTATGTTTTGTTTTTTTTTCAGTCCCTTTTTCTGAAATTTAGTCTCCATCCCCAGATGAGCTGGGGTTAAGGGAATAGGACTCCATGAAAATGAGAAAGCATGAATAAAGAAATGGCTATGTTTTTATCTAAGCAATTACATCTCTAGATATTTTTAGGTCTTCCAGCATAACTCCTTGGTTGATGTCCATTGGAAGCTGACCACAGAATCACACTTGAAGACATTTCTAGACAGATGTTCTCTCTAGAAATCTCTAGGTCCTGCAGCATGACTGGAGAAAACTGACCATAGATCTACACTTGAGGATCTAGACATTCCTAGAGAAAACATTTCAATGAAATCCACGAATAATCAACTCTGCGAAAATCAAACTGCAGATGTGAGGGATCACTGCACAAATCAAATCAGATTGGACAGTTGCTGTGGAAAGTTGTTTGCGAATACTCATGTTTTGTAACTCCTTCTTTCCTTTCCTTTTTTCCTTTTTTTTTTTTTTTGGCTAGGCTCACAGCTTTTGTGTACAAGTGTTTTGCAAGAGCTTCACGTCGCATTTTTATAGATGGAAATGTCCAAACCCAAACCTTAATCTGGCTGTCTAGCAAGCAAAGATCCGATGGATGTTTCCAAGATGTGGGGAAGCTCTTCAACAATGCTCTAAAGGTGCAACATTTATCTTCTCAGATACATTCTGTCCCTCTTGTGGCAATGCCTTGTAAATTATTGTGCTTTGATTTCAGTGCTCTGATTTCTGTTACTACTATGCAACTATGGTACAATACCTTTATCCATGGGATATACATCCCTTGACAAAACGAAAAGGAAATCATAGATAATAATGATCTATTGAAGCCCTGTGGCTTCCTCTCATGTATAAATATGTGAGAGGAAGCCACAGGGAGGAGGGAGCAAGCTTGTTTTCTGCTTCCCTGGAGACTAGGACGAAACAATGGCTTCAAACTACAAGAAAGGAGATTCCATCTGAACATGAGGAAGAACTTCCTGACTGTGAGAGCCGTTCAGCAGTGGAACTCTCTGCCCTGGAGTGTGGGGAGGCTCCTTCTTTGGAAGCTTTTAAACAGAGGCTGGATGGCCATCTGTCAGGGGTGATTTGAATGCAATATTCCTGCTTCTTGGCAGGGGGTTGGACTGGATGGCCCATGAGGTCTCTTCCAACTTTTGATTCTATGATTCTATGATCCCTTTTGAAATGAACAACTTCCATGGGAAGTCACTATGGAAATGGACTATGGACAAGCTTGATGGAGTCTCTAACCACAGAATTCGGCTTAGATTTTAATTGAATTGGTTTACTGTTTTTAATTGTATGTAATTATTGCATTTTACCATGTATTTTATTATGTGCACATGGAGGCATCGAATTGTTGCCGGCTGGAAGCTGCCCTGAGCTCCCCCACCCCCAGGAGGGGGGAAATATTGTGTCCAATTCTGGGCACGACAATTCAAGAGAGATATTGACAAGCTGGAATGTGTCCAGAGGAGGGCGACTAAAATGATCAAGGGTCTGGAGAACAAGCCCTATGAGGAGCGGCTTAAGAGCTGGGCATGTTTAGCCTGAAGAAGAGAAGGCTGAGAGGAGACATGATAGCCATGTATAAATACGTGAGAGGAAGTCACAGGGAGGAGGGAGCAAGCTTGTTTTCTGCTTCCCTGGAGACTAGGACACGGAACAATGGCTTCAAACTACAAGAAGAGGAGATTCCATCTGAACATGAGGAAGAACTTCCTGACTGTGAGAGCCATTCAGCAGTGGAACTCTCTGCCCCGGAGTGTGGTGGAGGCTCCTTCTTTGGAAGCTTTTAAACAGAGGCTGGATGGCCATCTGTCAGGGTGATTTGAATGCGATATTCCTGATTCTATAATTCTATGATTCTATGATCTGAAATAAATAAATAAATAAATAAATAAATAAATAAATAAATAAATAAATAATAGAGTCATTCTGGAGGACTCAAAGAAATCCCTGAGAGAGACTCTCTCTGGAATTTGTCATTCTGACTCTAGTAACCTCTGACAGAAACATAGGATTCCAGGTATATCACCCAGTATCAATTTGAACCTTGAACTCAGATCATGTTTGTCTCCCTTTCACTTATTGCTATTTGTCCCTACTTTCCTCAGATGGCAGTCCTCTCATGGCTCTGTAGTTACCGTCAACAGAAAAAATTAATTTCCCAAAAAATAATCTGATCAGAAGACTACTACAGGTGTCTGTTATTGCCATTGGGTTTTTTTATTGAGCCACACTAGGTTGTCTTCTTCCAGTTAATCTCCATAGCAATCCCATACAGTAGGTTTGCTGAGAAGCAGTGGTGTGGTGCCCATAGTCATAGTCACTAAGCAGAGATTTGAATCTAAGGCCCCTTCTGCACTGCCATATAAAATCCACATTATTTGCTTGGAACTGGGTTATTTGGCAGTGTAGACTCATATAATCCAGTTCAAAGCAGAGAATATGGATTATCTTCTTTGATAATCTGGATTATATGGCAGTGTAGAAGGGGCCTCTGTTTCCATGTTTCAAACCCAGCACTTTATCATTGTAACACTAGAAATATGATATAAAGTTTAAAACATAGCAGGATAAAAATATGAGCAATCAATATTCCTAATTTGAATAAATAGACTGCAGTTCAGAGCAATTTGCACAGTGTGCAAATTAGATGCCAAGGTTTAAGGAACTGGAATATGGCAACCCAATGTTTGACTAACTCACCTGAACATAAATCATGAAGCTATTTTGAGGATAGGTAAGCAGGCATATAGCCGGGGGGGGGGGGGGGGGCTTGGGGGCTTCAGCCCCCCCCCCCGAAATTCTCATGGTGGTCCGCAAGAAGGCCTTACTGGTACATTATTTAAACTGTTATGTTTATTCATATCATGATCTGATCACCATGCTCAATATATCCCATATGCATGGGGGTATTGGGGTAATGATACAAAAGGTTTGCTAGGGTAGACCCTCTTTCACTCAGACTCAGCCCCCCCCCCCGCCCCCTGAACCAAACTCAGCCCCCCCCCCCCCGAACCACAATTGACAGAAGGATAACAGAAGTGTAAAGGTAAACGTTTCCCCTTGGTATTAAGTCTAGTCTAGTCTGACTCTGGGGTGGTGGTGCTCATCTCCATTTCTAAGCTGAAGAGCCAGCGTTGTCCATAGACAGCTCGAAGGTCATGTGGCTGGCATTACTGCATGGAGCACCATTACCTTCCTGCTGGAGTGGTACCTATTGATCTACTCACATTTGCATGTTTTCGAACTGCTAGGTTGGCAGAAGCCAAAGCTAACAGCAGGAGCTGCCCCCGCTCCCCAGATTCAAGCCGTTGACCTCTCAGTCAGCAAGATCAGCAGCTTAGTGGTTTAACCTGCTGTGCCACCGGAGGCTCAATTTTGAGGATAATATAGGTTACCTCTATGTCTGCTACCTATAGTCCTTCAGATAAATGCTGAAATACACATGCATACTTTATTTGTCCTGGCATTGAATGTTTGCTGTTTGTATGTTGTACTCCACCCTGAGTCCCCTTCAGGGTGAGAAGGGTGGAATATAAATGCTTTAAATAAATAATAAATAATAAATATGTAGTGTAATACATATTTGATAGTTAAAACACTGTTAAAGGAGACATCCTCACACCATTTCAGCATCGATAAAATCTGTCCTATACAAGTTTACATTTTCTTCGTATCCAAAATGTTTATTCTGTTTTCTCTCTGCATGTTTTGTATTTCCAGGGCGGAGTCGGCAGCAATCTTGAACTGTCAGCCTACGTCACCTCAGCTCTGCTCGAATCTGGATTACCCACCTCGGTATTCGTTTTCTGCTGTTATTTAGGTTTCAGTTTAGGATACTTCATGATAAAACCTTGCCTGGATTATTGACTTTGAAGAAATAGCATGAAGATTATTGGCTTGTGGGGTGCATGTTCCCCTCCACTTCTACCAACTGCTGCTGATTTTGCTACCATATTTTATTTTAAAGCAAAAAAGATCAGCAAAAAAGGAGAAGACCCTGCAGTTTTCTTCAAACAGGGGGTTTTAATGCAGGCTTGTTCTGATGTAGCTTGCATGCGCCATATATCTTCAGGGCCATTTTGGGGTGTGTGGGGGGAATACAAACTGAGCTGAGTGATCCCATGAGACAGAGTGACACCAAAGTGACACTGTGCATCAGGCATGTAGCCGGGGGGGGGGGGGGGGGTGAGGGGCTTCAGCTCCCCCCCCGAAATTCTCATGGTGGTTGCGAAAAGGCCTTACTGGTGCATTATTTAAACTGTTATGTTTATTCATATCATGATCTGATCACCATACTCAATATATCCCATATGCATGGGGGTATTGGGGTAACGATACAAAAGGTTTGCTAGGGTAGACCCTCTTTCACTCAGACTCAGCCCCCCCCCTCCCCCCCCCCCGAATCAAAATCCTGGCTACGGGCCTGCTGTGCATAGTGTTTCAGCAGATATTCATTATGTTTTATTTTTTAAATTTCCTGCAGTTAGATTTATTTATTTATTTATCATGTCAGGAGCAACCAAACAATTGTATTACATTTTTAACAAACAAACAAACAAACAAAACACAAGCTTGGTGTGCTGTCGCATGCTGGGCCTGTACATAAAACTGTAGACAGAACATAAATTCTGTGTGCCCAACGGGACGCCGGGGCTGCCTCAGATTAAAGGCCTTTGGATTTCCTTAAACAGAGTCTTTAGATTGCTTAAAGGTTTAACAAAGTTCTTTATTAATGAAAACAAACAGGTATTTCAAGGCTTTCTTAACAGTCTATAGGCTCTTTCTATCTTGTCCACAGGGAACAGGCACTATCTTCATGACTGGTATTTTAACTAATGGGGAAATCCTTAACTTCTAATCTGGGCAGTCTTTCTTTGCCTCTGTTGGCGTGGAGCCCCTACACCCAGTACCAACTGCGTCTGGCTTCCGCGAGTGACCCTTACCAAGCAGAGCTTTGTAGACTTCCAGGGAAAAAGGAGTTCAGATACAGCTGTGGGGCTGTATCTCCCGGGCCAAGCTGTAGAAGACGAAGCTTTCTACAGGAGCTTTTGGTATTATGTCCTGCGTGGGAAGCTGCTCTGTGTGGACTGAACCAAAAAGGCTCCTATTCCCTCCAAAAACCCAAAAGGGGGCGGGACCAGGGAACCTAACTATAATTGACAGGTGGCTTGCCCTATGATTGCAGCCAGAAGAAGCCACCTATCTGCAGAATCCCTGAAACTTAGGACTATAACAAACATTAAATGCAAAGCAAACAAAATTGGAGCTCCTGGTACAGTTGTACCTGCACACTTGGTATTCTATTAAATGTCCTTTGACCAGTAGCTGGCCACTTGGCATGCCTCTGTTGTTGCTATAAGAAGGTTCATTGTGCATGTGGCAGGACTCAGGTTGCATTGCAGCAGGTGGTCAGTGGTTTGCTCTTCTCCACACTCGCATGTTGTGGATTCCACTTTGTGGCCCCATTTCTTAAGGTTGGCTCTGCATTTTGTGGTGCCAGAGCGCAGTCTGTTCAGCGCCTTCCAAGTTGCCCAGTCTTCTGTGTGCCCAGGGGGGAGTCTCTCATTTGGTATCAGCCATTGATTGAGGTTCTGGGTTTGAGCCTGCCACTTTTGGACTCTCGCTTGCTGAGGTGTTCCAGCGAGTGTCTCTGTAGATCTTAGAAAACTATTTCTTGATTTAAGTCATTGACGTGCTGGCTGATACCCAAACAAGGGATGAGCTGGAGATGTCACTGCTTTGGTCCTTTCACTATTGGCTGCTACTTCCCGGTGGATGTCAGGTGGTACAATACCAGCTAAACAGTGTAATTTCTCCAGTGGTGCAGGGCGCATACACGCCGTGATAATGCGGCATGTCTCATTAAGAGCCAGATCCATTGTTTTAACGTGGTGAGATGTGTTCCACACTGGGCATGCATACTCAGCAGCAGATGTCTTCACTGTGTCTGGTTGTGATCCCCAGGTTGTGCCAGTCAACTTTCGTATGATATTGTTTCTACACCCACTTTTTGCTTGATATTGAGGCAGTGCTTCTTGTAGGTCAGAGCATGTAGGTTAGATATAAATGCAAAACATTTTTGTAAGCCCATATGCTTAACTTTTTGAACCTTTTAATATGCATGTAGCCTAGTCAGAGCTGTCATTATTATCCAATTACAATGACACTTTGAATCACCTATTTTTGTCTGCTATTGTTTTCATTGCTTCTGCTTTTATAGTTTTTGATTTTGTGACATATTCTGGAATTTTAGTTATAATATTTATTTTATTTTTATTTATTATTTAAACTTATATGCCGCCACTCCCCTGGGGCTCGGAGCGGCTTACAAGAATAGCTAAAATCTAACAAAGTTTAATATGTGGTATGGCTTGGTATGGAAGGAGGACACCAATCCTAATGATATCATTGCCCTCTACCATGGTGTCTAATTTGAAAGCATTGCTTTTTAAAAGAAAAAATATCCATAATAGATATCCATAATGTGCCACCATGGAGCCCCCGGTGGCGCAGTGGGTTAAACCCCTGTGCCAGCAGGACTGAAGACCAACAGGTCGCAGGTTCGAATCCGGGGAGAGGCGGATGAGCTCCCTCTATCAGCTCCAGCTCTTCATGCGGGGACATGAGAGAAGCCTCCCACAAGGATGATAAAAACATCAAATCATCCAGGTGTCCCCTGGGCAACGTCCTTGCAGACGGCCAATTCTCTCACACCAGAAGCGACTTGCTCCTGACACGACAAAAAAACAAACAAACCGCCATGCCCTCCAATATAACCAGGATATGTGCAGCCAACCAATATCTGATTATAGAAAAGATGGCGATTTTTTAATTAATGACGAAGAGCACACAAGCTGAGAGAGGTTGCAGCGGTTTGCTTTTGCTGAGCCTACGGGAAGGCCATGATTCCCCTCTCTCCTCTTCCTCGGCTCAGGTAACTGAGTGCACTTTGCACTTCGAACTCAGTTTACAGCAGTGGAAGTAAGCTGAGAACAAAGTGGGGAAATGCTAGGGGAGAGAGAATCTGGGATATCTGAAAACACCTGAAAGATAGGGATGATAGAACATTAATTGGGATTGTCTTAGTTACAGAGTCTATGCCTCGGTTACAGAGTCTATGTCTCTTAGTCTAGATCCCCTGTGCCTGTAAGAAATAGAACTTGGTCAGGAGATGCTGAAGTATGGCTGGAGTGCTTTGGAGTAATGCCGTTTCATTTGTTTGAACCTTTCTGCCTCTTCCTCTTCTCCTTTTCCCAGCATCCAGTGGTCCGAAATGCTTTGTATTGCTTGGAGACTGGATTAGAACAAGGAGGTCTCACTGTCTATGCACAAGCCATTTTGGCATATGTTTTTGGCCTTGCCGGTAATAAGCCCAATCTGGATGTCCTATTGGACAAACTGAATAAATCAGCTACAAGAGTAGGTGAGTTACAAGTTTCACAACTTTCGCCATTGTCTTTTGTTTGTACCTTTAATTTCTGTCTGACCTCCCTCTGTGCAATTTCTCTTTTACTATTATATAGAATAAACTGTGCATCTGTAAACCTCTAACTCAGAATAGAGATGCAAGGTAGAGTATTGGTTTGCGTGTTGGGCTAGGATTCAAATTCTTGCTCAGACGCAGAAGCCCTTTGGATTACCTTGGGCACATCACATGGAGCCCCCGGTGGCGCAGTGGGTTTAACCCCTGTGCCAGCAGGACTGAAGACCGACAGGTCACAGGTTTGAATCCGGGGAGAGGCAGATGAGCTCCCTCTGTCAGCTCCAGCTCCTCATGCGGGGACATGAGAGAAGCCTCCCACAAGGATGATAAAAACATCAAAAAATCATCCGGGCGTCCTCTGGGCAACGTCCTTGCAGACGGCCAATTCTCTCATACCAGAAGTGACTTGCAGCTTCTCGTCGCTCCTGAGACGATAAAAAAAAATCACACAAGATCAGCTTAAGACAGAGGTCCACAAACCTTTTAAACAGAGGGCCAAGTCACAGTCCCTCAAACTGTTGGAGGGCCGGATTATAATTTGAAAAAAACATGAATGAATTCCTATGCATACCACATACCTTATTTGTAATGTAAAAATCACTTAAAAACAATACAATAATTAAAATGAAGAACAATTTAACAAATATAAACTTATTAGTATCTCAATGGGAAGTGTGGGCCTGCTTTTGGCTCATGAGATAGGATTGTTGTCGTTGTTGTTGTGTGCTTTCAAGTCGTTTCAGACTTAGGTTGACCCTGAGCGAGGGCCAGGTAAATGACCTTGGAGGGCTGCATCCGGCCCCTGGGCCTTAGTTTGAGGACCCCTGGCTTAAGAGAATTACAATATCAAACCCCTACAAAACAAGTCTTAGCATTTCATTGTATAGAAGTTGGAAACACTGGCATTTCTTTCTGCATCTCATAGAATTCCCAAGCCAGAAAACTTGATAAAAAGATTGATATAGATTGCAGTCAATATGAAAGCACATAACAACACACAGTAATGTATTGTTAAAGGCTTTCACTGCTGGAATCACTGAGTTGTTGTGTGGTTTCCAGGCTGTATGGCTGTGTTCTAGCAGCATTTTCTCCTGACACTTTGCCTGCAGTTGAGGCTGGTATCTTCAGAAAAAACTAGACAAAAATATATGTGGAGTTTGTTTCCAAACTGAATCAAATCCATTTGAACAAATTTTACAGGGATAATTAAAATGTGTTAAGGCTATGCATTCTTTGCTATAAAATGCAATTTCCCAAGCCCAGTACCAAAGTGATTTGATACATTTTGATAACTTTGATCTATACATAATATACTATCCCTAGGCAACAAAGTGCTGTCAACTCATGTTTCATTCTTTTTTGAATTTTGTGCATTTCGGAAGCAAACTCCACATTTAGAGTTCCTTGTTCTTTCCCTACTTGCCACTTTTTCGCTTGTAGGTAAGTGTAGGAATAAACACATCTGAAATAGAGAGATAATAACTTGGGATGACAGCTTGTTTATTTTAACTTCTTTTATACCGAGGGTTGTATGTTGTATGCATGACTATGTATGACTATGTGTTAATTGTGTTGTGTGTTAAATGTTTTGATACGGCCAATAGGCCAATCAATAAAACGTATCTATCTATCTATCTATCTATCAATCTATCTATCTATCTAACTTGGGATGAGTTGGAGAGAGAAAATAATTGAGTCTCCTTTGTGGAGAAAAAAAACAGGGCATAAATAATAATAATAATAATAATAATAATAATAATAATAATAATAACAATAACAATAATATAAGCCAAGTGTGCATTTATGCAAACATTATCCCTTTGTAAGTTCAAATGCTCCCACTTCCAAAGCATCTTCCCATGAAATAAAGAAAACTTGCAGAACTGTTTCTTGCTTGCTTTTACGTAATAGGCGATGCTAACCAACGTCTGCGATAGGAGTTCTTCTCTCTTCCCATTTTACTGTATTCCATATTGTCCAAAACACTGTTCCAGACAGTTTTCCAACCCTCTTGGGCATATGATCAGGGGACGTGTGGACTGCAAGGAGAAGAGGGATTACGTTCCTCTCATCCCTCCTTCATCTTGCTGATGGAACTGCTTCCAACAGCAGAATGATGCCCAAATATCCTGGCCAATAGGTGGTTGAGCCCTTATTTAAAACTCTAACAGACTCCACCTGTTAGATTCAGGTAGATATCTTCCGGTAACATTAAATTGGCATCCTTATTACTTGTAAAAGTGCCAAAATAAACTAGGCAGTGCATGTCACACACTGGATCTGATCCTCAGTGCAGGAATTCAAGTGACTCTGACTTCTATTATTGAGGTTCCATGGTCGGACCACTGTGCCCTGGGAGTCCGGTTAGAGCATGCTTACTCACCCGGCATAAGCGCCAAACAGGTTTGGGTTCGCCCGAGGAGACTTATGGAACCTGATAGGTTCCTGAATGCTCTGAGGGTGCTGGAGCCTGTCAGCGACTTGATCGAATTGCAAGTGGATTTATGGAACAACAATTTATCCAATGCACTAGACGTCCTCTCCGACCCCGCAAGAAGAGACTGCCTTGGTTTACCGAGGAAGTGGGAGAAGAGATGGCTAGAGGACATGTGGCGTGAACTTGTTCTCTCGACCCGTGTCCCTCTTGGCTGGTTAAATCTTGCTTAGAGGGACTACGTGGTCCCTTGTTGAACATAATAAATGGCTCCCTTGAGCAAGGAGTTTTTCCAGAGGCTCTGAAAGAGGCCATGGTATCTCCACTGCTAAAGAAACTGGATCTAGATCACTCGGTTCCCTCCAGTTACTGCCCGGTTCGAATCTTCCATTTCTGGGAAAGGTGATTGAGAGGGCGGTAGTGGAGCAACTGCAGCAGTTCCTACATGACACAGCCGGATTAGACCCCTTCCAGTCTGGCTTCTGTAAGGGGCATGGGACAGAGGCTGTGTTGGTCTCCATTACAGAAATTTTTCTTTGATTTTAAATGTAATGTATTACATATATATATCGTAAACCGCTCTGAGCCTTCAGGGAGTGGCAGTATATAAAATTGATTAACAAATTTTTTAAAATGTTAATTTTTAAAAAGAAAGTTATTTGTACAGTATCTCAGTTTCAACAATGGTTAGAATGAATGCAAACACTAAGAGATAATCAGGTTTTCAATTATTATTCTTCCTAGAGAAGGAAGTGAGGTAGATGATTTCCACAGGGTACTTGAAAGAATTGGTTTGAACTTTTTCCTTTTAGCTGTTTTCTTAGCACCTCTTTGCAATTATCAGGTGGTTCATTATACTGGGAACGGAATGATAAACCACCAACAGAAAGGTCTCCCTCCTTCTACCCCCGTGCCTCATCCGCGGAAGTTGAGACGGCTGCCTATGCGGTCTTGGCAGTGCTCACTGGGGCCAACCCAACCTCAGCACAAATTACAACAGCATCACAGATTGTGAACTGGATTACCAAGCAACAGAATCCTTACGGAGGTTACTCATCCACCCAGGTAAAGTAATTCCCGTTGAACCCCCCCCCCCCCCCCCCCCCCGGCAGCAATCATCAATCATCAATACACTGATGTTTTGGTTTATAGCAATAGAAAGCAACTGAGGGTTCATACAGATTGTGCCAAAGAAATGGTGTCTTTTAGCATAGGAATTATATGCATTGCTTGGTCTTCTGTGTCCCCATGATGAAGCTGTCAATAACCCTTGATCATGCTACATCCCAGGACTTACCTTGTGCTGTGAGTCCAGATGCTTCTGTGGCAGCTTCTGATGTACTCCCTTCATTGTAATCCCCTCCCAGCACTTCATAATTGCAAATAGCACAGCAGGAAGGTCAATTTACACCAACCTGAAAGCTGGGTGAAATTTCCCATCTTCATGCTGTTGTTCTACAAATTTTCAGTTTTTCTCAGTTGCGGAAACAAAATGTGCCGTTTCTTAATAAATTTAACATGCTGAATTCAAATATAATAATTAAATGTGTAAATTGGCTCTGGTTTTTATGCAACAGCTATTTCAATTTTCTCCACAATAGGTAATTCTTTAATAATTATGATAATGCGCCTAACCTTACTACATGTATATAAACCATGAATATTTACTAAATTTTAGTCAAATTATATTGCCAATAGTTTATACATGAGAAATATTTATTTAATTCGTCTATTGTTTATGTTTGTGCAACAAGTAACTATATTAGTAGGCCTAATGCAGTTGAAAAGTCTGAAAGTTTAAATGTCGCTTTAATCGTGACTTTAGTTTTTATCCTGTTTGCTTCTCTTGACTTTTCTTTTGTATTCAAAGAAAGGATTGTCTCTTACAATGCTCCAGCAGTAGTCTGACCGCATTGATGGAGTCCATTTGCCTTGATATCATTTTTCCATAGTGCTTTATTTACACACGAGCGAGGAGGCATAACTACAGTAAAAAGAACAATGTAAAACGATGTTTAACGATACTGTCTCAGTCTTCAACTGACTGACCCTCACCGTTCAAAAGTCTGGCCTTATATAGGGCTTTCTGGCTTTTGCACACGGCACTAATACTGCGTCATCAAACTTTCTAGAATATTCTAGAATCTTCCATAGTGTAAGTCGCAACATGCATTTTTTCAACCATACGTGATCACGTGATTGCTTATATCATAAAAACTAGAGCCAATATACATTTTTAAATGTCATTTTCATTTTCAGCACCCCAAAATCATAAAAGAACAGCTATTTTCAGGCCCGCAACTTTTTCTCCGTTGAATAGTGTAGTTGGCTCTATGCCACATTGTTGGAAAAATGCGGTATAATGGCTAGTGTGAAGTAATATCCTTCATGTCCCATCCAGATCTAAACTTATTTTAGTTTCTGTAATAGTCCACAAACACCTTAGCAGACCTCTATTCAGTTCCCATGAAGCAAGGCAGCATAGCTAATCAGCATGCAGTGCCTTTCCATTCAGCTCTGGTCTCCTTTTTCAAAGCATTTATTTTTATTTATTTTATTTACTATATTTATACCCTGTCCTTCTCATCCTGAAGGGGACACAAAGTGGCTTGCAAACTATGGCAAAAAATCAATGCTGCACCATACACACAACAATAAACATATATCAAATTATAAAACAGTTAAAACATATAAACAGTTAAAACGTATGCCTACAATAAAACAAAGTAAATGTAAGAGTGTTCTGAAAATGTTAACGTGTAAGGAATTCTGTCCTGCCTTCTGCTCCTCAGGCAACAAAGGGGGAGAAAAAACAGGGTACAATGTCCCTTGTGATTTGGGAGGGCTAAGCATAGAATAAAAAGTTGCTACTGATACTGAGAATTGCTACCTATGATACCAGAAATATAAAACCTGGGGTCTAAAATAATAAATACAGCAGCAAGCTGCAATATTTACTCTGTGTGTTTACCACTGAATCAAAGTGTGACTAAGGAATGGTGTGGGTTTTTTTTTTTTAGTACACTTCTGATTATAAATAAATAGTAATCAAGAGCAGGGACTTTAACTTGGCTAAAATGACTCTTGCCTGCCTTAGAAGAATAATTTTTAATGACTTTCATATTGTTTTCCAAAAAATCCCCAAGTGGCCTTTTGTTATCACTTTCCTCTTTCAGGACACAGTGGTTGCTATTCAAGCTCTGGCTCGGTTTTCCCAACTTACCTTCTCTAAGGATGGTCAGAACACTGTCAAGATCCATTCCAACAAGCCTTTTGAGAAAGTATTTGAGGTGGACAGTACCAATCGCCTTTTGCTGCAGCAAACTTCTCTACCCGATGTTCCAGGGGAATATGCAGTGGCCGTGAGTGGCAACGGATGTGTCTTTGTCCAGGTAAAAATTGACACATCTCCAGAAGGGCAGGATCTGGTTGAGTAAGGGGCTTCTGCAACCATTTTTGCTATGGGAAATGCATGATAGTAGTCCTAATTCTGCAGCATTCAATTCTTACTTGTTATGGAATTTATCCTTCACTCCAGTGGGAGAAACCTCTATTTCCCTTGAAACAAAAAAAAATCAGAATTGTGATAGACACGAAGGAAACTCAAGCCACATCCACACAGTACCTTAATCAAAAGAGCTTTCATTTCAAAATGGAAGATGGCTAGCAACGTCACTGGAAAACTCACGATTATTCGCTACAAAGGAGGGAAACCGCAGGATAAAAAGGTCCCCTTTTATCCCACGTCTGGCTGAAAGGTGCAGTTCTTTGCATGTTTGTCTGACCCTGCATTCCAGGAAACACATGTTTTCCTTCTCTCTCCCCTGTGGAGACTGCTCCAGTTGATGTCCGTCCCTTTTTTTAAAAAAAGTCCAAAATAGCTGATTGAGCTATAAAACGGATGCACGGATGATTGAAAGGAAGCATGAAGACAGAGCAAATAGAACTCTCTGAAATTCTTTACTTAACACTGTAAAGTCTCGGTCTGGTTTCAAGCCTGGTCACAGTACTGAGACGGCTTTGGTCGCCTTGGTGGATGACCTCCGCAGGGAGCTGGGCAGGGGGAATGTGACCCTCCTGGTTCTCTTGGATATCTCAGCGGCTTTCGGTACCATCGACCATGGTATCCTTCTGGGACGACTATCCGGGATGGGTCTTGGAGGCACGGCTTTGTCGTGGCTCTGGTCCTTCCTGGAGGGTCGATCCCAGATGGTGAAGCTGGGAGACACTTGTTCGGACCCCTGGCCTTTGACTTGTGGGGTCCTGCAAGGTTCCATTCTGTCTCCCATGCTTTTCAACATCTACATGAAACCGCTGGGAGAGGTCATCCGGAGTTTTGGAGTTAGGTGCTATATGCAAGATACTCCACTTTGGCAGAAAAAATGAAATGCAAAGATACAGAATGGGTGACGCCTGGCTCGAGAGCAGTACGTATGAAAAAGATCTTGGAGTCCTCGTGGACAACAAGTTAAACATGAGCCAACAATGTGATGTGGCGGCAAAAAAAGCCAATGGGATTTTGGCCTGCATCAATAGGAGCATAGTGTCTAGATCTAAGGAAGTAATGCTACCCCTCTATTCTGCTTTGGGTAGACCACATCTGGAATATTGTGCCCAATTCTGGGCACCACAATTCAAGAGAGATATTGACAAGCTGGAATGTGTCCAGAGGAGGGCGACTAAAATGATCAAGGGTCTGGAGAACAAGCCCTATGAGGAGCGGCTTAGGAGCTGGGCATGTTTAGCCTGAAGAAGAGAAGGCTGAGAGGAGATATGATAGCCATGTATAAATATGTGAGAGGAAGCCACAGGGAGGAGGGAGCAAGCTTGTTTTCTGCTTCCTTGGAGACGAGGACACGGAACAATGGCTTCAAACTACAAGAAAGGAGATTCCATCTGAACATGAGGAAGAACTTCCTGACTGTGAGAGCCGTTCAGCAGTGGAACTCTCTGCCCCGGAGTGTGGTGGAGGCTCCTTCTTTGGAAGCTTTTAAACAGAGGCTGGATGGCCATCTGTCAGGGGTGATTTGAATGCAATATTCCTTTTTCTTGGCAGAATGGGGTTGGACTGGATGGCCCATGAGGTCTCTTCCAACTAGTTGGGTGCCATCTCTATGCAGATGACACACAACTCTACTACTCTTTTCCACCTAATTCCAAGGAGGCCTCTCAAGTGCTGGACGAGTGCCTGGCCGCTGTGTCTATCTGGATGAGGAGGAACAGGCTGAAGATCAATCCCGACAATAAACCGGATCGGGGTATAGGGTGGCAACCTGTGCTGGACGGTGTTGCACTCCCCCTGAAGTCACAGGTCCACAGTCTGGGTGTCCTCCTGGACTCATCACTTACGTTTGAAGCTCAGGCGTCGGCGGTGGCCGGGAGGGCTTTCGCACAATTAAGACTCGTGCGCCAGCTGCGACTGTACCTCGTAAAGTCGGATCTGGCCAGGGTGGTCCATGCCTTAGTCACCTCCAGATTGGATTACTGTAATGCACTCTATGTGGGGCTGCCCTTGAAAACGGCCTGGAAATTTCAATTGGTACAACGGGCGGCAGCCAAGTTACTAACTGATGCTTCTTACAGAGAGCGGTCTACTCTCCTCTTTAAGGAGCTCCATTTTCCGGTCCCAATTCAAGGTGCAGGTTCTTACCTACAAAGCCCTGAACGGTTTGGGACCCGCCTACCTGCGTGACCGCATTTCTGTGTACGAACCCACATGATCTCTTCGATCATCTGGAGAGGCCCTTCTCACGCTCCCACCTCCTTCGCAAGCACAATTGGTGGGGACGAGGGAGAGGGCCTTCTCGGTGATGGCCCCCCAACTCTGGAACTCACTCCCCAGGGACATGAGAGATGCCCCAACCTTGGCAGTCTTTAGGAGGAACCTGAAAATGTGGTTGTTCCAGTGTGCCTTCCCAGAATAAGGAGAACTCTCAGCAATATGCCCCCATAATGCACTTTAATACTGACTTAGGATTGACTGCATTCCCTCATTACTCTCCAAAAAATCCTATCTCAGTTATATTTTATCTTGTTCATGTCAGCATATTTTCAATTTTAATCTATTACCTTTGGCCCAGCCATTTTTTAAATGTTTATATGTCACTATTGATTGTTTATTATTTTTTGTTCATGTGATTTATATGATTTGTATTTTATTGATTGTTTTATTGATGTTGTTTTATTGATTGTTTTATTGATGTTTTGTTGTACTTTGGGCTTGGCCTCATGTAAGCCTCACCGAGTCCCTTGGGGAGATGGTAGAGGGGTACAAATAAAGTTCATTATTTTATTAAACACTGTAACACTGTAAACAGAGATAAAAATAAATAACCAGGGCAAGGGAGAAATGCAGCTGAATTTTTTTAAAACAAAATTCTCTGTTATGCGCTGACCTGTATATGTGCACATGCAAATAATATGCTTGCATTAATTCTATTAGGATATGCACATATACACATATATGGATTCGCGCCTAATCGTATACTTAAAAAAAAAAAAGCTCCTGCAGATATCTCTAGTTTGCCCTCCATTTTATCCCGAGACACAGAAGGGAGCCTAGTGAGGATGGAAGAAATCCTAGGACTGGCAGGTCAGTGTGGGGGACCTACTCTGACATCCCAGGTTATTTTTTTTGTCCATCTTAGAAATCCCACAATTTGGTGCTGTCTGGAAGCGCCTTCAGACGTCAAAGTAAAAAAACAAACAAACCAGGAAGTATTCTCCAAGGGTGAGAAATTACTGTAGAAGAAAATGTAGTTTTTTTTGGATTCTCATAACTTAGGTCTCATTCCTTTCTCACTATTTAGCTTTTGATGGTGCTTGGATGTTTTTGATGTTTTACCATCCGTATGGGAGGCTTCTCTTATGTCGTCGCATGGGGAGCTGGAGTTGACAGAGGGAGCTCACCCACGCTCTCCCTGGATTCACACCTCCGACCTGTCGGTCTTCAGTCCTGCTGGCACAAGGGTTTAACCCACTGCACCACCAGGGACTCCTTTGCAAACATGAGACTGGATCTCTGCAGGCAAACAGCAACTGGAATAGGAAGTTGTTTTTTCAGTAAAGGCTGAGCTTTTGCCCTGTCATACAGTATTTCCAGTACAAAGCCCCCACTCTGAAGGTGCTTTACAATAAGCTAACATGGTTGGACTTACAAGTGTTTTTCAGTGAGTACCCAAGGTTGTTACATCACCACAGTGTACACAACTGCATTTAAAAGTCTTAATCAAAAAATGGAAAATAATGGGATGGTTCATCGCACCAGCATTCTGAGCTTTGGCTCAACTTTGCCTCATAGGTGATCGGCCATCACCTATGGTGAGCAGCATGTATCTTTCTTTTATCTCTGTGGCATCTTTGCTTAAAGAGGTTTCACCTACTTCCTCAGAATTACACAACTCTGCAAAATGGGTTAAGTCAGCATGTTACATTGTAGAATCAATGCAGTTTGACATCACAATAACTGTCATGGCTCAGTGCTATGGAGCCATGGTAGTTGTAGTTTGGTGAAGTACCATCACTCTTTTGTAGAAGAGGCCTTATAAAATTACAACTCCCTTTATTCCACAGCATCGAGGCATGGCAGTTACAGTGGTGTCAAACTACATTAATTCTACAATGGAGATGCACCCTTAGATAACAGTGGGACATATTTGCACCCCAGGGGGGAAAGCCAGCTCCTAAATTATCTTTAAAATTTCTTTTTAAAAATCTTTTCACACCCCTTTAAAGATGTCAGTTTAAAAAACTCATCTTAGAAACTATATGGACTCATCTTATTTTCCACTCTTTTTTCCAGACAACTCTGAGATACAACATCATCCTCCCTCAGAAGTCTTCTGGGTTTTCCATCTCTGTGCAGACTGCAAATGCTTCTTGTTCAGACAACGTCCAGAAAAAGTTTTCTATTAGCATCACAGCCAGGTATCTCAGATACTCAGGCACAAAATAAATGTGTATACATGACCCAAATACATGTGCAAATTAATAATGGAAAGTCAATCTTCTGGTCCCTGTAAGAGTGCAAAGAGGGATGCAATTTGGGGAATAAGGAGTGACCTTTACCAGACACCCCTGGCATCAGCAGATATTTTGTTACCCGAAAACACCATAGTCGAGCAGTCCTGTATGCTATTCCCCCTGGTTGTACTGGGGTTCCTTGGAGTAGTATCTAAATGCATGTTTATGACTACACAAACCTGCTATGAAATTATAATGTGCCATCAGTCCATACAAATGGAATAAGGTATGTGAAAGTCATATATCAACCAGAAGAGGATTTTGTTGTGAAAGTAAAATAATTTTCCAAAAGCTAGTTCCAAAGAGCCTTCAGCTGTGGAAACAGAATAATCATATGGTTTGATACTTTCTTTTGTGTTTTTCCAGTTACAGATACACCTCCATTAACAAAATCATGTGTTCCTGGGAATTCTTGAATTGAAATTTTGGTATCAGAGGTAGAAATAGCATATGAAGGATAGGGTCCTACATCACATACACACTTCAACATTTTTAGCAATGCTTTCCCTTCTTTTTGGATATTTATGCATACTCAGTAAGGGATGCTAGAGGCTGCTGCTATTTACCTTGCCTGTTGTAGATCAATATCTACAGCTAAGTAGGATCAAGCTCATTCTTTCTCAACTCCTATTTTATTGCATTATTCACTGAAGATTTGTTGCAGCAAACCGAGATCTATAGTGTATGTTTCTCCATCCCTTCTTCACCATTCTCCCAATGTGGGAAAAGCCCATCTAGACACAGGATGAGGAGGAAGCAGTTTACACTGTATAACAAGTCATTGCTAAAAGGAATTTCTGTGTCAAATTTCTGTGTTGCTAATAGATGTATGTCTGTATTGTGTATTTCTAGGTTCACAGTTTTAAATAAGTACCTCAAAGCAATTTAGTCACTGCATTTGTTTTATTTGTAGAGTCCAGATGCTCTCTAGGGGGCAACATGTAACTGCAATCTAGTATAGTTGCTGCTGAGACAATATCAGTTCTGTCCAGGAAACGATGTATTTGGTGTGCCAAGCAAAAGCTACTCACAATAGTTTTCGGGTAGGAATCCATGCTTATTACATACTTCTTTTTTAGTTACACCGGAAAGCGCAATACTTCCAACATGGCCATCGTTGATGTAAAGATGCTCACAGGATGTGTACCTGACCAGTCTTCTCTACAAAAGGTAAAGAATAGGCCACGGGGACATGAAAAAGGGCCAAGTTCAGTGCAAAATCCAGAGTTGTAAGCAGGACCAATTGGAAATATAGACTTTCTACTTCTTAGTAGGAGCAGTGCATTGTATAGAAGTGGGAAACATTGGCATTTCCTTCTGCATCCCCTAGAATCCCCAAGCCAACATTTCCCACTAGTCAAGCTGACTTTAGGATTTTGGAAGCTGTGGATTCAACACAGTATTTTTTCCAAAAATTGGTATGGCTTTACAATTTTCTGTTGCATGGATATTGGCTACTTCTGCAGTTACTGTAAGATCTGAGGTCAATAACTGATGATTCCATTTAATTGGTTTAATTGGATAGGGCTGATGGAGATAACAGCCTGAAGTCTGTGGGAGCTATTTCACTTTAAAATAAGCAACAGTGAGAGGAAATCTGGGAGGTTTGGTGGTAGAAGCTTTAAGAAAAAAACTCTTTTTAAATAATATTTTTCCTTGTTGCTTGTTACACTATATAACCTGTTTTTTGTCCCTGGATTATAAATGTCATTTCCTAATTAGTTCTATCATAAAAACATGGGAAATGTTTATTAAACTGCACAAACTTTGTTTTTTTGGGACAAAGAAAACAAATAGAAAATATACAGTAAAAAAAAAACCCTCCAGCTCTCTGAATAGTGATTCCGATTGTCTTAAGTAAATCTTGCTGCATGGAGTCTATAAAGTATTATTCTCACTAGGCTTTGGCAAGCTACTGATGTCATGTCCTTTATGACTTATCTTATAGTGGTAACTGACAGATGTCTTTTGCTTCCTTGTTCATAGCTTCGTGATGACAGGGTTGTGATGAAGGTGGAAACTAAAGAAAACCATGTTATCTGCTACCTGGATGAAGTACGTACGACTCATATCTGCCCCTCATTTTGTGGAGTATATGCTCATGTATAAGACTAGAATGTTAGTCAAAAATCGACCCAAAAACCTGCATCAGCTTATCCCAGGTCAATATAAGTATCATGCCTCAACTCTTATTTAAAAAGGGGGGGAATTTACTTCTTTGCTGACATCTACCTTGCAGAATCTTGAGCATTACCTTACTGGCATGAGAAATAAGGGCTACTGTACGAAAGCTTGAGCATTCTTTAGCATTTCCCTTTTTTTGGTATGGGGCTATAAGTGGATTTTTTTCCAATCTGATGGCCATTCTTGTGTTTTCCATATTTGCTGGTATATGGCATGCATCACCTTAACAGCATCATCTTTCAAGATTTTAAACAATTCAGCTGGTATCCCATTGTCTCCTGCTGCCTTGTTGCTAGCAATGCTTCTTAAGGCCCATTCAACCTCACTCCTCAGGATGTCTGGTTCTAATTCACTCACCACACTGTCAAAACTATCCTTGATATTATTATCCTTCCTATACAGATCTTCTGTATAGTCTCACCACCTTCTCTTGATCTCTTCAGCTTCTGTTAGGTCCCTGCCATCTTTGTTTTTTATCATGCCCATTTTTGCCTGAAATTCACCTCCAATGTTTCTAATTTTCTGGAAGATGTCTCTTGTCTTTCTTATTCTGTTGTCTTCGTCCACTTCCATGCATTGCTTATTTAAAAACAGTTCCTTATCTCTTCTGGCTAACCTCTGGAATTGTGCATTTAACTGTTCATATCTCCCCCTATCCTTTGGCTTTACTTCTTTCTTGGGCTACTTCCAGTGTCTCAGCAGACAACCATTTTGCCTTCTTGGTTTTCTTTTTCTTTGAGACGTACTTTGTTGCCACCTCCTGAACAATGTCGCAGACTTCTGTCCATAGTTCTTCTGGGACTCTATTCACTAAATCTAGTCCTTTAAATCTATTCTTCACATCCACTGTATATTCACTAGGAATGTTAGTGAGAACATATCTAACTGGTCTTTGTGTTTTCCTGATCTCTTTAATCTGATTCTAAATTGTGCAATAAGAAATTCGTGATCTGAACTACAGTCAGCCCCAGGTCTTGTTTTCACTGACTGGATGGATGTCTGCCACCTTTGACTGCAAAGGATGTAGTCAATCTGATTTCGATGCTGACCATCTGATGAAGTCCATGTATAAAGCCATCTTTTAGGCTGTTGGAATAGAGTGTATAATACACATTGAGTTTTCCTGGCAAAATTCAATCAGCCTGCACCCTGCTTCATTTTGTTCACCCAGACCATGTTTGCTTGTGATCCCCATTGTCATTCGAATACCCACCTTTGCATTCCAGTCTCCTAAAATGAAAATAATGTCTCTTTTTGGTGCATTATCCAGTAGATGCTGCAGGTCCTCATAGAACTGATCTACTTCTGCTTCTTCAGCACCTGTGGTTGGGGCACATATTTGGATCACTGTGATGTTAAATGGCTTACCTTGAACTCGAATTTAGATCATTCTCTCAGCTTTAGCGACTTTATTATTAATTATGATGCCTACTCCATTTCTTCGATGTTCCTCTTGTCATCTGTTGTGAAGTGTTGTGAAGTGATGTGTTGTGAAGTGGCCCATTCCATCTTTAGTACTGGCATCTCACCAGTAACAACATCCAGTTTGCCCTGGCTCATAGATCTTACATTCCACGTTCCTATGGTGTGTTGATCTTTAGAGCATCGCATTCGTTGTTAACCTCCAGCACTGTCAGCCGCTAGCCTTGCTTTAGGCTTTGAGCTAGCTGCTTCATCACAACTGGGGCTAGTTGAACTTATCCTCTACTCCTCCCCAGTAGCCTTTTGACCATCTTCCACCTGGGATTCCCATCTTCCAATGGCATACCAACATATCTCTGGTTGTACTGATCCATTTAGTTTTCATGGCAAGAGTACTGGGGTGGGTTGTCATGACAGAGAGGTCAGTTTGGTCTGACCTCTCTGTCATGATCTTCGCGTTTGGGTGTCCCTTCACAGTTTCGTTCATGGTGTCATTGAGGTGCTCAAGCTCCAGTGCCGTAATCATACAATAATCCATAATTTTTGACCCCCAAACCTGTCCTCATGAGGTCAACTTATATACAAATATACAGTAACCAAAGAGAAGACTGACCACTCCTCATTTGTACTCTTATTTCTAGCTTTCCTACAAGGCAACAAGTTTCAGTTTCATGATTGTGCAAGATCTTTCTGTTTCAAATCTCAAGCCGGCTTCAGTGCGTGTTTATGACTATTATGAAACAGGTAGGTTTTGGAGGTGAGGTATGCAATAGGACTTTAGCAGGCCAGAGTAAAACCATGTTGGATCCCCCCTCCCCCCGCCCCCATCTGTGCTATTTGGTGAAAAAGTTTCTCTCTTTATTTGGTTCCTCTTTTCCAGGGAAAGAGGATATTAATTTCATTATCTTTCCTTGTCCGTCCGTCCCCCGTCCCCCCCAATTTTTTCAACATATTTTTTTGATTGATTTAAATAATTTGCCATAACATGTATTGAGATGAGTGAATAATATATTATTTTCTTTAGATGAGACTGGTGTTGCTGAATATAAGTTCCCTTGCAATGCAGAAGATTCTTGAGCCCTCCAGATATTTTGAGGATGGTAAGTTGGAAGGCAGAAACATCAGACTTTGGAAGTAAAGGCCCAGCTGACATTATCATGGTTGGATATTTGAGGTTAGGGAAAAAACTACATAAAATATGTTTCTTGACATTTCAAGTTGTCAGAATTACAATCATAGAATCATAGAATCATAGAGTTGGAAGAGACCTCAATGGCCATCCAGTCCAACCCCCTGCCAAGAAGTAGGAATATTGCATTCAAAGCACCCCTGACAGATGGCTATCTAGCCTCTGTTTAAAAACCTCCAAAGAAGCTTCCACCACACTCTGGGGCAAAGAGTTCCACTGCTGAACGGCTCTCACAGTCAGGAAGTTCTTCCTCGTGTTCAGATGGAATCTCCTTTCTTGTAGTTTGAAGCCATTGTTTTGTGTCCTAGTCTCCAGGGCAGCAGAAAACAAGCTTGCTACCTCCTCCGTGTGACTTCCTCTCACACATTTATACATGGCTATCATATCTCCTCTAAGCCTTCTTTTCTTCAGGCTAAATATGCCCAGCTCCTTAAGCCGCTCCTCATAGGGCTTGTTCTCCAGACCCTCAATCATTTTAGTCGCCCTCCTCTGGACACATTCCAGCTTATCAACATCTCTCTTCAATTGTGGTGTCCAGAATTGGACACAATATTCCAGGTGTGGCCTAACTAAGGCGGAATAGAGGGGTAGCATGACTTCCCTAGACCTATGCACTATGCTCCTATTGATGCAGGCCAAAATCCCATAGGCTTTTTTTGCTGCCACATCACATTGAATTAGCTATCATATAATCTATTGCAGGAGAAAGTACATTTGTATTTAATGATACTCTGGAAGCTTTTACTTTTTTCATAAATTTTCAAAGGGTTCAAGGCATTTTGTTGGTAATGGCATAACAACAACAACAACAGCAGCAGCAGCAACAGCAACAACAGGAACAACTTTATTTATATACCACCCTATCTCCCGAAAGGGATTCAGGGTGGTTTCCAACAAAAAATGGCAAACATTTAATGTCAGAGTACACTAACAAAGAGAAATAAACAACTCCCTCATATCCTAAAAGAAAATTTGCATTATAACAAAATTAAAATTATAACAGATAAACAAAAATTAAATAAGAACATAACTGATCAACTACTGGATATATAACATTAACACATGACAGAAATTTAAGCAAATCTAAAATCTACCAGCTCTGTCCACCAGATTTCTGTGTGCAGCAGAAAGCAAGACTCAGGGATGGTGAGGAGGAGTTGCAGTGGTCTATTGGGATTCTGGTTGCCAGTTTGTTACTGGGCGAAATTTAAAGTGCTCGTTGTTACCTTTAAAGCCCTAAACAATTTGGGTACAGACTACCTAACACCTCCTCTTATATGAACCTGCCCGAATGCTGCAGTCTTCAGAGGGGGCCCTCCTCTCGATCCCACCCCTGTCTCAAACTCGGTTGGAGGGGATGAGAGAACGGGCCTTCTCTGCAGTTGCCCCATGCCTCTGAAACTATCTCCCGAAGGCAATTCGAAAGAATTCTCTGCCCTCTTTCAAAAAGCTATTAAAATCATGCCTATGCTCCCAGCTGTATGAAGAACCTAACATCTGAAGATATGGCTTGTTAAATAAGGACTGCTTTACTGAATATGGCTTTTAACTCTGGATGTGGCTTTTCACCTTGTTTTAAATGTGGTTTGTGTAATTGTGTTTTATTGATTTTAGGATGATTTAATTTATGATTGTTTATGTTGCACATTTGCTTTGTTTATTATTTCACGTTGTTAGCTGCCCTCAGTCCCCATGGGGAGTGGGGGTGGGATACAAATAAAGTTTTGATTTCTTGATGGATTTATAGATTTTTGTCATTTCTCATTACATTCACGTGACCCATTGACACATTGCAGCTGACACACTAATGTGTTGCAACACACAGTTTGTAAAGCTCTGTTTTATGCCTTAAACATCTATAACTTCACCTTAGAATTATCATCTTGAATGGGTCTGATTACTTTTTACTCAGTCATTTTATTACAATATTGCTTTTATCTTTCTTGTTTCCCCAGTTAATGAAGATATCCAGGGCCTAGGATAAAGCTATGCTATGGCAAGAAGTAATACTGTCGAAGTTCAATAATTGAAAATTGGTTTGGGGCAGCTTTCTAGCTGAAGGTTTTGCAACTTTGGATAATTTGAAATAAAAGGTTTAGATTATTAAAATTATCTGCCTTGTCTTTACATTGCATTTCTTCGGGATGATAATCATCCCTTTTCACTTTCTTTCATTCCCTCATTCTGTCCGGGTTATCCCCTTGAGGAATTCCTTAATGTCACACAGTCCAAAATTGTGTTGGCACAACTGTGGAAAAACAGGAACATACAGCCACATTTAGTGGGAATGCAAAAAAATACAAAAGTTCAATGAAATAATCAGGAAGGAAATGGAGGAGCTATTAGAGATAAATATAGAATGGAACAAGACTCAATTTTTCACCCAGAAATTTGAAAGTAAAGGGGAATGTAAAGAAAGTGAGGAAATAATAAAACACACGATAGAGGCAATCAAAGCCTCAGTGACCATAGGCTGGAAGGACCACAAGAAATGGGATATAAAAACTTGGTATAAATATCTGTATAAATACTGTGTGGATCATAATAAATTGTGGCAAGTTCTTGGTGGGATGGGCATCCCAAGCCACCTTGTCTCTCTCCTGAGGAATCTGTACAAGGACCAAGTCGCAACAGTAAGAACTGACCACGGAACAACAGACTGGTTCAAGATTGGGAAAGGCGTACGGCAAGGCTGCATACTCTCACCCAACCTTTTTAACTTGTATGCAGAACACATCATGCGATGTGCGGGGCTTGATGAATGCAAAGCTGGGGTGAAAATTGCTGGAAGAAACATTAACAACCTCAGATATGCAGATGACACCACTCTGATGGCCGAAAGCGAGGAGGAGCTGAGGAGCCTTCTAATCAAGGTGAAAGAAGAAAGCGCAAAAGCTGGGTTGCAGCTTAACATCAAAAAAACCAAGATTATGGCAACAAGAATGATTGACAACTGGAAAATAGAGGGAGAAAATGTGGAGGCCGTGACAGACTTTGTATTTCTAGGTGCAAAGATTACTGCAGATGCAGACTGTAGCCAGGAAATCAGAAGACAATTACTTCTTGGGAGGAGAGCAATGTCCAATCTCGATAAAATAGTAAAGAGTAGAGACATCAGACTGGCAACAAAGATCCGCCTAGTCAAAGCCATGGTATTCCCTGTAGTAACCTACGGATGTGAGAGCTGGACCATAGGGAAGGCTGAGCGAAGGAAGATCGATGCTTTTGAGCTGTGGTGTTGGAGGAAAGTTCTGAGAGTGCCTTGGACTGCGAGAAGATCCAACCAGTCCATCCTCCAGGAAATAAAGCCCGGCTGCTCACTGGAAGGAAGGATACTAGAGACAAAGTTGAAGTACTTTGGCCACATCATGAGGAGACAGCAAAGCCTAGAGAAGACAATTATGCTGGGGAAAGTGGAAGGCAAAAGGAAGAGGGGCCGACCAAGGGCAAGATGGATGGACGGCATCCTTGAAGTGACTGGACTGACCTTGAAGGAGCTGGGGGTGGTGACGGCCGACAGGGAGCTCTGGCGTGGGCTGGTCCATGAGGTCACGAAGAGTCGGAGACGACTGAACGAATGAACAACAAATAAATATCTATCCAATTACCTTCTCAAAGATTATATTAGCGAAAGGAAAATAACAAACAAAAAGTGGGTCAACATCCGTCATCACAAACTGCCCCTCTAAGTCCCAGATAAATCCCTCGGGGAAAATGCACCAGTCATATCCTACCAAACACCCTAACTGGAAGAAACAGTCCTACAACATCAAAACTGGAATACTTGAATCAAATTCCGAGAGAGCTTTGCCACCTTTTACCAGAACAAAAACGATCTGGGATGAAGATGAACTTGCCTGTTTTAAAATGTTCCAAAAACTAAACAAGGAAGAGTAAATAGTAATAACTGAATGCTGAGGTGACTTACTCAACACGCTAAACAGCCCTTCAAATTTACCGACACCCCTGGCACCTGCAGTACAAATTCCAACATCCAGCCAGGGAAAATCAAAATCAAGAGTAACCAAATCCGCCAACGGTCCTACTGAAAACTGCCATAAATTCCAAAAGACACACCAGAGGAAAATATATTTTTTCTACAACTCAGGAAAACAGATTGGCCCCAATAATCCAAACACAGCAATCCCAAGTGCTCAAACACCGCTTCAAAGAATGGCAGAAAAATCAATCAATAAACCAAGTGAGCCTAGCACGCATATTCACGATGAAGGCAATAAATCAACAGCCAGAGAATTAAAAACAAAAAACTGGTCCAGACAAGAATACCTGAACTTTTGATATCTAGAATCTGATGAATTAGGCCAAAAAGATACTACCATACAGGTACCCGACATTAAGCCCAGCCTCTTACTGAAATGGCAGGGAAATAGGTTTTGAGGAAAGGAGAGATAATTACCAAGAGACATCCTTTCTGGAGATTAAGAAAAGGTACGGCTTTATTTCCAGCTGGTGACTCTGGTGGAAAAGCAAAACCCAGAGCCCCCAATCAAGCTGCGGACTGCCCTTTTATAGATTTCAGAATCAAGCAGACAAAGAACATACTAGTACATACATCTTCATACAATCATCATCATCCCTACGTCATCTGAGCATCATAAGAATATCAGGTTCCAACCTCCAACATGCAAAAAGCATGTCTCTGTCTCTAGCTGAAGAGCCAGCATGGAGTATTCCCCCTCCCTCTTGGCTGTGCTTACAGTCATCCATCAAAGGGGCCCTCTGACTTGTCAAGAGGCTTCTTACTTAGAGGGGGCCTTCTCGTACCAGCCTGTGTCTTATCTCTCTTCTGGAATGCATGCCCCTTCTGAAGACAAGCAGTTTGCTTGCTGTTAGCATTCTTGCTACACAGAGGGAACTAGATTTTCCTATACATTTAAAGTACATATGATTTTTATGCATAAATCAATCAATAAATATCCATTTTTCCAATATCTCCTCATCAATTCCCCCCTTTAGGTGCTTTTAAGACTTTTTTTCTGGTATTATTATTATTATTTCTTTCCAGTCTAAATAAGTCTAAATGCACCTACTTAACTTCTGTTTTGAGAACAATTTCCTTCCTGTATTCAAAAGCATTTACCTGGGGGTGTTTTCAGAACCTGGATTAATCTATGTTGCAACCATTGAAAAGACTAGGAGGATTTAAGACTCAATGGTCTGACTTTTGCTCTTATAAGACTAGAGTAGCCAAACTATAACTTCCTTATTAATCAAAGGCAGACAGAAATGAAAATTTTACAACTGACTCATAATGCTCATATATCCCAAGTTAGCATTTCTCCCATTATTGATCAAACATACATTTGGCATGCTTATTGAACCAGTTACCAATTCACAAAATTGACACACAAATAAACACATATATCACCCACAAAGTTCTCATTCTTCTGGAATCTGGCCGTACGTTGAGTAACCTTTCCTGTGGGTTACAGTAAGGCCTAGCTCCGTCTTCTTTCCTCTCCAGGTGTGGGTCTGACAGTGCGTAGAGCTTAATCGCTTCCAGGTATGGAATAAGCTGCAGTTTCTAGCCCAGTTTTCTCATCCTACAGCAGGTGCAGATCTGACAGTACGCAGGGCAAGAGCTTCCGGGTTGTCTTGCAGTAATGTCTAGTCTGAATCTTCTTTCTGCCACCTTTTTCCATTTGGTTAGAACAACCATAATCCTGTGTTAATTTAAGCTTTAGTGGGTGTTTTGGGATCTAGAATAGCTTGCTAACTGGGAGCAAGGTTTGATTTCTGCTATCTTAACTGCACTAGGTGATGTAAAAATCACCACATAGACCTTTTCATTTGAGTTGCAAAGTTTCTCATTACCACTCTTTAACCCACACCTCATCCCCTGGCTTACACAAACATTAGGGGTTAGGTGTGTGTGTGTATCCTGAACTCATTAAATATTTTCCATAACTATTGCAGCATTTTCCCAAAGCAACCATTTCCTGTCTCTTTGCCTGGGCCCTTCTCATGCTATTCCCCTTGTGACCTTGGGAATGAAGGAGGGGCCTCTCATACAACATTGCAAAAGAAGACAGTTTAATGGTTCTGGTGGGAATGCATCTAATATGTACCACTGTTACAACTATGGCTTCAAAGTGTACATTTACACAATGCTGAGTACCTGGGGGATGGCATTGCCCCTGACACTGAGTGTTTTTGGCACAGGTATGACACCTAGCTGAAGCTGCCATTGTCAAGGAAGTGAAGACAATCTATGTTTAACTGTCTTTCTATGAGCTTAGCTAGTGCCATTTTCCTGAAATGACTCATGAGTTCCTTTTACTACCTCTTATGCCATGGTTCTAGGGACAATTATTCTTCCATCTGAAAAGAGCTCACCAACCAATAGATTTAGCTAAGTCTATTGCACCATTGTCCTGGGCCCATTGCTGTTCTTCTTAATTATAGGTAGGCTGCACACTGGGATTGGGCAAAGGAAGTTGGGTAGCCACCTGGAGGGACTTGGCATCTGCTTCTTTGTGGCAGCGGCATCTGCCCTCTGGTATTATTTCTGGCTAAAGGATCCTGCCCTGGTCCCTTTTGTGCATTACAACCAAATGTTTTGGGACCCATACAGCTTCTAGGAAATGCAATATCTTTTTCTGAATGTTTGACTGGTTGGCATGCTGCAGTTAAAAGTCCTCTTTCTTTGTAAAGCACACCATGGACATGTAGTACTGAAAATACATGCTTTGTATTAGTGCATATAGTAAGCTGAACTTCTTGCAATGGAACATCAGCCAAGTCAGGACAACTGGCATAAATTGTGTCCAATTTTCAATACAGCTATGATGTTCCTTTTGCAGGAGGGTAGCAAGTTTAAAAGGTAGAGCATTGCTGAACCTTTAATGTAAGGATTCACAACAGTGCCTGATGTTTTTGCATTCTTGAGGTGCTAAGCATTTGGTTTCTTTGAGTTCTAAAAGTCTATGGTTTGAGTTAAATGCCTGTTGCTACATCTTCCTTCTCAGCAACATAACAAGTGAAGGATTTTGTTACTTCAGGGTGCTGTCCTCAGCACAGACTTTTATTTGATGAAAGGCAGCATTTTGCTCTTGTGTCCACTGGAAGG